AAACAAGCATCGTCAAAGGTTATATTGCGCCTCAGTATTTGGAGAATGGCCTGATATCTCCAAAACTGGATGTTTACTCATTTGGAGCTCTACATCTTGAGATTCTAACAGGCAAAGAAGTGGCTTTAAATATGGATTTAGGTGAAAGTTTAGTTTCTGTGCTTAATGAGAAAGATGGGAATCAAATGCTGAGCAAATTTATGGATCCTTCTCTTCAAAGAAATTATCCTCTCGAGCTCGCAGTTGTGATGATCAAATTGATTGATCGCTGCCTGAAGAAAGATCCATCTGCTCGTCCTGAAATCCATGAGATTGTAAAGACTCTGTCTGCAACTATCGATTCCACAGTAGCTTGGGAGTTAAAACATTGTGTTCAAACCTGCAGGTTTCAGCATGTTTAAAATGCTTGTTTCTTATAATGTACTATATTTTCCCTCGATTCACATATGTTTGTTGTTTGTTGTTTGGAAAATCTGCTAATAAGAGCAAAAGAGGTTCCATTAGACTCTGGAAAATGATGATATGTACCTGTTATTTTACTCAAAGATGAATCTGTAAATAAGATTGAAGAGGGATGTGATGAATCCGTAAATGTAAATGTATAGATAAATATGAATCACATCCAAATTCAAGGCAATGTATGAGTTTGGGAAATGTAGAATTTACTAAGAAAAAAAGCACACCCTGAAATGATCAGTATTAGGCGATATTTTTACAACCATTTGACCTCTTTAGGCCATTTCTTTCTACGAAATTTAGAACATTCTTTTTCTACAAACTTGTTAAACCATTGGGGTTTTCCAGTGATGAAAATGAAGCATCCTATACTCACTCCAATTAATACTCCAGTTCCGTAACCAATCAGTACAGATTGCCACGAAAACCCATTAATGAAGTTCATGATTTCTCCATCATCCGATTGGGTTGGGGTTTCGCTTGTTGTCGGTAGAAATACATTCTTAGCACCACAATCTCGTGACAATGGAAATCCACAAAGACCATCATTCCCCAAGTATGAGGTATTATCAAACGTCTCGAATTGCGAGCCTCTTGGAATAGTACCCACAAGATGGTTTTCAGAAAGGTTTAAAACTTCAAGATTGGTTAATGACACCAGTGGTTGCGGGATTTCTCCATCAATCTTGTTTGAAGACAGGTCTAAAGACTCCAAAAAAGTCAAGTTTGCGAGGGTTTGAGGAATTGAACCGCTAAAGTTGTTATGGGAAAGGTTAAGACCTCGAAGTGAAATAAGATTGCCGATTGCGCCTGGAATGATTCCTTGAAATTTGTTGCTTGAGAGATCTACAGTCGTGTAAATAGAAAGAACATGCACAATATCGATCTCCATCCCTTTTGTTATAACCAAGACGGAACTTGAGTAATAAACACCTAGTTCATTGAACAACCGCTTCTTGATGCTACTTGCAATCTTCATACTGGTGAATTGAATGAAAAAACTTGCTGGTATAGAACCTGTAAATTTATTCTGAGAAAGATCAAGGATTTTCAACGCCGGAAATGAAAATCCCCATTTTGCATTATTTAGAGAGCCGTGAAAATGGTTGACTCTCAAGCTCAGAACCTGCAAATTCGGAAGAGTTCCTAACCACCACGGAAATGTATCTTGCAAGTGATTATTTCCAATATCTAGCAACTCCAGTTTCAAGCAATAGGACAAGGATCGAGGAACTTCACCCTCTAACTGATTATCCCGCAAATTGAAGTTAATTACTTGGCATCCAAGTGAAAAAATTGATGGAATTGTCCCTTGGAAGTTATTTGAGTGCAAATCGAATATCGAAAGCTGGCTAATGTTTCTCAAACATGGAGGAATTTCTCCAATCATTTTGTTATTGGACAAATCAAGAACAGAGAGGTAAGAATTATTGCATATAGATAAAGGGATTTCCCCGGTAACTGCATTATTCGAAGCATGGTAAACTGTTAAAAAAGGGGATGGCATAAATAGTGGACCACTCAAGAAGTTAAAACTAAGATCAAGTTCATTTAGGGATGGAAAAGGAAACTGGGGAATGTAAGTAAGAACGTTGTGAGACACATTCAAATAAACCAAATTTCGACCCCATGTCAAATTTTTTTGAGAAAATATATCACTTTGAAGCATGTTGTTAGAAACATCTAGAAAGGACAAACTTTCGATTCCTCTTAAGAAATCTAAATCTCTTAACCCGCAAGAGGACGCGTACAACGTGTCAAGGGAATGTGGAAAGGTAGAATTCAGTTGGTTATTATTGAGAGATAGGTTAGTGAAGGAAAGAAAAAGCTGACTTAGTACTTGCAAGCTTGAAAAGAAGCTAACCTCCACAACTCCACCGAAATTGTTGTTTGATAACTCAAGGATATCCAGATTCACTTGTTTGGAAATCGATTTAGGAAGGGTACCATTTAGTTTATTATTTGACAAGAATATCAATTGCAGTGACTGATACTGGAATTCATATAGTTGGCCGGCCAGTTGATTGTATCTCATGTTTAATTCAGTCAATGAAGGGAGATTGAAAACCCAAAACGGTATAGTACCGTTGATTGAGTTTTCTTCCAAATCAAGTGTAGATAAGTTCGGGAATCCGCTGGAAGTGTTGGGAGGCAGGGGACCTATGAGTGAATTAAAAGACATGTCTAAGACTTCAAGTTTTGTTAGGTTAGTGATTGAGGGTGGGAAACAACCGGTGAAATGGTTAGTGCTAAGAAATAAACTGGTCAGGCTTTTGAAATTGCTGAAAATGTTGGGTAATTGGCCTTCAAGACTATTATTGTAAAGGTCAAAGAAAATGAGTCGATCAAGGTTCCCTAGATTTGGTGGTAACTTTCCAGTGAAATTGTTTGTGTGTAGGATGAGGTGAGTAACCTGTGTGAGATTTCCAAGAAATTCAGGGAAAGGGCCAGAAAAGTTGCTTTGTGAGAGATCTAAATACCACAAATGCTTCAAATTTCCAATTAATCCAGGCACAGTTTGTCCAGAAAAGTCATTGGAAGACAAGTCAAGATATCTCAATGGACTGCGAGTTGTATTATGATAGACTTTTTCGGATGATATACTGGCGAGGTTATTTATTGATAGCTGAAGCGTTCGCAAGTTTGGCAGTTGAAATATTTCAACTGGCAGTTCCCCGAACACTCCAGTGTATCTAAGATTGAGAAGCTGTAAGGAAGCAGAAAGATTACCAGGAAATGTAGAAGGTATTTTGCAATACTCAAGTGAAAGTTGTCGCAGTTGAGTTAAATTTTGAAGAAGCAATGTAAAAGTATGTGGTTCAATCACAATGTCTCTGGTATTAGTTAGATCAAGGGAGATTAGTTTATACATACGCGAGAATTCCAAAGGAAGTGAACCTGAGAAAGCACATGATGAGAGATTGAGGTGAGTCAAACTCCGAAAGCTAGCAAAATTAAGGTCAATTTGGGAAGGAAAGAAGTCATTCAGGGCAAGGTTGAGGGTTTGAAGATGTGTCAACTGGAAAAGGGTGCTGTTGGAGTTGATGGGTCCTTGAAGTTGGCTGCAACTGAGATCAAGACCAATAATTTCACCACTACGTTCATCACATGTTACTCCATCCCACGTGCAACAATCTACGCTTCTGTTCCAAGTTTTGGTCTTTGGATACGAATGTTGGCAATCAGAAACATCGGCATCAATCTGAAAGCTTCGTTGGAACTGCCACAAGAGAAGGTTGTTTCTGCTGGAGCACAAATGGAGGGTGGTAGTAGTAATATTGGTGCCATTGACTGAAATAATGAGTTGAAAATATTGAAGCAAAAAGACGAACAAAGGGATAAAACGTGGTCTCATAGTTTTTACTTTTTAGAGGAAGAAGGAATTGTGTGGTGTTAGCGGATAACCATGCATTTGCTATTTATACTTCTAATTTGTGTCTGCTCTTCAGCCTCTTACTCGTTCGTTGAAGGCTTTTTCTTGTTCATCAATTTAGTGACCAATAAAAATAAATAAATAAATAAAGTCTCAGGAAAATCTAGCTTCCAAATTAAGTACAATGAATTCAAACCTTAATTAATGGGATGAGTATTATCGATTGACTTTTTGGAATTCTTTCTCAATTGTATTGACGAGACACAAGGTTGAAATTTAGATTGGAATTATTAATTAGTCAGAATGCTCCCTTGGGCCTTGGCAATCACATAACATTATCAACTAACTCTTCACGTTCAACTTATTGACCGGAATGTATTATTGACGTTCAATTGGTAGGCTTAAGATGCGAATTATTATTAACTGTTCAAGCCATTATTAAGTGTACTCTTTATAAGTATAAAAACGAAATATTTAATTTTGACAAAATCTGGAAATAAAGATATCAAAATCTACTATACGTGGCGGCAACAATGACAAATCTAGAGCGTGCAAAGAAAGAGCACAAGACTGATAAAATTGCAATAGCTAAGTAGTTTTGGACCCATGCATGAGATTAGGTAAAAACAATTTTTCTTCTTGCTTAATTATTTACCATTTTAGCTTAACTAATTAGGATGAATATTGAATAGCTTCCAAATTCAGATGTAACGATCAGTTTAATTCTTCTTACCAAAACATTCAAGGCGATGTATGAGTTAAGGAAAAATGTATATATTAAAAAAAAAAAAAAACTGAACCTACAAAATCTGATATTTGATGAGTCCATATTCACCTCCAGTATTGGACCGGCCCAACAACCGTGTAAGGGGTCCGACCGACTTCAATAGGGCGGCAATGTGCCTAAATCCTAGAAGGATTCGGTTCCCTGATTGTATCTACTTGCTTATAAATAGGGATACAAGTTCTACAATTAAAGTACGCTATCTTAGTTACTCATCAATATACGCACGTAACCCTATTTTCTGACTTAAACTTCGGAGTGTTTACCATCGGGAGACCCCGATACTCTGTTTTGCAGGAAACCTTAACCGAAGTTCCACCATTAGAACGACAGTACAATTCCAGGTATCGTCAATATTGATTGATCTGATGCTTGAGACGTGAACATTTAATTTGATTCCCAGGATATTGTGTCATTTAGAATCGCGGAAAAAGTCTGAACAATCTCATGCATATCAGGACGGACTGATGGATCTTTCTTCAGACATTTATCAATCAATTCGACGAGCAAAATTGCGAGCTCAGGAGGATAATTTCCATCAAGAGAAGCATCCATGAAATCCCTCAGCATTTGATTCCCATCTTTCTCCTTGATCACAGGAACTATACTGTCAGCCAAGTGCACATTCACAGCAGCTTCTTTCCCAGTTAGCATCTCCAATAGCAGAATTCCAAATGAGTAAACATCTAGCTTCGGAGATACCAAACCATTCTCCAAATACTCTGGTGCCATGTAACCTTTAGTCCCGATAATATGCCTAGTCAAAGCGAAATGACCCTCTTCGGCATCTGTTGCCCTTGCTAGGCTGAATTTCGCGATTTTCGCCCTGAAGTCCGAATCAAGAAGAACGTTGCTACACTTCAAATCTTTGTGCACATGAGGAGGGGAAATGTAGCTGTGTAGATAATTGAGACCCGAGGCAACATCGAAAACAATTTGTATTCTCTGCATCCAATTTAGGAACTTCTCCTCACCATAAATCCAATCACTCAATGCTCCTTTCTCAGCATACTCGAAAACAAGATACCGACACTCATCATAGACACCAATACCTACAAGCCTGATGAGATTTAAATGTCTGATATTGTTAAGTAGATTGATTTCCTGAGCCACATCTCCAATCACTTTCTTGATAGCAGCGAAATCTCCTTTCAATGTGCCACGGTATACCGATCCACCAATCAAACAATCAGGACTAAAGTTGTCTGTTGCTAGTTGAAGTTCTTCATATCTGTATATCTCAAGGGATTGAGCTATATTGGGTATGCTCTCCCAGAAACTCAGTAAAGATAAATCTTCAGCCCTTTGCTCCGTGAGTGGACGCTCAACAGATTCATATCTCTCTGAAACAACTGCCGAATCATTTTCTTCCTTCTCTTTCTTAAAACATGACCAAAAAACAATCAGCACAGAAATGCATACCAGAGAAATCCCTCCAACAGTTCCAGCAACAGCATAAATCCAGGTCTTTTTTGAACTGCTACTATTTGGAGAAGGTACAATCGAAACCGGAGTCGCCTCCCCTGAAGATGGCGGTGGCGGTGGTGGAGGGGGGTCTATAAGTTGGGATTTAGCAGGACTGTTCTGAAGAGGAATCAGAACGGTTGTAAAAGGATAAACAACGGAATCCTCGTCGGCGAATCCATTGGCGTAAATTACACTTGAAGTACTCACATTGAACCTAGTACTCATTTCATGAATGTCGTCGAACTCATTAGTCACGTATGTCAGAAGAAACTTGACCCCTTCCGAGGTCTGCTCTCTGTTAGGACATGCACATCTGAGCGGTACCAGCAATTCAAAACCGGGTTTTAAGTGATATTCATCGTATGGATTCTGTTGCATTAGTGCATCACAAGTAGAAAGGCCTTCAAATGTCTCGTTCGCAATGGTGTAATAAGATTGGTCTATATTCTGGATAGTGTAAGAAGTGTTAGCCTGATAATATTTACCTGAACACGAACAATTCACTGGAACAATGAATTCAGAATTCAGAGGGAAGATCTCAGAACTCGAGACGTTGTTGATGCGAGAAAGCTCCGGGAGAGGTGAAGATGTAAGGTTAGAGATGGAAATGGCTGAATTATAAGGAGGCAGAGATCTGAAGAACAGGTAAGCTTGGCAGGAATGCTGTTGGCCATTGCAGGTGTACAGAACTGCTGAAGATGGTCCTGTTTTGTCAGCATTCATTTTGCAGTCGAAAATAGAATTCCCTGAATAATTTTGTTGGGCTAACAGCATTGAAGCAAAACCGCACAAAATCAACCAGGAACTAATCACAATGCTTTTCATCATTAACTTTGGATTCATCTTTTTCTGGGTTGGTAACTTCGAAAGTTTTTTTTTTAAATCTTTAGGAGCTGGAAGCTGAAGACACAGAACTCTATTAATGAGGTTAAATAATGTTAGATGTTGGAAACTCTCTAGATTCAATAATGGTGGATGCTGGAAAACTGGAAAGATTAGTGAGAAGTTTAATTGGTTGACTTTTAGTCACAAATTTGTTGCTTTCAAAGAAAAAGTCTATTTGTTGGATATAGCTTGCCTTCCATAAATTTAGAGTTCAGTGTTAGTTTTTTATGAAGAACTTGTTAGGAAAGATTTTAAAGCTTCCAGAGAAAGGTCTATTCGGCTCGGATCCGGATTAATCGGAACGAAATCACCGTGGATACCTGGTGCGTTAAAAAAAAAAAAAACAATTCAGTGATAGTTTTTATCTCTACAGAAGTAGTGCGTAGATTCAAAGTTGTTTAGTAAAAGGTATGAAACGAGAAAAAGGCTTTGAGTATGAATCAGTTCCTAATTCAAAAATTCAAATGGAAATCATCTTCAACCTTTGTAGTCAAATTCATTAGTCAATAATATATGCAACTGAAGGGATGAATATACATGAAACAACGGGAAAAAAAAAATAAAATAAAAGATGCACCTACAAAATCTGACATAATTTTGACTTATTTTTTAGACACTATGTTCTGATTCCCAGGACATTGTGGTCTCTATGGTCGCAGACAGAGTCTGCACAATCTCATGCATATCAGGACGAACAGATGGATCTTTCTTCAGACATTTATCAATCAATTTGACGACCAAAATCGCGAGCTTGGAAGGATAATCTCCTTGAAGAGAAGCATCCATGAAATCCCTCAGCATTTGATTCCCATCTCTCTCCTTGAGAACAGGAACTATACTTTCAGACAAGTGCACATTCACAGCAGCTTCTTTCCCAGTTAGCATCTCCAATAGCAGAATTCCAAATGAGTAAACATCTAGCTTCGGCGATACCAAACCATTCTCCAAGTACTCTGGTGCCATGTAACCTTTAGTCCCAACAATGTGTCTAGTTAAGGCAAAAGGATCTCCCTGGGCATTTGTAGCTCTGGCTAGACTGAAGTTTGTGATTTTCGCCCTGAATTCGGCATCAAGAAGAACATTGCTACACTTTAAATCTTTGTGGACATGAGGAGGGGAAGCGTAGCTGTGTAGATAATTGATACCAGAGGCCACATCAAAAGCAATCTGTATTCTCTGCATCCAGTTCAGGAACTTCTCATCCTCTGCGTGTTTTCTATAAATCCAATCACTCAAAGCTCCCTTTTCAGCGTATTCGAAAACAAGATACCAATACCCATCATGGAAACAAACACCCGAAAGCCGAATCAGGTTCAAGTGGTTGATCTTGTGAAGGAGATTGATTTCCTCAGTAACATTTCCACTCACTTTCTTGATTGCAGCAAGATCTCCTTTCATTGTGCCGCAATACACCGATTCACCTAGCAAACAACTAGGACTAAAATCATCTGTTGCTAATTGAAGTTCTTTATAATTATACACCGTAAGGGATTGAGCAATACTGGATATGCTTTCCCAAAAACTCTCTGAAGACAAATCTTCATCCTTTTTCTTTGCAAGTGGTTTCTCAACAGATTCAAAACTCTCAGAAACAACAACTGATCCATTTTCCCTCTTCCTTCTGCGAAAACAAATGCAGAAAACAAGCAGCACAGATACAGATACAAGAGCAATCCCACCAAGAACTCCAACCACAACATAAATCCAAGTTTTACTTGAGCCACTGTTGTTTGGAGAAGGAGCTAATGAGCTTGGAGGTGTTTGATCTGAAGGTGGTGGTGGTTGGGGATCTTTAATATCGGAGCTTGAAGGGATGGCCTGAAGAGGAACTAACAGAGTTGTGAAGGGGTAAATGGTAAAATCCTGATCAGAGAGGCCATTAGCATGGAGAGTTTCTTCAGTACCAACTCCAAATATTGAGCCAATAGAAGAAACAAAATCATTCCAAGTGACTAAATAACTTAACAAGTACTTAACACCTGCATCAGTCTGATTCTTTGTCGGACAAGCACATCTCAATGGGACATTAACCCTCGTACCATAGTCTAATCTAGTAAAATTAGTAGTTGCTTCTAAAGCTTGGCAAGTTGACAATCCCTGGTAAGTGTTATTAGCAATCTTAAAGTATGTATCTCCAAACTGAACAGGATAAGATGCGTTGTGAAGGTAATAAGAACCTGAACAAGAACAATTAACCGGAACAAGTACGATCTTGCTTGTCGGAAAGATTGCATCTTGGGCGACGGAATTGAGTTTTGAGAGCTCGGATGGATCAACAGCCAAAAGGGTCGAGATTGATGAAACAGAGTTGTACGGTGGCAGAGATCTGAAGGTGAGATAAGCCTGGCAACTTGGGGCGGCGCCGTTGCAGAAATAGCCCATTTCTGAAGTTGAATTGTCTCTGGTTCCGCATACTGTACTGGCCTTCTTGATGTACGGTTGCTGGGATTCAATCAATGGAGAATTGAAGATGAGAAAGACGGAAAGAAGTAAAGCAAGATGAACAAAACCCATTCTGTTGTTTTTGTTCTGTATTGTGGGAAAATCGGGATAAAAATGGAAACAGAGCAATGCTATTTGTTCAGATTGGGGGAAAGGGACGATGGAAAAGACGCCGAAATCAACAACAGTGGACACGCAGAATTGCCATTTCAAAGAGGGAGGACGAAGTCTAAAAGCATAAAAGAGACAGGAGTTGAATTGAAAGATCCAAAATCCTGTTTTTTTTTAATTGAATCTTTTTAAGAATAATTGGAGCGAAAATATATTAATTGGTCAAATTCTCGAATATCACAGTCTGTCTTTTATCTGTTTCAATCGTTGACCAAAGGTGGCAGCGCCGTCGCCCGTAAGCATCTTTAAATATCACTTTTAAATGGACAATGACGAATAAATATGTAACAACAACTATTCTTTTTAGGTCTAATTTATACAGGTTTATTAAAGTTTTCTTTCACAATGGAAAATGAAAAACTAATAAATTATTTCGAAAGAGAATAACATTGTGTGTATTACATTTCATTATTCCTTCCTTTACAGAAAACAAATTATCTTGGGTCATTTTCTTTTAACCCAAGCTAATTAGATTTTTTTTCGGAAAGGGCAAGCTAATTAGATTAATGTTTATTTTATCTATGTTTTGTTCCCGCATTTGATTTTTCTAATCTGAGGTAGGTAGCGGTCCTTTTCTAAATTCAAATAGTTTTTAGGTTTTTGGTGATCAGTAGAGTTGGCTACAATGGAAAAAGAAGTTGACTTCAGCACCCATATTGTTCAGTTGTTGTTGTCCACACGCATGACTCGAATATGGTGTCAAAATATAAAACTAATTGTGGTTTTACACCTTTTTTTTTTGGCTCTTGGAAGAAGTTGGTCAAAAAGGATATACAATTCATTTTTTTCTGCCTTATAAAATTGTAATAACACGACCAAGTCTTGTAGATCGATGCTTCCTAGCTATTTGTCTCACCAAACAAAAATTGTTCCCTTAAAAATTGATCCATAGTTTTATATACGTATACATACACAAAAAAAAAAGGGTCATATTAATTTAACGAACATGCATTAAGTTTTAGGTCGAAGGATTCATAATTTTAGATTTCGTTTAAGTTCACCAATCTTCGAACTAGTCATGTGATAAGTTGATTGATCATACAGATTCTTGCTAATTTCTTTTCTTACTTCTTCTAGATAGGAACTTATAAATTCCCTCATCCGATCGTGTATGCATACGGCTTGAAGATTCTCTCTCTCTCTCTCATAAACGAGTATATAATGTGAAGCTTATAGTCAGTTCGTACATCGCATAAACATCTAGTAAGAGTATTCACAATGATTTACACTATTGTAGATATAATAGGATTCTATATTAACATTATATCATATTACACTTTTATTATACTTTTTCTTACATTATTTTTATACTATAAAAGTATAATATAATTAATATGCTTTTAAATGATCATGGACCCACAGTTGAGCTATAGGTTAGTTTTTTTAGTCATTTTCAAAAATAAATTTAATTTATAATTTGCATTAATTAGATGATGGCCCATTCAATCATGTATTCAACAGTGTAAGAAACTTTACACCAACACAATTTCTTACACTCTATATAATGGTGATGAGTGTAAAAGAGTAATAGTGATTTACTTCTTATTAATTACCACTAAAGATGCTCTAACAATATATATACTCTCCCTCTCTCATTTTAGTAAATTTAATTAGTTTTTGCAATGATGCAGATCATTAAAATAGACAATGGAAATAACTTTTACTCCCTCTGTCCCAAAATTATTGTCCTGTTTGAAATATCATTTTTAGTATAATTTGAACTAGAAATGAAAACCCAAACTGGACAATAATTATGGGACGGAGGGAGTACTATAATTTAGGCATAATTTATTATCAAACTACAATGAATGGTGACAACTTTTTGCATTATACGTATCTTAAGGTTTTTTTTTTTTTTCCTTTTGGAATAAATGAATTCATGCAATCTTAATTACGTTATTTTATCCATCAAAGATTAAGAGGAAAAATGCATGTTCCCTTGGTTCTTTTTGATTCAGTTTTTTTTTTTTTTATAATCAGTGAGCATCCGGTTTTACTGGAATCAATCAAGGACTTTTTTAAAAAAAAATTCGTAAAATTTTAATTTTGCAAAAAAATCTGAATGGAAATTATGCACTTAATGGTTGCAAATAAATTAAGAATTGAAGAGTTATATTGCTCCGCTACTCTAATACTACTTGTGATTAGAAATACCAAACACCTTTAAAACAATTTCATTCTCCCCCTCAAAAATACAATCCAAACACCCCATGCTCTGGATATGAAAGGAAACTGTATATGCTTTCAAATGGGTAGATATGTAGAACAATTAAGTACTTTCTATCTCGAAATATATAGTTGTCATGTTAATTGTACTATCAAAATAATTTATCATTTTGAGAAAGAGAGAGTAAATCAATTAAAAACAGATTATTGGCAAAAGATTCTTGAAGAACAAAATTAAAACAGCCTCGCTTACCTCCATAATATTTAAGTGATCACAAGTGTTGAACAATATGCACTCCGATAAATGGTGATTAAGCAATATAATCAAAATGGTGATGTGAAGAATTAATTCTTGGGCTTAATTCACCAGATTTTAGGAATATACTACTACGAATTAAGATGGAACAATTGTGCATTGGAAAACTGAGATGTTTCCACACCCATTTAAACAAGTTCTGGTGTTCAGGCCTCAAATATTGTTCCAATGTACTTAAAACTCAACTAAAATTAACCAGTTCGTTGACGGATCATTGGCTTAATTATGATGAAATAGGGATATGATGTTCTATGAGCATTGCGATCGATCGATTTGATCTAGGCCTGAAACTCCTTCATATATGGAAAAACGACAAAGCCCATAATATTCATTCCCAAACAAACAAGCATATGTTAGTTTGGATGGTAGTAGCTAACGGGTTTGTCGAAACTCGCAAAAATTAATCTGAATTTCAAACAGACCAAAAAATTAATTTGTAAAAATAGTGGAATCAGGTCGAATTCCAAGAGAGCCGACTTTTAACACTTGGCTTTATAAAAATGCAAACTGGGGGGATTTTTCTTTCTTCAAAATAAAATGACAAAATAAACTAAATAGGATTGAAGAGAAAAATAATAATAGAAAAGTTTGGTTCAAGAAATGAATTCAATTATATTATAGATCATTGACTAAAAAGATTATTTTTCTATCATTCAAGCATTCAACCGTAGGTTTAATAGGATAGCCGTAAAAAAACCTTATATTTTTCAAAAATATTTGACCAAGCCCAGCACCTAATCAAAACTTAGTATAATTTAACTAGGCACGATAGCGTTGCATTTTAAATTATACTAGCAATAAAAACTTTGAAAATTTAGTTGAACCAAAAACTAAAATAATTGAGATAGCTGCAATTAGAATGTTTTTGTCATATTGATCCCCTAGTTAGACTAATTATGCACGTTCAACGTGTCACTACCAACATGTATAATCTGCTAATGTGCTACTTAGTGCCAAATGTTTAAGACGATAGCGCAACAAAAACAATTTGGTAGCAGTAGGAAGAAAATACTTGATTAAATTGTCAGATTAATCAAGTATTTACTCTCATAAAAAGAAATCAAAATTAATAGATACTTGAATTAAAGTAGAAAAGAAATAAAGTGAAACTTGTTGTCTCACGTATAATATAAATGAATAAAATTCCTTGAACCAAATGAAGAAAACTAGCCACGCATTGTGACTAAAAACATCTTTGAAGGTTTAAAATAAAATAAAACAAAATAAAAAGCTAAAATAAAAATAGTGGGAAAAATGGAGAAAAGTGGTAGCAGCCTAATGCTTGCTATGGGTGTGTTGTGCTTTTATCAATTGAGGAGACCACTATTTATAGTGCATAATGGCTGAACAAAAATCTCAAAGAAATGAGAGTAAAATCCAAATCAAATCTCATCCTAGTTTTCCACTAAATGAGTATTTTTTTGCATGATTCTCTACAACCGAATATGAGATCAAGATTTGGATGGTGGACTCGGTAAAAAGAATCTTCTAGGAACCCATTTGTGTGTATTCTTTGCAGCTGAAATTTTCTTCATGTTTTAACTCCGTAAAACTTTCTAAAAGGGCCGTAAAAATCTAAAATGGTCCATCTTTTCATTTTTTGGTACCTAACAACAAAGTTATAACAAAATCTATTAATAATCACTAAAATATAACCAATTTAGGACTAGAAGACTATAATAAAATGAATTTTATTATAATTATCAGTAGCTAGGCAAGTAAAAGCACGACAATTTATATCTGATTTTCTATTTTAATCTTTACACAAATGAGGGAAAAACTTCCATGACCTAAATTATTAACGTGCTGCACCTGATCTCATCATCGTAAAACCTGTATAAGAAAAAGTAAAATCCTTACAGAAGATGTACTCTGTGTATAAATTATACTTCCTCTATCTCAAAATTATAGTCCAGTTGGATTTTTATTTTTAGTATAAATCAAATTAAAAATGATAATTTAAAATCTATATTGAACAATAATTTAGGAATGGAGGAAATATATGGCGTAAACAACCCTGTTTGCGTAATAAAGGAAAAAATAAAATGTGTAACACTGTGATAGTTTAATTGGTCCTCTATGTAGTATATCTTCTGATCAGCTTACAAATTCAAGCAGTCATCATCAGCTGAAAATCACGGAAATGGAGTTCTCCTTTACCCTCAGTATCATAAACCTCAATCATGGCAACACATTCATCGTACGATTTGTTCTCCCCTAACCGACTAAAAACCCTTTGCAAGCTCTTCGGAGTAATCACACCCGAACCTTTTTGAAACTCAAAGATTTCAAAAGCCGCCTTCAGATCCCGATCATCGTCTCCGTGCCTTTCCTCTTGCATTAGCCTGAGGAAATCCTGAAAATCAATGAGACCATCGCCGTCGCTGTCGAGTTCGCCGATGATAGCTTGAGCTTCCTCGTACGACATGTACTCTCGTATCGAGCCGAAGTAAGATCTCAGTTCGGTTGCCGAGATTTTACCGTCGCCGTCGTTGTCAAAACGGTGAAAAACTTGCCTGAATTCTTCTTCCTTCGACCTCGAAGTACTCGAACCCGAAGAACTCTTTCGTGGGGTTGTTACGGATGGTGAGTTTGGAGTACTTGTTATGGGAGATTTGGATCTGGATCTGGATCGAGTTAAGATACTCAATTTCAGGTTTTTGTGAGGAAGGCAACTGATCAAGGATTTTGGTACTCTTTCGGGTTCCATAAGTGTAAGGAGAGATTTTTTTTTTTTTTTTTTCAATTTGTGGCTGGAAAGATGAACATGGTTACCTGGTTTATATATAGTTGAGTGAAGTTGTGAAATCTGTTGTAATTTTGGGGCAGAAATTGGGACAACAACACCAGCACAGAAGGTATGATTGATTGATGAGCGATCATCATTAGCCGGGCAAGGAAAGTTGGAAAAGATGGCTAACTTCATTGAAGTTGCGAAGAATTTGCTTGGCAGATTAACAGCAAGATCATTATTTCGTTACGTGAAAGTTTTAGGTGGGAAGGAAATTGCATGGCAGCTTCCTTCGGGTCCCAAATTCTTGGAATTCACTTGCATCATGAGACTTGTGGTCTCCACATGAAATGATCCCTCTTTTTCCGTTAATGTAGACTTTCTAACTAATAATGTAAATGTGTTGGTTTTCTCCGGCTGGCTTTCGGGAACAAATTAAAATGCTGAAGAAGAATTTTAATACATGAAGAATCTCGTGTTTGCCGTTCATAGAATTCGCTTATTGAATGGATCATGCATTCCAACTTAAGTTCCAACCTACACTTGTTGCCAAAGCATCGATCTTTTGTCACATTATTATATTACTCCTAATGTGATATTAAGTGATAATTGATAGGTGTTACTCCATTTGTCCTGAAAAAAAAAAGAAATTTGAGATTGGTACTATTTTTTAATATTAATTTTAAAAACTTAATGTTGACTATATTTTTTTTAAGACAATGAGAATATTATATCAATGAACAATGATTGGGACAATGACTGTATACAATGAAAGAGGACAGTGACTCATGAAAACACAAAAACACCACCTCACTAAATTCATAACTACTAACATGATAAGGACAGTTAAATAAATATATGCATGCCACGTTAGTTACTATCTCATTTTACCATATACTTTTACTGTATATGCCATTTTTCTATATGAATACTGACCAAAGATCTTTTACAATCCGTAAAACTGATTCTGGAAAAGAGAAAACTTTTCCTTTCAATACTCAATCATATGGCTATCAGTATTTATCAGTTTTGTTCCTATCTAAATAAATTCTGTAGCATCAAATGAGGTCAAGGGTTGACAAGCCGTCGTCACACTAGTCAAATAATTAATTACCTACTTAATACAATTATTAGCAGTAAAGCAGAAAGTATGGTTGATCTCACAGAGAAGGTTACCAAGTAACGGTTAAAATTATTTCTTATTATTATTTAGATTAAGAATTTATCAATTTTAAACTATTGTAAACCTAAAACTAACAATTACAATTATTCAAAGATATAAATAAGTAAAAGAAAAACCTAGGGCAAAGGGTTCACCAACCGACTATTTAGTTTAATTCAATCTATAGATATGTAACTTTCGACTGTCATTAATCTCACGACAATTCACCAATTTAAAAATTATACACTCTCGTGTCATAACCCTCTTACTTAAACTAACCCTATGACTACTCTCATGACTATAGGGATTAAAAAAAGCACATTAAGAACTTCGGAATTACTAGTCGCAAAGGCGGTGCTCCTACTCTCGTGGCTCACTACCTAAGTTTATTATTCCTACAAACTAATACTAGCCTTCCACTCTCGCTACTTCAGCTAGCACCTTAAAGCATGCAAATATTGATCAGGTATTCACATGGATGAAAAACAAGAATAATAAATATTAATTAATGAAAAAGTCACAATCATAACTTAAATTAAATTCAATAGTACGGCGGTTACATCCAAAAATCTAGATTAAATAATTTAGTTACACATCATCTCAAAAATAAATAAAACAATGAAACCAGAGAGTCCGAAATTGCTTGCTTCCTCCTTCAATAATGATGTGCAGATTAATGGTGATGATGGATTGCATGGGCTGGGGGTTAATTATGGTGGAGAATAAGGTGATGATGGGGGGTGTATTTCGTGACGTTTAGGGGGCTGGTGGGGTGTGACGTGGAGGTGGAGAAGATGTGCGAGAGAGATGGAGACAAAGATGATGGTCGGCGGAGGTTGATGATGATGGACGGTCAAGTTCTTGTCCAAAAATAAAACTCTAATCCTCCTTTTATAGGCTTTCCTCAAACCCTATTTCTTCAGGAATAAGAAAGTTATTTTTTTTTTCAAACCAATTTAAATTAAAATTCCTCCAACTCTTCAAGTGCTTCAATTTCTTCCTTGTCAATTTATCAAATCTTCAATTCTCCCTTTGAGTTACTTTTATCTTCATTTTAGCCCAAAATTTCAACAATTCCCCCATTTGAGTACAATTCCTACACTCAAATATAAAATCATATAAATAGCACATTTGTACTCAAAATATATTGCAAAAATCACAAATTAGGGATATAATAAATAGGTAAAATATAAGCATATCAATATTTAAAATAAAAAATGTGATTAATGGCTACACTTTAACACATAACTATAGAAATCAATATTGATCGGTGAATCAGTTTTTTTCATCATGGCCGTCGATTTTTTTTACTTACATCAAATTGGTTTTTTTTTTCTTTTATTTCAGTTGGTTATGTTTGGATTTAGTTTGAAGTTTATCTACCATTATATTATATGGAAAAAATATAATGAACATATTATATTATTGTATTAATTTATTTAGTAATCATTTATTATATTAATGTATTATATACTATTTTACTTAGTAATTTTAGTAATGATCGATTTCTATATGATGGATATTAGTATAGGTGAGAATATTGATCTTTAGGTATTTATTATTGTGTACCCTAGTGCTCCAGTATAAAAAAAAAAACAAAAAAAAAAGGGTGAAGAAGGGGAGTTCGGCTGGGTGAATTTGTCAATAGTTTGCAACTTTACGAAAAAAAAAGTTAATAGGATAATATTTGTTATTTATAAATTTTACGAATTTACAAATAAAAAATTACCATTAAATGATGAAGTGATGTGTGGTTGCAATACGTGGACTTGGGCATCTAATTTTGTGCCACATGAATTAGCCTATCTAAATTTGTGTCATATGTCCGATTGAAATTCTCCTTTACTATATAAGGAGATATAAGCTTAATTTTGGGATATGGTTTTGAGATATAATTTACAATAGTGCATTTTTTTTCCTTGAGTAATTAATTATCACATATAATGCATGACTTTAGGGATTGAAGGCTTTCCGGTGAGTTATAATTTGATTGTCTCATTTTAAATACTATTTTTAAATTTCAAACTGTTTACTTTTATTATGGGATGGTAATTCAGTGCATTAATTTAATCAATTTCATGCAATATTTGATTAAGGTATTCAGTATATACGAGGATCTTTAGCATTAATTTAATCAATAATTCTGACAATAGTTGATTAAGATATTTTGACATGAAAACTATAATTACGAGTAGTTATTGTATATATTTAATATTAATTGATTTATATAATTATGGTGAATGCACTAATATTCTATAACCAATTTTTTTAGGGACTATTAGCTAAATGCTGAAACTTTTTTTTTTTTTTTTGAGAAATTGTCACATAGATTTTAATCTTACAAGGTAACATAAAAACTCTTTTTAATATCTTACTATATTAGAAACAAAAACCACACTTAAGAGAAAGCACCACCATTTGGCATGTGGCATTTTCACATCATATTTTCAAAATAAATTTTTATTTACTCATTAGTTTTATAGACTTAAAAGACAAATGCAGTCCAAATCCACCTCCACCGCCTATTTTTGCCAAAACAAAAAAAAAAAAATCACGGATTCATAAAAACCCCAAATCCTCATCCCCATCTCCACGACAATCGACTCCCTAATCAATTCCTTCTCCACACTAAAAAAAACAAATTCCTCATCAATCATCAACTGAGAATATGTGGTGAAATATACTCTTTTCTTATTAGCATGTTCAATCTTTTCATTAGTGATGATTAACTACATCCTAATCGGATAAAATTTCGATTTCGAGAAATATTCTCTTTACCTCTCTATATAAACACAAAGGAAAAAAAAAATTAAAAATTTCTCATTTATCTTGCTTTGGCCGTTGTGGCGATGCCATTACAAGTATTAAAATTTAAAAGATTTTATTTCCACAAATCATTTGTTTGGCTTTTTTTTGTATTTTGTTTTTCCCGTTCAAAAATAGTGTTATTACTATTATTTTTATGCGACCACCCGTTACAGCTACCGTAGCCGTTGCCCAGTAATATGATGTGATTTCTTATATGGTTAATTAGCCTAGAATTTTTGTATGATTTTAGTTCTGTTTGGGTTGAATTGATCAATTGGGTTTTTGTTACAAAGTGTGATTTTTTTAATTTCTTTTTTATGTTTCATTCCATTAGAGTGGTTTTTTTTTTAATTATGGAGTCTCAATTTTTTTTTTCTTATATGGTCAGTTTGGAAGTGTGTTTTTTCTTTGTTTATTTTTTTTTTGATTTTGTTTCATACTCTCAGTTGACCAATTATTATTATTATTATTTTTCGGCAAATGAAGTGAGTTTTTTTTTTTTTTTTGTGTTTGGACTTTCAAGAATATACTTTTTTGGATTTGGTTTTTGGACTTTTTTGAGTTCCTCACTATATAAATAGTTCAGGTTGTTTCTTCTAACTAATTCATGGAGAAGTCTCTTATGAATTTGAGGTGGAGAGGGAAGGAATGATGTTTTTACGTTTATTTGTGTTTCTATACATCATTTTTACGTACAGGAAAAAAATAATTTCTCAATTTTTAATGGGCTCTTTTACTTTTTTGTATTAATTTATTGGCCATGGTGAGGTGAACTCTTTTTTGCTATAACTTGAAACCTTTGCTAATTTACATTAATTTTCATTCTCATATTTTTGATCAACCTGTTTAAAAAATTAACCAGTTTCAAAACTATATTTTGATATTTTACTACCTTTAAACCTTTGGAAGAAACAGTTCTAACAATTAAGCGTATACCCTTTCGGAGGAATCTTACTACAAAGCTATTATAAATCTCCAAAACTAAGTATTTATTTGGCACGACCAATGGAGAACATCAATAAATCATCTTACTAATATTTAAACTTTAAACTTATTAGGATGCTTTTATATTTTGTCTAACATTTACTTCAAGATATATATTTGATCAAGTTTATTTATATTTAATAAGTAACACTTATAAATCATTTCTAAGATCTTCAAACATTTTTAAAACGTAACGGATCAAATACAATTTCTTTTTTTGCCAAACACAAACATTTCTATGATCACACTTATAAAATATTTCTAAATTCTTCGAATGTTTCTAAAATATATCGAGCCAAATACAAAATATTTTTTTTAAAATACAAACATTTCTAAGATTTACAAATATACTGGGCCAATGCGCGATCAGACATCACTAGTACTTATATATACAAACATTCCCTAATTACTTTGCCTTCGTGAACCATAGTTGAATTTCCACTACCACACCGACCCGTTACAAAAATCATATTATTAGGGTAGAAATAATTATCCGTACGTATATATAGTGGCAGCCTAGGTACCCAGTTTCTTCCCCATGGCAAAAATCACACATCTACCGGAACCCATCCTTCAACACATATTCTCTTTGATGAGAGTGGAAGAAGCAATCAAAGCAAGCATGTCTTGTAAATCATGGTTAAGTGCGTGGACCACCGGACCCAATTTGGAATTTGTTTTCGTTAAGCACTGTGGATTTCTTGAAGTAGCGGAATTCTTTGGGTCAAAACCACTGCCGCAAAAAAGAAGGCATGAAATTTACAGAGAGGGGATAAAGTACCAACAGTTATTGGAACACATCAATACCACACTTAGAAGGTACCATCCCGAGAAGCTCCCTATCCAGTCTTTTAAAATCCATCCCTACCGCTTTGAAGATGGACGTACGCCTGATTTTCTGGAGGAATGGGTCCAAATCGCTTTGCAAAAAGGTGCCAAAACACTGGATCTGGGCTCTTATAGCGCTCAGTTGCCCTTGCCCGAATTAGTTTTGGTGTCGAAAAACCTCGTAGAATTACTTCTACACAACTTCGTTTTGTTCAAACTGGACATACAACATTGTCATCAGCTCAAGCGACTGCATTTGCATCATGTAAAATTCGCCGATCAGTTAGCCTTTGGAAATCTGATGTCGAGTTGCGAGTCCATTGAGAGTCTGGAGTTTCGGAACTGCGAGCTGAATCTGTACGAACAAGACATATTTCATCGTCAACAACAACTAAAACGGCTAGCTTTGCAATTTTCAGAAGTAGATGAGTTCACGTTTGGAAATCTAATGTCTTGCTTCAAATCGGTTGAAGATTTGGTGATATGGCGGGGTGCCGGAATGGAGGATTTTGTTATTCCTGAGCTCCCATGTCTCCAGAAATTATCCCTTTATGGATGTCGGCTTACTTTATTACATCCTTGCCCGAATCTCAACCATTTAAGACTTGTATCCGTCAACGTCACCAACACTTTCTTTCAAGACTTGGATAATAACTGTCCAAACCTTAAGTACTTGTACCTCTATGTTACTGGTGATTGTAGCTTGGACTCGATGATGACGATCAAAATCTCAAGCTCTTCGCTGGAAATACTACGTCTGAATACATACCATGAGGAGATTTTGGTTCATGCTCCAAATATGATTAGATTTGAGTTTACAACGTCTTCTGTCCGTGGTGTACCCAACCTATATATTACGGGTTCCTCAAATCAATGGACTTCTCGAATTGAAGTTCGAAGTCCAAAGGTATTGGATCACTCCTTCTACAAATTGAAGAACTTGGTTTCAAATATAAGCCAATCGAAAATTTCTTTCCTGAAATTCAGGACCCTTTCAGAAAAGGTCATCTTCGATATCAATGAGGTAATGGATGATATGCCTTTTAGTCCTCCTTATATCGAACATTTATCTTTGAGAGGCCGTTGGGATGAGAACCGGCTAACTTGTCTTTTGGATGGGATTTTTTGGTGTTGTCGTCCTAAAACCTTAAGCCTGTCATGGTCTTATGTTCAAGGGAGTGACCCCTTCGTGGATGTAGTGATGAACATTCAACGCCAGAATCATAATCAAAATGGAAGGAAGTTGTGGGCGAATGATCTGAAGCAGGTCAAAGTTGAGGCAACTCGTTATGATGACCGTACCTACGTGTTAGAATGGGGAAAATGAACAGAAGAAAAACTTGAGGGCCTCATAGATTTCAAATACTATTTGAAATAAACACATATAGAATAGAGTAACGTGGTTTGACTTTAGTCGTGCGAGCTGTAAAGCTGTAGTGGACGAAGGGCCTCCCCCTCTCCCCTCTTTCTTTGTCAAGCGAAGTCAATTTTATGGATTAATTTCTCGGCCAACTTCTCTTTATACTGTCTACTTTTTCATATTCACCTCATTTGTTGACTCTGAGGAAATTTTGAATGAATGGTGGTGTCTCCATGGATTCGTTTCTTATCCATTGCACAGAAAGAAAACTTTGATCATGTTGAAATGCGATGGATTGTTAAATTTGTTTTTGTTCGGAAACTTCGGATCGAAAGTAACTTTTCCGGCATAACTTTTCTGGGTATATCTGCGCTTTTTTTTCCTCCTTCCTCTTCCTTTTGCAGTAGGTATCGAAAGGGTAGTAATATTATGCACTATCTAACTATATGTCCTTTTTGTGTAGTTTTTTTTTCCCCTCTATACCAAAGCTTTCTACTTACTTTATTTTCTCTCCAACCTCCTTATTTCACACTCCTGCTATACTACTTTATATTCTTTTATGTTTTATTTATTACATATAGTACGTAAATTACACTCGAACATAAAAGTATATATGATTACACTATCTAATTATATAAAAAGCAAACAATAAAGATTACAACCATAAGACTGAGCTAATGAACCAAACGATTGAGATAATACATTCAGCCGAAAACCAAGATTTTATGTGTATTAAATTGAAGCACAGAAAGAATACATATGCAAGGCCAATGCGGTTGTATTTGCAATCCTAAGCACATTGTCTACACTATTTCTACAAACTTTTACAGTATTACCATAACGAATTAAATGCAGTCCTATTCCTTGTCACATGACATGGTAACCACCTTTGCTCTTGACTCCCTCCACCAGGATTAATCGCACGGACAGTTTTCCAAGCCTAGACTTTCGCCAGACAAGCTTTTGCTTCTTTAGTACCCCATGTTTGATTGATATACTGACCATTCATATCTAGTACTCCTTCCGTCCTAAAAAAGTAATTCATATTTTTTAGTACGATGGATTATTTTCTGGGACAAAAAGAGTATTACCAATTTGCGGATCATATTCTTTCTTCAGCTCCATCTACACTGATGACGAAATCTAGGTCTTGATCTTGGTTATCCTCCCTGGTATCTATCAGCACCCAAGTTGCACATCACTATTACTATATATGATGCTGATGGAACTTTTCTCATCCAAAGATAACTCCCAATACCTTTTCATTCATTCAGTTTTTGCCAAGATATACAAACAAAGCAGCCTTTTGCTTGGGAACATCACCTCCCTTGTCTATGCAGGTTTATACATACATCTGACTTTGCAGAGGCTTCCGCTCGATTTTGTTGCTGCCATAACTTCTTCGATGTTGCTTTGATTCCTATGATTTTATTTCTCCATTGCAAAACCAGAACCCATTGTTCAAGCTTCAACAAATATTCTCTTTGATATAAATCGAAGAAGCAACCAAAGGAAGCACGTCTTGTAAAACATTGTTAAGTGCGTGGACCACCCCGACCAAATTTGGAATTTGACTTCAAAGAAATTCCCCTGAATTACAGTGATGTGGCGCAATTCTGTCACATCTCTTCCCGAATCTCTCAACCGTTTAATCCTTAAGTTTGTCGACATCAGAAAAAATTTCTTTCAAGACTTGGATAATAAATGTCCAAATCTTAAGTAGTTGGACAACTTTGGTGGCTGCTCGGACTTTTCAATCATCAAAATCTCAAGCTCTTCACTGGAAATATTACGTCTAGCAACACACCATGAGAAGATTTCGGTCCATGCACCTAAAATGAATCAGATCGAGTATGATTTGCCTTCTCTCGGCAGTGTACCCCAACTACATATATATTACAGGTGCCTCAAATCAATGGACTAACGCAATTAATGTCAATTAACATCAACACTTGTGTTACTCCTCCTTCTACAAATTGAAGGAATTGGTTTCAAATTTAAGCCAATCCAAAATTTCTTTCCCAAACTTTTTAATCCATTCAGGTGTCGCATTGGATATCAATAAGGTGGCAGATATGCTTCATATTCCCCCAAGTATTGAACAAAGGCAGGTCAACTCTTGACATTCACCGTGGTCCTTGGTTGACTTTGTGTGGAAACTTTAAATGAACGCTCTGTAGATTTGTTTCTTATGCAATGCGCCGGAATAAACATTAGATAATGTTGAAATACGACGGATTGTAAAATCTGTAACTATTTGTTCTGAAACTTTTCTGTGTACTGTACATTTCCACATTTTTTTCTCCGTCCTGTTCCTTTTGCATTCGGTACTATCTCATGGCCAACGTATAGAAGGGTGGTCTTTGAAGGGTTTTTCAAAATTATCATGGAAATTTCAAAAATATGACTAAGGCATGTATGGAAATGTGGTTCTTAAACATCAGGGTTATCTTTGAGTGGCTTTTGAAAAACTAAAATTTTTTTCTACCGCAAGAAAGAGTGACCCTTAAAAACCATGGTCTTTAGGTAGTCTTTAAAAAACACAAAAAATTTAATTAAGGCATAAAAGGGTTTTCTTTAAAACTTAAAATCGAACATAAAAGGGTGATTTGGTATAAGTTGGACTGTCAATGTCCAAACCTTCACATCGACACTTCAGTATTTGAAATTCTGCCATGGTGGCTTGCACTTGGCGACAACCAAAATCTCAAGCGCTTCAACAGAAATATTAGCTTCTTCCCAAAAAAAATGGTTCATTTCACATTTTGGGTGAAATATAATATGTGCAATCTACAAAATACGAAGCCGACTATTTTATTATTTTATTAGACAAAAGAAGTACTATTTAATATTAAACCATTATAATAAGGAGATTTGTGTCATGACGATGATGAAATGCAATGAAACTTGCATCTAAATATTGAGCCTGTCCCTTTTCACTTTAAAATCAAATCTACTAGTATAATTACCATATCTTTTCTACCCAAATCAACATTACACTACCATAATAAAAGAAATTAAGAAAGAAGAGACTAATTTTTTTGGTGGATGAAACAATTTAATTCCTCTTGTTTTAGCTGGCACTAGATTGAAATTTACTTTTCAATCACAAATGACGAAGCCGCTTTATAATTAAAAAAGAATATTAAATTAATTATATTAAAGTATGAATCAAAAGTGTTTTTTTTTTCTTCGCTGAAATATGGAGACGTAATTTTATCGTACCAGAAAGACACCAGAAAGACATACTAATTAACTTCTATCTGGCACGAGGATTGAAAACCCTAGTAAATTGTACGGTACCAGGGAGAAGAAGAGCGACGCAGTAACAAACCAATATCTTCTTCTTCCTCGTGAATCGTGATGGCGGGAATTGAAGATTTGCCAGAACCAATCTTACAAGACACATTGTCAAGGATGAAAATTGAAGAAGCCACCAAAGCAAGCATGACTTGTAAAACATGGTCGCGCGCGTGGTCACCCGGCCAAATTTTGTATTCGATTTCGAAGATCACCTGAATCGTTATGATTTTCAAAGGCTCTTGGAAACCCTAGAATTCGAACCCGCATCAACTAGAGGCTTGGAGTTCTCTGAACGCTTAAGATTACTCTCATCACAAAGAGCACTGTTTGATCGAAGCCAACTTTACAAAGTGGGAAAAACATACCAAAAGGTACTGGATTACATCAATTGCACCCTGGTAAGATACCATCGGGAGAAGATACCAATTCAGTCCTTCAAACTCTGTTCCTATCCCTTTGACCTTGGAATCGCACCCGAGGTTCGGAACCAGTGGATCCAAATAGCTGTGGAAAATGGTGCGAATACACTTGATCTACGCTGCGATTGCAACTTGCCAAGAACGGTTCTGACGTCGACCAACCTCCTAGATTTAAGTCTCTCGAAATTCGATTTGGGGGAACCGGACATACAGTGTCATCGGCTCAAAAGACTAGTTTATTTAGTATAAAAAATATAAATGTGGTCGCTTTTGGAAATTTGTTGTCTACTTGCAAGTCTATTGAGGATTTGGACATGAAATATTGTAGTGGGCTGAAGTCAGCCAAATTGGACATCAGTTGTTATCGGCTCAAACGACTATGTTTGATTCGCACGGAAATGGGTGAGTTCAAGTTTAGCCTCGAGTTGATTGAAGATTTGGAGATACGAAATTGTACTGAGCCGAATTTGAACAAACAGGACATACGTTGTTGTCATCAGCTCAAGAGATTGCGTTTGGAATATACACCGATAAATGAGTTCATATTTGGAAATCTAATTTCTAGCGGCAAGAGGATGGAGGATTAGGAGATATCGCGCTGTGATGGCCTGGAGGAGTTTGTTATCCCGGAGCTTCCTTGTCTGAAGAAATAACAAGTTTCTGGATGCCGGCTTATTTTACGTCCTTGTTGGAATCTCAGGTGGTTATTCTCGTTTAATGTGAACATCAAAAACACCTTCTTTGAAGATTTGGATAGCAACTGTCCAAACGCTAAGTTCTTAAAACTCACCAGTTCTGCTCCCTCAATGATGCGGTCGAAAATCAAAATTTCAAGCTCTTCACTGGAAATGTTACATCTTAATTTAGCACAAAGGGAAATTTGGGTTCACGCTCCAAAGATGAATGAATTTGTACATAGTGCCTATTCTCTCAGTAGTGTATCCCAACTACATATTACGGGTGCTTCAAGTCAATGGACTTCTGCATTTTATCTTGGTCAAATTGAAAAGTTGGATATCTACTCCTTCTACAAATTGAAGGAATTGATTTCGAAATTTCAGCCAATCTAGAATATCTTTCCCTCGAATTTGGATCATATCAAGGGTGGCATTTGATATCAATGAGCTGAAAGATGATAGGTTTCACAGTCCGCCAGCAATTGAACATTAATCTTTGGAATACGATGGAAGTGTAGAAGAGTGGAGTTATATTCTCTATGGGTTTTTTTGGTGTTGTTGTCCTAAAACCTTAACCCTAGAAATACGTGGAAAGAGAGATAGTGACATCTTTATGGATGGAGTAAGGAACTTTCAATACAAAAATCATGGTCAAGGTGGAATAAAATCCTGGCAAAAGGATTTGAAGCAGGTAAAAGTTGCGGCTCTTGATCTTCTTCCTGTCTCATACGTGTTAGATTGGGGGATATCAACACCTGCAGAATGAGAAGGCTTCGTAAAATTTTACTATATTTCAAGTCAGGTCATATGTATGTTTAATGAAACTCATTTTGGTTTTGGTTTTGGTTTTGCTTTTAAATATATACTCCCTCCGTTCCAAATTATTGTCAAGTTTAGAATTTCATTTCATAAACTTCGAAACTGAACTTGACTGGGATGGAGGGAGTCTTACATAGTGTTGAGACTTGAGAGTTTGAAATTTATTGGTATGGATGTTTGTGTAAAGTTTCTAACCATAGTGGAATGATGACACCCCAAAGTTTCCTACATTCATACTTACACGCCTTTACCATTCTTTCTTCCCTTTCTCTTTTTGTTCTAGATTAGATGTGTAAAGTGTCACCATCTCATAAATCACAACTGAATCACAGTCAAAGTTCTAATCTATCTATAATAATAATAACCTCCATTGTAACAAAAACCATGTTTCTCCTAAAATTCTAAATGTCACACTTTCCTTAAAAGTCTCCCAAAAACAAAAAATGCCATTTTAATTTATTTAATTAATTTATCAAAAGAAAAAAACAAAAAAAAAACCAAAATAACTCCATTATAACAAAAACTATGTTTCTCCTAAAATTCCAAATGTCACACTCTCCTTAAAAGTCTCCCCACCCGAAAACCAAAAATGCCATTTTAATTTATTTAACTAATTTATCAAAAGAAAAAAAAACAAAACAAAAAAAAAAACCGAAATGTTCAAATACATGATTACTTGCACACATAACTTTCTTTCTTCGAAAAGGTGTTGGATATCATTTTACTATCCAAGAAGGGGTTGGGTACGTGCGGAAAAGGCTCAACAACATTAGCTTTTTCACTTTTGTGAACCTTGATCACTATTTATCCTTGGTAATGATGAATATGACAATTTTCTTCACTAAAATAAATTATTAAGAAATTTTTTTTCCTAATCTCATACCCGTGCGAACGCACGGGTCCAGAACCTAGTAACAGTTAACTCGGTGATTCTTGCCGATGTCTATATTTTCGTAGGTACTTAGTTTAAATATAAAAAAGTAAGATTTGAATTTATTTTAGATTTGAATTTATTTTTCGTCTTTATAATGCAGCACAATCGAAATCTGATCTTAGTATTGTTATGCTTCTTAGCATGATTGGATGTTGAATAAGTATGAAATTCAGGAGTATTTGTGTGTGTGATAAATTTGATATAACTGCGCGCATCCTACTTTGAGAGCATTCCTACAGATTTTCTTCCGAACCTGAGTGCAGTCGACGGGTATTTTTGCAGTCTTACTTTTTTTCATTCATCAAAATTCTTCTAGAATTTTAAATTGGTGAAACAGAAGTTCGTTAGGCACAACGTACTTTCGACTTAGTTCAGAAATTTGACGTCTCGAAAGCTATATCGATGTAAAAGTCGACGCTCTTCTTCCTCAATCGAGTTTAGTTTTAGTGTTTCGCCAAGGCTTTGTTTGGAAACATTTCAAGGTTGTTTCTTTCCTAATTATCTTTACAGATTCAATCGTTTTTTTAGTACATCTTTTTATGTTTCTCTCACGTAAAAGTCCGCATCTGATCTTAGTATAGAAAGTTGAACTGCAAGACCAAACACTTTGCTTATAACCTATAGATTAATACTGCTACAATTAAAAAAGTCATGATCTTGTTTTGTACTTTGCTCACCATGGTATGTATATGAGATTCTCCTTGTATTTGGATTTGAATTTTATTTTATTTTTTCACTTGGATTAGAATTACATTGGATCAATATTAGGAGGAAGTACCTGGTACGAATGTGATTAGTCCTATAACAAGAAAAAGACGGAATCAGATAAGATTTGAAATATTCCTACTTGAATTTGGAGTAACAATCTATAATAATAAATACAGTATATAATCATCGCAAGATAAAGTATAAGCTGTCAATTTCTTCATCATGGCGAGAATTACAGATTTACCAGAAACCACCTTACAGACCATATTCTCTTTGCTAGAAGCAGAAGAAGCAATCAAAGCAAGCAAGGCTTCCAAAACGTTGTTCAATGCGTGGCAAACCCGGCCCGATTTGGTATTCGATTATCAAGCTTTTCAACGAGTTATCTTCGGTAGAGCAGATGAACCACCAAGCTGGAAGAATGTCACTTTGTTGACGAGCTTGATGGATTCAATATTCTATCAAAAGCTCCGAGCTCGAAGGGAAAAATCCTATCTGGATAAAAAACATATGGAGTTGGTGATTTCCGTTGCCCGCAACCTGAAAAGGTACCATCAGGAAAGAATTCCAATTCAGTCTTTCAAATTTCGTTCAAAGCCCTGTCAAGATTGGATTCCGTATGCTCTTTTCAAGGAGGGTATCGAAATTGCTATCGATAACGGTGCCAAAGTCATCGACCTTTACTGCCATCACATTGATTTGCCCAAAACAGTTTGGGAGGCAAAGAACCTGGTAGAATTAAGCTTACGGTGCTTCTACTTGAAATATCAGGACGAAATACGCTGTCATCGGCTTAAACAACTACGTCTGGAAGATGTAGTAATAAATAGCTTCATGTTTACAAATATAGTGTCTGCCTGCCAGTTGCTTGAGGATTTAGAAATGAAAAATTGTACTGGAATGAATTTCGATGATATCAGCGTGTTTCCAAGTCTCAAACACTTGCACCTAAACAATGCTGACATAGGAAACAATAATTTCCTTGAAGACTTGGATAATAACTGTCCAAACCTTAAGGAATTGGTCCTGTGTGATTCGCGTGAAAGGGCAACGATTAAAATCTCAAGCTCTTCTCTGGAAAACTTACAGCTGAGTTTAGAAAATCATGATGAGATTCAGGTTCAAGCTCCAAAATTGAGAGAATTCGTGTACAATAGCGACCGCGGCAGTATACCTGATCAGCTATATATTAGTGGTGTACTCACAGCTGAATGGACTTGCACGATTAACATTTTGCTATCTCAAAACCTGGATAACAACTGCTTCTACAAGTTGAAGAAAATAATTACAAATCTGAGCCGGTCGAAGCTTTCTTTCAACCTGAAATATCGTAAGTTTTCTGCCGTCAACTTTGATATCAATAAGGTAGCTGATCTAGATCTCGATGGCCCGAGTAGTAGTATTCAACATTTATCAGTGGAAGGCTGCGGAAATGAGGAAACTTTGAGTTGTATGTTGGATGGGTTTTTCTGGTGTTGTCGTCCAAAAACCCTAAGCCTAAAATGGGGTGGCCTGAGAAGCATTCATGACACGGACCCCTTTTTAGACAGGGTAATGAACACGCAATATCAGGATCATGGACAGGTTATCAGTTCTAAATTTTGGCAGCAAGATTTGAAGCGGGTAAAACTTGAGGTTCTCGATCATCGAAAGCAGGAAGTTTTTGGTCACTGCCAGGAGGTTTTTCAAAGCTCCCACATGTTAGACTGGCAGACATCAGCTTAAGATGCCATTCATAGTATGAGTTTTGAGTCCCAGATTCTTGTGGTTTGGAGTTGTCTTTATGATACTGATTCTTCAGAATAGATAAATAAAACAGTAATGTTCTGTTGTTGCGACTTGACGGCAGTGTACAAGTCTAGTAAGTTTGCTGATTCTTGCAAGTTTACTAATTGATTCAGTTTCTAAGTTTTTTTTTTTTTTTGGGTACAACCATTATCAACGCTTTAATATAAATGTACATAAGCTATTAGTTGTACATGTATTATCTCCATCCCAAATATAAAATACAGTACTTCTTGCTATTCTAATTATTCGTGCCTTATAATTAGGACAGTACTATTTTTTAATGAAAAAATACCACTTTTATTGGGGGGGATACACTTGTCTCAGGGCTACACAATTTTACCGAATTGGAAAACCCTAGTTCTTCTTGGTCCAGATATATAACATCATCAAAATAGTACAGAAGAACACCCAAAAAAAATAAAAAAATATAAATAATAAATAAAAAAATAGCCGACCTCCATCAATGGTGGAAATTACGGATTTACCGGAACCCATCTTGCAAGACATAGTGTCATGGATGAAATCCGACGATGCCATCGAAGCAAGCTTGTGTTGTAAAACATGGTTCCGTGCTTGGCTGACCCGACCAAATTTGGTGTTGGATTTCAAATTATCACGATTTTCATGAACTTGAGTATTTCATAGATAAAGATGTCAGTTTTCAGAATCTCAATTTCCTCTTACTACACAAAGAACCCAAATCAACTCGTACTCCGATCCAGTTATTTAAACGCCGGATGGAAGTATTCTCGTCCAAACAAAAGCTGCACAAATCAGAAGTGAAATTCCAAAAGTTACTGTATTACATCAACCACATAAACGAAACCCTAGCAAGGTACCATCGGGACAAGATCCCAATCCTTTCTTTTAAATGTCGTTGGTATGAGTTGCTGAATGGGATTATCGCCACTTATTTTTGAGCTATGGGTTTGCGGCGTACTCGAGCTGATCAGCGATTGTAATTAAGTCTACGGAACTTGAAATTGTATTACAAACAAGACATACTTTGTCACCAGCTCAAACCACTATGTTTGGAAGACATCGAAACCGATGTGCTCATGTTTGGAACCTAATGTCTAATTGCCAGGAGATTCAGGATTTGGAGATACGGAGGTATTCGTTTGTAATCGCCAACGGTCAGCTTCCCTGTCTTAAGAGATTATGTTTTCTCGGAAGGTACACGAGCTGTCAACGTTTGGAAGTCGAATCGCCTAGCCTTGAGTCTCTTACAGTGTGTCGCGATAGCGTTTGGCTCATTTTACATCCATGTCTGAATCTGAAGTTTCTACGCATGAAGATGTTGATTTTGGTCGCACTTTCTTTGAAGGCTCGGACGATAAATGTCCAAATCTTAAGGTCTTAATCATCTGTACATACAGACCGTGATGACCGGGGCATATCATCAACACTCAAAATCGCAAGCTCTTTCTATCGAGAGGTGGTTTTGGTTGATGCTCCTAAGCTGAACGAATTTGTGTATGATGGTTACACTATTCCTCAACATGTTAGTAGTGCCTTAAGGCAATGGACTTCTACAATCAAGATTTTGCTTTCTCAAAAAATGGATAACTCGTGCTTCTACAAATTGAAGGGACTGATAACAGAATTGAACCACTCTAAGCTTTCTTTAGACCTGAATTATCGCGGGTGTTCTATCGAATTCGATATCAAAGGGGTGATAGCTGATGGTCTAATGTTTCTTCCTTGTCCTAGTGTCGAGCGTTTATCCCTGAAAGGCTCTGGGGATGAGGAATCATTAACGTCTATGTTGGATGGCTTTTTTTGGGGCTGTCGTCCTAAACTTTTAAGCCTGAAATGGAGTTGCCTGGGAGGCATTATTGACTACAAAGACTCCCCCTTGGAGAGAGTAATGAAGGGGCAACATGGAGATCTTCGTCACGGTTCCATTAAGTTTTGGCAGCAAAGCTTGAAGAGTGCGAAACTTGAGGTTCTTGATCATCGCAAGCACAAAGTGGTCCACTTCTTTTACTTGCTAGACTGGGAGACATCAATCACAACACAATAAAGAGGCCTAAGAGGCTAAAAGCTTACTCCCTCGGTCCTTAATATAAAATATTTTTTTATTTGCTTTAGGTTTTACTTAATACGTATTTTTAATTGACAAAAAAAATTTAAAAATATTTCATAACGATCAAGCGAATACAATGAATTCGAAATATGTTTTTAAGATTTTTTTTATTAATTAAAAATATATATTAATTAAAATCTAAGACAAATTAAAGTATCTTGTATTAAGGACCGGAGATGTGTTTTGATTTTATAGATAATAGATTCTCCCAATGTTCAATTTGGAACAATACACATTCGACATTATAAAGTTGTCAACAAATTTAGAATGACAATCAATGTTGATCGTTGTATGACAATCAAGTTCTTCTCTTTCTCTTCTTCTTCCTCTCTTTCTTACTCGTTGTTTCCCCCACATGAGTGGAAGAAATTAACCATCTGTTTTTGCCACTAGTGTCTTCAAACCACTTTGATACCGCTTTCTAGTGCCAACCGAAGCATATGATTTAGAAAAAGTTGAAAATTTATACTCCCTTCGTCCTAAAATTGCTGTCTAGTTTGGATTTTCAATTTTAGTTCAAATTATACTATAAATGAAAATCTGGATTAGACAATAATTATGGGACAGAAGAAGTATTATAATTTGCCCAATATCATGGAGTATAATTTAAGAGAGGCAGCATGTCTAAAATACAGTCAACACATTACGGAATGCATTAATTACTCCTAAAACATTATGCTAGTCGCAAAACCTCCTAGATTTTGTGCAGCCAGTCCAAAAAGTTCGATTTACTGAAAGACGGAGAGAACAGGAAAAAATAAATACTCCCTCCTCATAATTATTGTCCAGTTTTACTAAAATGAAAGATTTTATTTTTAGCCAAATTTAACTATATTTTACCTTACAACCGGATATATCCCTACATAAATAATTGTTTAACCACTAAGATTTTATGGATAATGTTTTTTACTAAGGACAAATGTGTAACTTGATCCATAAAAAGTCAAATTGGACAATAATTTTGGGACAAAATTTTTTGGGCAAAGTGGACAAAAATTATGGGACGGAGGGAGTATAATAATAAATTGTGCTCACCCTAATTGGTATTAAATATTCACTAATCACACCAGAACAGTGTGATTTAGCCAAAAACGTTTCTTTTTCTCCATCCATGGCGAAAATTACAGATCTGCCAGAAGCCATCCTACAACAAATATTTTCTTTGTTGAGATCCGAAGGAGAAGGAATCAAAGCCAGCTTATGTTGTAAACCATTGATGAACGCCTGGCTAACCCGACCCGATCTTGTGTTCGATTTCGATCATCTCCTGCGCTGTTGCGATTATGAAAACCGAAGGGAAATCTTCGAAGAGGATGTAGAATACCAGCAGCTGTTGGATTACTTGACCCGGACACTGAGAAGATACCATCAGGGGAAGGTACCAATTCGATCTTTTACATTTAAACATGGTCCCTATAGTTTCCAGAAACGGATCGTGAAGCCCCATGTTCTGGAGGAATGGGTCAGGCTTGCTTCCGAAAACGGAGCCAAAATACGATTGAATCTGTTATATGATTGTTATTTGCCCCAAAACTTTTGGGAGTGGAAGAATCTCGCAGAGGTAAGGCTACTGAAATTCAATTTGGGCAAACAGGACGTACGTTGTCATCAGCTCAAAGTAGTACATTTGAAAGATGTAGAAATTAATGAAATACTGTTTCAGGATCTAATGTCTTACTGCAATTCAATTGAGGATATGGAGATTCTGTTCTGTACTGGGTTGAAGAAGATTGTCACTAATAAACTTCCACGTCTTAAGCGATTCCGCTTTCGCGGCGATGTGGACTACTTCACATTGGAAATTCAATCGCCAAGCCTTGAGTTTCTTACAGCAAAAATGCCTGGTTGGAACGGAAAACTCACTTTACATCCATGTCAGAATCTCAAGTATTTACGCCTCAAGAATTTCGTTGTTAATGCCGGAAACAGATTCTTTGAAGACTTGGATAATTATTTTCCGAATCTGCAGTCTCTTCGGCTAGGTCGAACCTGTGTTATACGCTGTGATTCTGAGGACATATCAAAAATCAAAGTGTCAAGCTCTTCACTGGAAAGATTGCAGCTGAAGCTGATACATGATCTGGATGACATTTTGGTTCGTGCTCCTAGATTGAATGAATTCGTGTATCATGGCTACGCTACCGCTGATCCAAATATTATTGGTGCCTCAAGCCTGCGGACTTCCACCCTCAAGATTGTGCCATCTTATGTAGATTATAGGAGTAACAGGTGTAAGTACTCTTTTGACAGAGTGAAGGAACTCATAAAAAAATTTGGCCAGTCTAGACTTTCTTTAGTCCTGAAATCTCGTCAGCATTCTGTGATTAACTTAGGTATGGAACAGGTAAGAGATGATGATCCTCATATTCCAGCTATTGAAAGATTATCAGTGGAAGGTGAGGGGAATGAGGAGTCCTTGATTTCTATGTTGGATCGCTGTTTCTGGTGTTGTCGTCCCAAAATCTTAAGCGTAAAATGGTGGGGTTGCCTGAATGATGTAGACGGCGGAGACCCCTTCTTGGAGAGGGCAATGAAGACCGAATATCAAGATCATGATCAGGGTCACATTAAGTTTTGGCAGCGAGACCTGAAAAGAGTACAACCTCAGGCTCTTGATCATCCCAATCACGAATCTGATGGTCGCCCAAAGGATTTTCTTCACTTCTTATACACGTTGGACTGGGACACACCATCATCCTCAACAGCAACAGAAGAATGAGGAGGCCTAAAAACTTTAAATGACAGATTTCATTTGTAGTACAACTTATCCTGTCGTTTTGATTTTACATAGGTTTATGAATTTCTAAAATGTTGAATTGGGTCGGATCGTTATAATACTTCGCATTCTTGATTTTTTTTTTTTTTCTTTTCCCGGCAGTTTTGATTCTCTCAGTAATGACTGTTGATTTTGATCTCAATATGGCTTTTCAAGTTTTATTATGAAATGGAAGAACAATCTAGTAGTGTAGGAAAAGTTTTGTAAAGAATGGGGAAGGCACTAAATTAACAGAGATTGAGTCTTTTCCTCCATTACTTATAAAAACTACTACCTCCGTCCCACAAAATAGTCCATATTGACTTTTCAAATTTGTACAAAAAACAATACAAAACTCAAAACTCAATGTAGACTATTTTTGTGGGACGGAGGGAGTACATATTTAGAATGTGTATTGTTGTTTCTTGTGATATGGGTTTCATTACAGTAAAAGAAGTGTAAACAGTTCTCCTCTCTTAAACAGTATAGAGGTACGAATTAGTTAACAAATTTGTGTTTGTATCAAGGCTTGTGTGCTTTGCTGTTTCAGTGCCCTTATGCCACTATAGTTTTAAGGAAAGAGATCAAATTCCTGTGTCTGTGTGGGGTATTAATTCGATGAAAAGGCAAACAATTTTTTCAGGAAAGGAACATACACTACTTTCTTCACAATTTATTGGAGAAGCAATGCATCAGACGTCAAATTTGTTCACTGAAAAAACTTGTTTAAAGTATTTATAAAGAGTTTTCAATCATAATAACTAAAAAACTACTACTGAATGCATAAATTTACACCACAAAGGATTGGGACCCTCAAAAGAAATTTGCACATAAAAAATAAATCAACTTCAAGATAAAACAGAACAGAGGTTTTTAATAAGAAGCAGCATGGTGCAGAGAGATCCGTATGACCTGGTTCAGAGAACCCTTCTATTTTTTCCACCAAAGAAAAAAAAAAGAATACATGTTCATCTCAATTCTAGGCTGCAGCTGATATACATCTATGCTAATTTTCATTGATGAATTTGATTACGGGGAGGAAGTCCACGAGGCAGCGGTGGTTGCATCCCTGGGATGCGATTAAAATTAGATGGCAAGCTTCCGATCGGTGCATTGTTTGGATTCCCAGGCTGGAAGGGATTATGTCCTGGCATTATTGGCATCTGCCCAGCTTGTGGCCTATTAAGGCCACCTATCTGCGGAAACATTTGGTGTCCAGTTGCTATAGAGGGGCCTTGCATTTTCAGTAACCCAGAAGACGTGGTGTTCAGGTTCATGAAGTGCCCTTGAGGCATTGGTGGCACCATCTGATTCATATTGCCTTGCATAGAAGGAGGAAGGCTTGAAGGTCTATTAATAGGTTGCGGCTGAGGAGGTATATGAACATGTGGCAACAAAGACTGATGGGTTGAAGGCTGACCCAATGCTTGATGCTGCTGTGCTTGATGAGCATTTTGTTGATAAGGCTGACTGACAGAAAAAAGAGATGGATGAGGCCCAGGCGGAAGGGGAGGAGCACCAAAAGGCATTGGAACCGACATAGGTGGCTTCTTATCCTCCTGAGGAGATGAATCAATCGAAAATGGCATAGGAACTCCAATTCCTGGTATAGTACCTTCATTTCTTATTAATCCAGCAGCATATGGAACTGGAGTTGTTGGTCCCTCAAGTCCAGGAAAAGCGCTAGGCATGCTTAAACCTGTGCTCTGCTCTCCAAAGCCCGCACTTAATTTCTCACGAGATTGATCACCAGGTCTATTACGGCACCAAAATTTTGTCGCCTGATCGTTACCACCACTGCACAGAATATGTCCAGTGGGATGCCAAGCAAGGTCCCAAACACTGTTGTCATGAGCCTTAGAAGTTTCAACCTGCGAACCGTCTTCCCCAACAACCCAGTGAAAAATCGATCCATCAAGACTGCCGCTAGCAAAATACTCCTCATGAAACGGATGCCAAGCCAATGCAGTGACATCCTTCTGATGACCGCGGAAGGATTCAAGCTCCTTCATAGTCCTTATATCATAAAGCTTGATAAGTTGATCTTTTGAAGCAGTAAGGACCCAGTTTCCATTCTGATTCCATTTGACACAAAACACAACATTCTTATGTCCATGAAATGAACAAAGCTCCCTTCCCGACTTTGCATCCCAAAGTTTGACAAGGTGGTCTTTTCCACCTGAAACTAACAAAGACTTTGTAGGATGCCAGTCGACACTTTTGACATCCCAACCATGGCCAGTCAAAGACCGCTCTTCTTGACACCGAGCAAAGTCCCACACCTTAACGGTTGTGTCATCAGAGCAGGAGCAAAATTTCAAATCGGTCGCGCAGAAACTCAAATCACGAACTGATTCCTTGTGAGCAGAATTATTGGCTTTGATATTATTCATGTTGTTTTGCCAATACTTTATTGCACCGCCATCATCACCTGTAACCATCCAGTTATCATTATAACTCCACACCATCGACCTGACTGCTTGATCATGAGCCTGCAATACCCTTTCAAAATGAAATGACTGTCCATTCCATAGGGTAAATTCGCCGCTCTGAGATCCAGTGATGAGCATTCCATTCGGAGCCCACAGAACGCGATTAATGGAGCAGCGGTTTTTGTTGTTTAGGGAAGTATGTATAAACTTGGAAGCAAAGCTTGTGGATGGATTGTCTGAATAAGCCGTAGTTGGCAGCATATCAACAACAGCAGCCGGCGTTGGTTGTAAGACAGTCCTGTACCGCGAATCACGTTGCCACATTCGAATCAGTGCATACCGGACAACAGTGCTTGTATAATCTACAGCCCTCCTTTGCCCAATCTTTCTCATTCTTTTGGCGGGAAAGTTATCAACATGAGACTCATAAGGAGGAGGATGAGTGTGGAGATTAGGAGGCTGTACATGATGATGATGATGTTCGGGCGGAGGTGGCTGAGCATTAACAGTGGTGGACAAAGCTGCTGAGGGGGGCCGACCCGGAAGCTGTGTTGGACCCCTCTGTAGGTATGGTTGATGCATGGGCGGTGGACCGGGGGGGACAGGCGAATAGTGTTGCTGGTGCGGGTTCTGGTGTACATCTCCTCCATACATCATAGTAAACTGTGATGGCGAATCCAAACTGTAATGGAGCAGCGAAGAAGAGGGTTAATGGGTCTGTCAGTCAATTACTCAAACAGCTAGTCGGCTTTCCTTAGTTTGCGAGTTCCTCTTTCTTCCGTTCCAGGACAGAATCGAAACCGTAGCCGGGAAATTAATCCAAACCTGGTGCCTGGCGGTGCTTTGCTGCTGCTTATGTTATTCTGGTCGAAAAGTGAAAAAGGCAGTCTTTCCTCTTACTGTTTGATGAATTGTGCAGACTCAACGTTATGGAATTGTGTCAGGAAAGAGGGCTCGAGTATAGCTGCTTATATCTTATTGTGATGTCGTCTATAAAATCCCAAGCCAAATCGGATTTTAATCACAGTAGTCGGCACCTAATCGGAATCCGATTGCCACGGTTTCCTATTAAAAAGAAAAAAAAAATTTTGTCATCGATCAAACTATTTCCTAAACCGATGACCCTTTTTTCCGCGATGTGTGGGCATTTGAACATGGATGAAAGTCGGCAATTTGCAATTCAGGAAAATCAATTATCCAACTACTTTCGTCCCAAATGGCACATGCTTGATCGTGTTGAAAATTTAGTGGACACCTTCAATCGGTTGAAGCTTCTAAGTTCTGAGTTCTGACCTTGGGCTGTTGAAGAAGGCGAGGTGGATGGATCTTTGGCTAAGAAACACTGTTGTTCAAGCAATGGTGTTCTTGCTCCATCTGGAAGTGGCCGGGTCTCTTTCATTTGAATCTCCCCATCCCTCTCTTTATTAAAATCATTTTTGTTAAATTTTTGTTAAAACTAGTGGAAGATTTAGTTAAATGCTCTGAGTGAAGTATAATTGTTCCTTGTTGGTTTGTACCACATATAGGTTGTATATACAAATTGCAAAATTTCATAGTAACAAAAAAAAATTTTAAAACAAAAAAGAAAAAGAAATATAGCTAGTTTGTACTCACTCGTCTTTAATATAAAGTACTACTATTTTGATTTTGTCTTACGTTTCACATAATACACATTTTTACTCGGAAAAAAAATCTTTAAAATATATTTTCACATTCGTTGTGTTCTTGTGCTTTGTTACGAAATATTTTTAAGGTTTGTTTCTTAATTAAAAATTTATAGTAGGTGAAATCTAGGACAAATCAAAATGTCTTATATTAAAACCGGAGGGAGTATGTTAATGTGGTCCGACAAAGATTGGAACAGAAAGTTGTATAATACTCTCTCCGGTCTTTATTATAAGGTATCTTGATTTCTCTTAACTTTTATTTATCGTATTTTTCTAATTGAAAATAAAACCTTAAACATACTTTATAATATTATGAAGAACACAAAAAATATAAAAATATATTTTTAAGGTTTTATTTTCAATTGAAACAACATAGTAAATGAGACCTAGAAAAGTTTGATATGCCTTACATTAAAGACCGAAATGAAATGAGTAGTTTCGTCTAGTTTTTCCAGCACAATTCTAGTAAATTGCATGAATAATGGTAACTCATAAACAGGAACTTTCAACATCTTCCTTTGCTCCATTGTTTGTTTACCATTTTTCGTTCAAACTAACGAGTTTAAGCGATCTGTGACAGTTCATTCCACTTTTCGAAAGAAGTTGGCATTACTAATGTTTTCGGAATATTCACTGTATTTGAATAAGAATAATGATTCTTGTAAGAAAATTTTACAAAAATTTTTAATAAAGAATGAATTATAATCATCTATACTTAAATTTTTTTCTTTAAAAGTTTATTCATTTAAGGATTAGGAGATAGGTAAGATTTAACCACCTAATTCCTTGTGAATTTCTTTGTCAATTTTGTCTCGCTACTTCTTTGGATAAATCAACTTCAAGTTGTAATTGTGTTTTTTTGATTATTTTTCCAACCAAAAGAAAACCAAAAATAAAAATGTTTCATTATATCAACAAAGGAAAGAACATCAAATATACGAAACAACCGTGGGCCAGTAGCCCATTTAGAGTTAAAAGATTATCAATCCAGTATATCTGTAGGAAAGCCCAATTAGGCATACTAAAAAAGAAACAAAACCACTGTCGAACCTCCGTTGTTTCCCCGGCGAACTTGCTATGGAGGTTGGAGCTGCGCCGGGAAGTTTGCGGCTAATTCAACTCCGGATTGGCCGAAGAATATCAAATCCATCGCCTTCTTTTTACCCAAAAGTGAGATGCAATCTAAAGGGGGCCGGTTCCAATGGCGTGGAACCAATATCCCAGAACCTGCGTATGTTTATCCTCGGAATGGGATTTGTGGGACAATACTTCGCAGCTGATTTGAAGCAAAAAGGATGGTGAGATCACCGAGGAATTTCATTGTCTGAGATTTTCCATTCTTATTAATTTATTGGGTTCTTTTCTCTTACCAAAGTTTATTTTTCCGGCGTGTGATTTCTGTACATAGGGTGGTGAGTGGGACATGTACCAGCACCGCCATGAAAATGAAACTTGAACAAATGGGATATGATGCATATGTCTTCGACGCCAACGAGCCCCAGTGAGTTTGAGTTTTTTAATTTGGATTTTCACATCATCTTGCTAATTTGTAGCTTCTGAGTATTTTTTGAGCTGGCTTTCCTCTTTACTTTCCTTGCATTTTTTGAAAAATTAATTATGTACAGTTGGTTAAATTACTGGGGATAGTGAGAGTGAGAACAACTTGGCTCCTGCTTGGGATTTGTATTTCAAAATCGAGTCTTTATGGAATTTGGAACTGGTATTTTAAGTCTGAATGGCAGTAACAATTATACTCTCAATTTTGTGGTAAAAATTTGGTCTTTTTGCAGGGTAGAAGTCCTTGATATCATGAAATATCATACCCATCTCCTTATTTCCATTCCTCCTGTGCCTGATATTGGTGATCCTGTAAGTTGTTGGCTATTGATGACTTAAAGATGTTACCGTGAACCACCATTAGTATGTTTCTTACTATATTGTTCTTGTACACATTGCAGCTGCTTCAGCATAAGGAACTATTGAAAAGTAGATTAAGAGATGGGAACCTTCAGTGGCTCAGTTATTTATCATCTACACGTATGTATTCTTTCTTGATCCACTCTTGTTACATAGACTTTACCATATTTTGATTAGGAACTATCCTTACGGCACTTATGAGCAATATTGCAAGAAACGGTTACCTTTAATGATAGTATCTTGTTTCACATACACATACATCTTGTGTACCTGCCTGAATTTTTGACTTGCTTTAGTAATATCTAAAAACCAGGGGTTTGATACTGTAGGTGTATATGGTGATAGTGGTGGTGCATGGGTGGATGAAGAGTAAGTGTGAGCTATTCAACTTCTTTAGTTGCTTATCCACAGACAGATTTGTTTTATTGACATTTATACTGAGTTAGTATATATTTGTTCTATGGACAGTCATCCCATAATGCCTACAAGTGAATTGGCAAGGTCTAGATTAGCTGCAGAGGAAGGATGGTCAAGGTTGGGTCAGGATTTGGAGATAGCTGTACAGATATTTCGGCTTGGAGGTATCTATGGCCCTGGCAGAAGGTTACAATGTTTTTCCAGAACTTTTTCTTTATGATTGTAACATCTAGTTAAGCTTGTTCACTTATGTTATTGGGCAGTCAATTGGCAAATTCTTGTTGGTTAAGCTACTCACTCACCATTATTTTTTATGCAGTGCCATCGATACAATAATTAAGAAGGAGCCTCTCTCTCCTAGTCAGAGAAAGCGTTCATCTAGGCGTTATACATCCAGGATCCATGTTTCTGACATTTGCCAAGCGCTTAATGCCAGCATTGAGAAGCCATCTAATAGGTAACCTTAAGATTGTACATGTTTTAATCCTTCTCTGCATTTTTTAGAACACCCCAATTTATGCGACAATATGGAGGATGAATGTCTTCGTCTTGCATTCTTGTACATAATGATCAATCTTGGGGGAGACCTTATAAAAGGCTGATAGCTTTTCATTATGTTGAATGAACATAGTGCGATCTGCTGGATGCATTATTTGCCTTCATTTATTTCGGTCTATCTTTTCGGTGTCAGGAGAATATACAACATAGTGGATGATGATCCTGCTCCACGAGCAGAAGTATTTAAATTTGCGCAGAATTTGGTCAAAAGTAAGTGGCAGGACCATGGACGAGAATTCACTTTTCCTCAAGTGCCAGAAACTTTACCCTCAGAGGGAGTTTCCACAGAGGAGAAGCGAGTTAATAATGCCCGAATGAAATTAGAGCTTGGAGTAAAGCTTCGTTATCCTACTTATAAATCAGGATTGCAGGACATCACTGACCAAATGAGTGACCCTTTTGTCTCATAATCCCTGAGGTAGGTAAATCATGATAGATAGATACCATTTCACCATTTCTGTGCCATAATTTCCTTATATAATGGACTGAAATCCACAAGGGATGTTGACTAAGTTTTTTTCTTTTCTTGGGAGAAAAGGGATAATGGGAGGACATCAAAACGGGACAGCATGAAGTTAAAAGAGGTGGCTGCAGAAGGGTTCTGCAAATTGCAGGATAGAAACAAGCATCAAAGAGTACAGTAAATTGAAACCCGACAAAACAGAGGAATGGGAAGAAATGGGACGTGCACGTTCATCATCATGATCATCATCATCAGCAGCTGCTGCGCCTAGATTCTCGAGTCTATCATGATATGTCATCAGCATGGAAAATCAAGTAAAAAGGAAAGGATTATCCATTAATAGGAAGGAACTCAAATGGCAGAAGCAGGTTGCGCAGTTTGAATACACGTGTATCATTGTCTGCTGCATGTTGCCGCGCCCAGTGGCCAAACAAAAACAGCTGTGCCTTTTCACCCTTCTTCCAGAATTTCTTGTTTTCCAGAAAAGAAGTAATAAGAAGTCCTAAATCGCCACTTCAATATCTTTTTCCTTTGTTGCCCTTCAGATATATATTCCCTTCGACCCAAAATGATATTACAGTTTAGATTTTTATTTTCAGTTCAAATTATACTAAAATTTAAAATTTAAACTCAAGACAACAATTTTGGTACAAATAGAGTATCTTTCTTTTGTTTCATAAAATGGAGTACATGATCGATTAGACATCTCCCTCCGTTTGTAGTACCACTTTTGCATGAAATTTCATTATTTCAGTGGTCATGTTAGTTGATGTGTACCGAAAACTTGTAGTGCATCATAAATAGTCACATCCATTAGGGTTTGCTAACATTGAACTTATTCCGTTGCGTCATATTCAGAAGACACAAATTTGAATTATTATACATAGGCTTGAAAGAAGCAAATGTTAGCTCAGAACTTGATATTAAGCTCTTCCAGTTGGACAAAGGAAGAAGATATCATAAAATTTTCTCCATTTGCTCAAGGGTTAGGTTGCTAGAAGTGGTGGGACAACTTCTGAAATCCTAAGAAACCAGACAACCTTTTTCAAAATTTGATACGAAAATAATAAAAAAAACCACATCCATGAACGGAACAGTGATAATGGTCACATGTCCTATCCCAATATCTTATAGTATTGGACTATAAACTATATGTACGCGACAAACAGCAACGAGCTGTGCGATTTTTTGTTTGAATCTTGGCTGGTTTTGATTCAGTCTTTGAGCATCACATTCATAAAAGAAATGAATATTCCCCGCAATTTTTGTCATCATTGGTTTGTCTACTTGGACGACCACTCTCCAGCTATTATTAGAAGTTGCAGAAAATCAGCATATTATGCAACTTTTTCCGGGAGGAACACACCAAAATTTGAAGGATCCATAATAATGTAGTAATAATGAGACCATAAGATTTTATTCAATTTCCCAATTTCATGGAGTCACTTAATCACTAATTTCCCAATTTGCTATCAAAATCTACTTCATTTGTAGTAACGATTATAATAAGGGCAAGTGTCTCAGAGAATTAAATGCAAATCAACGAGTGTGTTATGTAAAGTTGAGAAAGCTCATCTAAAACTTTATCAAAAGCTAAGTTTGAAATCTAGTTTATTTAAAGTATTAATAATAAGTGCATGTTTTTCAATGGAAAAAAAATAATGTTCGGAAAGTTCTTTTTTATTTATTTTTCTTTCAAGAATTGAATGCAGATTAATATGAGTTATTATTTAGAAAACCTCATGTGCATTTTAAAAAATGAGGATGAGAAGGAAAGGGTAAAAGAGTCAAATAACCAGGTTCTTGGCTAATATATTGTTCCCCTTCCTAGTATATAGAGACCAGGTTCAAGCCACTCTGAAAACTTTACAGCACGAGAGATTTCTTTTTATATATAAAAATAAAAAAGTTGGAAAAAAAACAAAAAGCAAAAACAGCAAAGAAAAAAAAAATGAAGGGGCTGTGGTTGCAGCAGCTGAATTCAGTCCCTTACTGCGTGAAAGAGAAGAAGCCATGCATCGGGTGGGTTAACATCTACTTCAAGGATTGTCTCTGCAATTCCAGAGACGAATTGTCTTTCGCTTTAGGCCTCATCAGCCTCCTCTTTTGGGGTGTCGCCGAAATCCCACAAATTGTCACCAACTTCCGAACCAAATCCAGCCATGGCATTTCCCTCTTGTTCCTTCTCACTTGGGTTGCCGGGTTTGTGACATTTTTGTCTTCCTCTTCTCCTTTTAATTACTCTGTTCTCCGGCTCTTTTTTCTTGCTCTGCATGGGCTGCAATTCGTGACACTTCGTAAATTTGACTGTTTGATTCAATTGCAGAACAGGGTTTGTATAATAATTTGTTTTAGTAATCTGCCCTGTTATTTTGTTGTTGCAGGGATGCATTCAATCTTGTGGGTTGTCTTCTGGAACCTGCAACAGTACGTTTTCATTTGGACCACTTATTTCGTTCTTCTCTTAACTGTTTTTAACGTGAATTTAGAACGGCTTCCCGTGAAAAACCCAGACCAAAGGCTAAAAACCTCTGTCATCAGATTTACATGAGGAAAAGATATGCACGCTTAAAAATAGTGATTATGCTTACCTCTTTAACATTTACTCTGTTTAAATATAGTGCCCTGTTCTTATCTGTTCATCGCTATTGGTTGATTGATTGATTTTGTTTCCTTGTTTACGTTGATTGTGCAGTTGCCAACTCAATTTTACACGGCTCTGGTAATGTGTTATTCCTCAGAATTATATGATTTGATTTATGATTAATTCGAAAGAAAAGGTTTGAGTGATTCTTGTTTTTGCAATTACAATGTTGAGCAGCTTTATACCACTACTACCTTACTCCTAGTTTTGCAAAGCTTGTACTACGATCATTTCTGTAGATGGTGGAAGTCTCGAAAGCACGACTCAATACAAGAACAGGTACATTTAAATTAAAAAAAACCCATTTCTTTAAATTAAATAATTTGCTGGAATTCGGGGTCTTTTGTTTGTATTCATCTAAGATATACATGCAATTAATGGCTAAACGGCAGAAATGTGATTTTGATCCTTATCAGGATGAAGATGTGAAAAAACCATTGAGACCACACAAACACAGGTCATCAAACGATACTGGAATTCCGATACCCAATGGGACTAGCAAACCTTCGCCACGTAGGGATTCCAGAGACTACTATTACACGTATGTTCTTGCAGAACTCATGTGAAGGTTCTAGTTTTCCAGGGAATTATTTAATTGGATTTGGACAGTTTGAAGTATATATGGTTCTGGGCTGTTATGCAGGTCAGCAAGATCTTTAGCCGGCAGTGCTACACCGCCAATTCGTTCCTCCGCTTGGCCGGTTAGGAGTGGGCCGTCAGCCATTGGCATTCCGGATGGCTGTTCTTCGGACGACGAAACCTTTTCTACTGCACCTCCAACTAGTTCTAGCCTGCCCAAACCAGTCCCAAGATCCGTGAGTGTCTGATTAATTTAGTTATTGTATTGTACAGATGAAGTGGATTTTGATGTAACTTTTGCTGTTGTAGTTAGTGGGAGTTGCCACTTTCTTAGTCCATGTTGACTCAGCTGTCACTAAGGAAACAGAACAATTAAAATTAGCTATAAGATTATCATTGCTTTGAAATATTTAAATCCCATTTTATCCCATCACTAAAGTTTCTTGGGATTACACTAAGCTAAAGTTGGTAGACCGCAGACAGCCTTGAATGAAAAATGGTGAATAATGAAAGTGATTCTGATAGTTTTATGGTTTCATAAAATTGAATTTCAACTGATTGTTGGTAGATATTGCACGTTAAGAGTTGCTAGTACTTGGCTCAGTTGTTGTAGTATTTCCTTCAGCTTTCAAAGTGTTATCTTCAAGTTGACAGTCTGTGAGTTTTGTCTTTTTACTTCTTGTCTTTACTCCTAATATCAGTACTATATTACTGGCCATAACTGATAAGCTTTGCTTATTAGATTATTCTTTTGCCACGTTCAATTGCTGGAAATATTACATTGTAAGCTCGGGGCTAAAGGCTATTAGCTTAGCTGATCAGTTAATCAAGGCAGCAAGATAGTATGCTGTCCTCGTTACTACTAAAACTTTTAATTGTGGAATTAATATTATCCCGAATGAAGGTAAAAACCAATGCTCAGCTACAAATTACTTCCACTCATAAGGAGCAGATTTTTTATTCGTTGACACAGAGCTTGATGTCGACATGTGAACCATTTAATTGATAACAAGCAGTAGAACATGGGATTAGTAGTTGTTATTGTTGATTGTTGATTACCGGCTAACTTAACTTATGAAACCTCAAGCATTTTCAATTATTGACTAGCTTGTGCTTGAATGACTGGTTACTACAGGTTGGTTATGGTGCACTTTTTACAACGACAATGAGTATGCCTCACCAGTCAAATGCAATGATGCAAGGTTACATTGGTTTTAGTGGGAGGAAATTATTACAGGTTTGAGACTAATTGCTCTCCAGCTAGCCTTACTTACCTTATGCTGGGATTCACATGTTCCTCTGTGGTGCAACAGGAACACGGGGCGGGAAATACTGTATTAGGGCAATCATTAGGGTGGATGATGGCTGCTATATACATGGGCGGTCGGATACCCCAAATCTGGTTAAATGTAAATCCATTCCCTACCAGGTTTAGTTTATATGCTCCCTTACGTTGTAATTTGTTTCTGAGTTGGGCTGTTTCTTCTCTTACCAGATAAAAAGAGGAAGCGTGGAGGTATGACAATGGAAACTCTCTTATATCAGTGATCTAGCTCCCAACAATATATATTGCTAACATCGGTTTCATATGAAAATTTCCAGGGCTTAAATCCTCTGATGTTTATATTCGCTGTAACGGCAAACATTACTTACGTTGGAAGGTACACTTTCTGTAACACTGTATAGGAAATTCTTGGTGAAGTTTATAAGAAAGCTAATTGGAACAGTAAGACAAGGCATGATGCCTAACATGTGTTATATGATGCAGCATTCTGGTAAGAGATACCGAATGGAAAAAGGTTCAAGCCAACTTGCCTTGGTTGCTGGATGCCGGTGCTTGCGTGTTGCTGGACTTATTTGTATCCTTCCATTAAGTGTTATTACTTTGATCTTTTCCCTATTGCACAGCTTATACATCATTCCTTTCCGTTTTTCAACACTACAATGACTTTCCAATGACTTGAATCCTTGACGGTTGTAATGATAGATAATATTCCAATATGTTTATTACAAATATTTGCGAAATGGGAGTGCCGGAGAAGAAGGCTTTGGAGGGTACATTGAAGCGAGCAAGGAATAAGGATTACGGCCGCTGAGTTGAGATTGGAGGTGAATATAGAGACACGGGGACAGTAAAGTTTTTCATTGATTGAGCTTATGTAATTCTTTCTTTCCTTGGGTTTTCTTGTTTTTCACATGTTTTGCCAAAAAATTTTGGTGAATATTCTGAGAAATGACAGTGAAGTGCTGGTACTCATTTTTCCAGTGACATATAAAGCTTTGATTCACAGCACATGTTGATGTCTGCAGCTAAAACGTGTAGGCAATGTTGTCTTCTTTCACTCTTTCACACAATAGTATCCTCAAAAACCTAAAGAGACAAATGTGAAGTTGATCTCTGGTAACTAGAAACCCATGCCCCAAAGTGATTATCATCTTACTAATATTCATCCATTAGATTAATCGCGAAAGCACCAAAATCCGCATCATCAGTTCATGAATTCCACCTGTACACAACACCTGATCCAAGTAACTTCCTGCTTGTGTTCAACAGAAATCAGCCTCCATCGATCACGTCCTACATAATAGTAAACCCCAAAGAGCCCATCCTTTTCACCAGCTGAATCCGCAGCTAAGGAAATCGTGCGCCCGGCCAACTCTGTACCTGCAACGGGCCTACAGTAATTATATCCGAAACCCAAAATACCCAGAAGCATTATTCAGATCCCTCTCCGATAACCAACTTGATAGCCCCATTCTTCCCAACCCACAACCATGAATCCTGACAAACTGCAAGCAGGCAAAGCGTCGAACACTCTCTCTGATGTCGCTCTGAGAGATTTTCTCCCCTCTTCCTTCTCAGTAAACAGCACTTCTTTTCAATATCTCTAATTGAAGATTCCCTATTCGCAAGTACACTTACATTCTCCGATTAAAAATTTGGTATTACCATAGCCCCTTCACTAAAAAGAAACCAAATTTGCATCGTTTTCGCCTTTTCGCAGGTTCCTCTCGGAGTTTTCTCTGCGGAAATCAAATCGAAGTTCCTTTAACAGAGAGAAAGGAAGAGGTGAGCGCGAAACTACCAAAACTTGGGCTTTGTTGTATGTCTGATCTTATTAGAATCTGATCGTCCAGGCCTATATTTAAAGTGTCATTTGCAGAAATTGAGGTTGGGCTTGGATTGGACCCAAATGGTGAAATGCACACGACTTCCAACCATTTCATGTGGAAGCTCAAGAAGGAATATTAGCTCTAAAGAAATTGATACCATCTGGTTTAATTTACCTAATCATTAATCAAATTGTTAAAGTCATCAGTGTTAGATGCATAATATAACGCAGCATATAGTTTGATGAAATGTAAGACTATAGTATAAGTATCCAACTTTATCCATAACATTATATCAATATCTACACTTTCACATTAGTTAAAAGGATAAAAAATACTATTTCATCCGTTCTAAAATTATTGTCATGTTTGATAACCTTGAGACGGAAAAAGTACAATTTATCGCACGGGCGATGAGGATGATTAGGCGAGATCGTGTTCAGATATTAAATTGTACTGATATGACTAAAAAACCCCACAAATTACTCCAATTTTGTAAAGCAAGACCCAATTAAGTGAAACTTCTTTTAAGTTGCGTTCCCAAGGATTAATCACAAAAGATTGACCCAAAAACACCGCTAGGTGCTTCTTCAAATCCAGCTATGATAGTGTGGATTGCGAGGTCTATTGCTCAGTCTTGCTGCCTTTGACTTTTTTTACATTTGCAGCTTCTTCAAAAACCAAGAATAATATAAATTAATAAATAGTTTGATACTTTGATAGTATGAAACTCACATTGGTCGGCAGAGCATAAGTCGCTTAGTAGTAGTAGTAGTAGTAGCTCAATTCCAACAGTGACAACTTGTCTACGCAGCAAAAACATGCGATAAATAAATCACCTAAACATCGAGACACATTTCTCTTTCTCGGTTGCCCCCTAAACATTCCTTTTCATTGATTGAGATTTTTTTAGCAAGGTTTCAGGGATTGATGATAAAGATGTATATTGAGCCAAACTATTGAATTCTATTTCATAATTGAGTTATCAACGCCGCACATATGGATATGAATCCTTGTCCCACTTTTTGTGTATTACTATATATATATATATATCACTTTAACTTATAAAGTGAGCTAAATTACTTCTTTACTAGTAAAATAAAAAGTTTAAATAAGACAGTAAATTTAATAGGATAAATGTGAGACAAATTATAATTTAAGCACAATTAGCATGAATAAAGGTGGTGTGACACACCTGAAATGGAAGTTTTTTTTGTTCATTGAGAGGACCCATCCCATTAAATCATTGTCCCCTTCTCAAAGCAAATTAGATGGCTACATTTTGATGTCGATGCAAATTCGCCTTTGCTTTCAGTTTTTGGCATGTGCTTCTTGGCTCAAAAGTCGCCAGTCTTGGAGAGGGGGGAAAAAAAAGAAGAAAAAGAGAAGGAAAAAAAAATAGTGATTTGTTGCTTTCTCTTTTAATTTTTTTGGCCATATTTTATGGGCACCGACAGTCTTAACTATCACATCTCTCGAATATTGTGAATACTCGTTTACATTGGCCATTTCTGAATTTTTTTTTTATATTATTAGGTATAACAACAGCTAATAAAAAGGCATCTTCTTCAACTTAACCTATCTCAATTATTTGCTGGCGTATTTCTTTTATTTGTTTAAGTACCAAATATTCTTTGCAGTCCAAAAAATATATAAATTTGACCAGTGAGAAAATGATAAACTAATCAGTGAACATTTTAGGTGTAAAAATGGAAGCTGCAAAGCATTTTCTACGACCATTCTTCTGTTGACTCGTCCCTAACTGAATTTGGCGTTTTATAGCCCGACGGTGAGCCTTAAAAATTAAATGTACTTTGACAATCTTCGATATTTTGCTGAATCACAATGATACGACATAAGAGCTTTCTGGAAGTCCTACTATCAAGTTGTGCGTTAAATATATAAAAAAATTAATTCCTCTTACGCAAATTGATTGTACGATTTCTCTTTTATAGTATTAAAATTGAAAATTCAAACCACATAATTGTCAATGAATAGAAAGAGTGATTATGAACAACTTAGAAGATAGCCATAAGTAGGACCTAGCATTCGGAAAAGATAATCTAAATACATATGTGTTCATTTATATTTCCAAAAGAAATCGTTACAAGAATAGTTATGAGTACTTAACTCTCTATAGACATGCAATTCAACAAGATCAATGGATATATTTATACCCCTAAGTTAGAAAAAAATTGGTCAAATTGATTATGAACTGATTTTTTGCCCCACTCTAACGTGTTGAAAGATCTCTTATTATTATTGCCAACAGCTTAGCAGATCATTACAGATTTGTTACTTGGAATATTTATGCTTACATTAAGTAATTGACAATCCCCATTGTCGAGAACTGACTTTGCATTTTCACAACAAAACGAATGTAAAGCATATGTCTATACTTCCTATGCTCCCGGAAAAAAAAAAAGCCATATTTGTTGACTATGATTTCAGGATGGAACATACTTGTGTAAAAAAATAGAAAAATTAAAAATCAGGGACACCATAACAGAAAAGTGTGCAGCAAAGAACTATAGTCTATAGATATTGAAATGTATATCGTTCTCCTTTATTATGGTTTTTGCCTTCTTTCTTTCTTCTTTTCCTCAACTATAGTAACTATGTAGTTAAAAACAGTGTATCCAGGGATGTATTACATTGTCAAAACTGTAAAAGTATATCAGCTGTAATCAAATATCTAATAATAATGAAAAAAAAAAACTTTATCTACTATAATCTACAAACAATCAGTACTATCTTCAGCTTCGAGCTAGTACCTTGCAAAAACTCTTATACACATTGGAGAGAGGAGGATCTCAACCCAACAGATCTCTTCCTTCTTTCGTGATTCCATAATCATCCATGCATTTTAAACACCTGCATTTGAGTAATAACCAAAACGAAAATTTAGTAAACAATCAAAACCACAAGATATGAAAAAACATTGATCACAGTTCGAATCTCACTAACTGCAAAAACACAACATCCCGTACTCTCATTTCTCGGTGTCGAAAATAATGCTCATAATAATAAAAAGAAAAAAAACGTTAGATGGGGGGAATACCTCAAGAATCAAGAATGAAGGGAGTTTGCAAGAGATCATAAGGTGCCCATAATGCATCCAATGGACAAGGCCGGTTGGCATCCAGCCGGACCCAAGGCTTTCCTTTCCCACTCCAATGCAAAAGACTCACGGGACCCGGATGTAGATTCCGGCAAAGACCCCTAAAATTATCTCCACCAAGGCCGTGTTGATTCCACCGGTGATCCACCGGAGCTATGTTTCCGGCAAACACAAGCAAGAAAGGCGGCAAAGAACCCAACTCGTATATCCTCATCCTCTTCTGAAGCTCCATCCACTCCACAATCTTGGTCGTATAATCTCCCGCTCTCCACCTCACGAGATCGATCACCATAACTCCCGTGTTGAAGTAACACGGCTTCCGATTCGCAAACGTTAGCGAAAGCGAAGGGCTGGACCAGAATGTCGGCGTGAAGTAAGTGGTGAAGTTGGCGTTGCAATATTCCGGCGCGGCGAGTACGGCATCGTTTCCAAGCGGAGTTTCCGCAAGTTTCGCAATGTCATCAACCAGGACTAAATCCGAGTCCAAGTAGACGACTTTTTCGACGCATTTAGGGAGAAGATCTGCGAGATAGTTCCGCGCGTAGTTTAACGGGCAGTCCAGGGCTGCCCGGATCGAGGTGGATATCAGCCCGGCCACCCCGGAATCATTGAAAGGGTAGATAGCAAACTGAAGATAAGGGAAAGATTTCGCAATGGTGTGATGTAGCCGGTTGATATTTTCCGGTGAAGAAGTCGCAACGAAATGGAAAATCACATTTTCCGGACAAGAAGTATGTTGAAGTACAGAAAGGATTACCGCCATTGATCCCCGGAGATAGGCCGAATCCAGTGTCATTGCCACGTGGACCGCCGCGTCCCCGGTGGTGCACGTGTTATTAACCACGTCATCCTCCTCCCCGCCGCCGGAGCTGCTACTATAGTTGAGTTGTGGGCAGGTCGGAGAATTGTAAAACTGAGGGGCTTCTCTGAATTTGTGGATTTTGTTGATAAATCTTCTTGAAGCTAATGCATTACTACTTGTTGTTGTTGTAGCTAGAAAGATAGTACATAATGATAATATGATCGATAAGGTTTGAATACAACAAGATCTTGACATTATGTGGAAAGAAAGACATACAAAAACTGGCTTAATTATCTTTTAGGAAGAAATGAGATTTGAAGAAAATCAAAAGAAACCAGACAGATGTCTTAAGGTGGTCTTTGGTTTGGGGTTGTGCCTCTCTTTAGGGTCTTCCCAAGTAGGTTTCTAGGGGGAAGGTTAGCCCGAAAGAAGAGACTTTGGAGCTTAGAACATTGGGTCTTTACTTAAGGAAGAAAACTTAGAGCGTAATTAATGTAAGTGTAAGCCCCCCTTGTTGTTTAATGTTAGGATGTCAGTTCAGCATTTTTCTTTCTTTACTTTATTATTATTTTTTTTTTTTGAGTAAAACTCGGGCTGGCTAGATTGACCTCCTACTACTGCCCAGCTATGCCTGATTATAAACTACACCAATACATATTTACATAGATGAACTTTCTATTTCGGTTAATGTGTCGAATTCTTCACCAATACTCCCTTTATCCCAAAATATTGTCCAGTTTAGACAATAATTTTGAAATAGAAAGAGTATAATTATATGTCATCTGTCTAGTATGCATAAGACTTTTATTTTAGGACGAATGACAAAAATCTTAGGAATTAAAAGGAGATTAGTATTTTCATTTGCCATTTGCAGCAGGGACCATTTTATGGCTGCCGGTGGGTGTCCTGTGACCAAGTTTTTCATTAATGTTGCAAAGCGTTTCGTTTTCTTTCTTTGGTAATCTGGTTGAGCCATCCACGTCGAGGATGATAGTTCTACCTCAACGTCATGTCTTCCACTCAACGTTAATTTTGATATTTTTATAAGCTAATACATATACCATTAGAGAATGCTTTTTTATGTAATTAGACCTGAATTAAGTCATGTCTCTCCTTGGTTAATTAAGATATTCTAAGATTGAAATTGACAAGAAAAGTTTGAAAGAGACCCACATTGGTTTACCTGATGTTTTTTTTTTTTTTTTCCTTCTTTTAACTTTTTAATTTACTTGAAAGCAAAAACAGGGGAAATTTATGACTATATATAGAGATAGCGTATAGGCGTAGCTAATCAGGGAAAACAAAAACAATGGCAAATGAGTCAGTGACACATTGACAAGGTTTCAAATATTACTACTACTAATCTACTACTGGGGTTTTTGATCGCTTATTGCTCCGCATGTTCAGTTTTAGCAAATTTAGTGCGCGCGGGAACCCGTGTCTCCTGCCTGATTTAATTAACTTTTGTTGGCATCTTTGATTAATTATTAGGGACATAAAATGTTTTAGTATAATTACCTCGCAAAATAACCCATGATTTGTTGATAATTTGGAGTACCATACTACTGTTTTGATCCAAAATTTCCGTATGATTCCTTTCCAAAATGTACGCCTGGACTTTAATTGAGGAGAGCAACGACGGAAGAGAAGTTGCCACATATCCATCCGGAGTTCATTACTGATAAGCTTATAAAGAACCAAGGTGGGCCTGCTGTACTTATATACGATAATGAGAGCTTTGCGTACGAAATTTCAACAAATGTACCCACTATATCGATCATGGAAGTATTTGGTCAATTGTGAAGTGATGTTTTGACGAATTATATCATGTATATATAAAAAAAAGTATTCATTTATTGCCTATGGGTTCCACCTCAAAATCAACTGACAATGAGGGAAGTAAGCTATAAAACTTATATATTGATACTTAAAATCTCTTAACATCAATGTGAGATTGAGACTCTTTAATATTCTCCTGCAAGCCCAACGTATTTTTTGGGTTGGGTTTGTCATATATATATATATATATATATATTTTAGTTCAGGCACTGCTTCATGTCTCAGTCTTATTTTTTTGTTGGGTTTTTTAGAGTCCGAATGTTGACGGGCTGGCTCTGATACCATACAGAAGTTTATGGGGTTCCATCTGAAAACTAATTGATAATGAGGGGAGTAGACCATGCAACTTATATATTGATACTGAGAGTCTCCCAACATCAATATGAGATTGGGATTCTTTAATAATTTATATTCACTCCCAACTATTTTGTCATTATAACGCCCCTACACTTTATTAATTGAAGCATTCTCTTTATTCTCCAAGAAAGAAAGTAATGTTAAAACTTAGAAGTGTATATATATATATATAGCCCGGTAGTGATTTTGGAGTAATATGCCAAAAAAAAGGAGCGAGTTAGCAATGATCACAATGTAGGATTTGAAATCATCTTAGACCCTCAGTCAAACACACTTTATTAATCTACCTTAGATCCCTTTTAAGAAATCATCTTTGTGTAATTATCACTCACGTCAACCCTAAAATTACGTGCGTCCAAACAAGAAAAAGAGCACGCTGTGTAAGAATTTCGCGCTTATAAGGATTTGATTGCGGAAATGGTACGAAGAAATACCAATATGCTCAATCTAGTCACCATGATTATTTACACAATAAAAGAAATGAAGACACAAATAGACTCAATATCATAGTTCTACACCACAAGATATAGTAGACGTGGCCTCCCATAGTAATAATTATAGTGTTTAATAATTCAACTAACTAAACTGATAAAATTTGTCCAAAAATACAAAATTATTGAAATAAGACAAAAAAAATGAATATTTAACATAATTAAAATAAGTCTCCTCATCTCATTTTTTTCGGCCACCTCGTAATAACTATAGTAAAACCACAACTCTCCACTCTCATTCCGGAGACTCAGTTCAACGGCCGACGACGACGTGGAAAATTCTTCGCTAATTCCGGCTCGGTGGTGTCATTTTGTGGACAGTTAACAATGCTCGATGGGAAAGATACTAGATATTTCCATGTAGTTTACCATTTTAATCATGGATTTGTTAGATAAAGAAAGAAAAAAAAATGAATGTTACTAATTAACATGATGCAAAACAATTATATGTCAAATATAGACAATATCGTGTGTAGCTGGATATATCTTTGGAGCATCTCAAATAATTTCAGGTCAAGTTTGCCACAAAATCATGTTTTGAAATGTGAACTTGTACGACATGGCGGTGGAGAAAGTGTAAGGAAATAAATGAAGCAAAATAAGAGATCGTGTGAAGGAGCATTTCACAAAAAAAAAAAAAAAAATTAAAAATGCATGTGCAAAGTAACATGCATATGGTCAATCACAAGTCGCTTCATTATAATTCTTTCTTCTAACAAATTCTAATACTAAAACTGATCACTCTCCACTTCATTACTCAGTTATAATTGTCCCAATCTTCAACTTCCCAGCCCTTACCTCACCAACATACGTACATTCCCATGTTCTGCACATGCTCAATACCCTCAATACTCGTCACCTGCCCTTTAATAAGTTCCCACTTTCTTTTATCTTTTCCCTTTATCTTTTCTTTCACAATCGTTAAGGTTCAATAAGAAGTTTTAATTATAGAAATAAATTTATCTGATTTGAATGTGAATTATTTCTCTAGTCTCGAAATGATTGTTCCGTTTAATATTTATTTTTAATACAAATTGAACTAAAAATAAAAATCGAAAGTGGACAATAAGTTTGGGACAGAATGAGTATTAGTCAAGGTAACACATTAGATTCAAGTCATGATGTATTTTATACACAAATAAATAATAAAATTCACAAGTTAGTTTTGCCTTCAAGTGATCTAAGAATTCGAAGGGCCGGCAAGACAGGTTCGAGGTTCTCAAGACTGACAAAGTAATTATAGAGCAAACTTAGGAGAAAATTTTAAAAAAAAGGACACTGATCAGAAGTTGCAGAAGTTCATATATATGACCCTATTTCTGCGTCTAGTCATTTTGGTAGTTTTCTATTGGGGCTTCTTCTTATTTGGGGGGAAGTTAATGCAGTTATAAAGATGTAACTATATTGGCCACCGACGGTACTAGATGTTGGGTAAAATCATCAGTACTTTTGATTGAAGAGGATCTATCATTTACTACGTTGCATGCACTCTCCCGATGACACATTAGCCAATAGTTGGTCGGAGTGATTAAATAACGTTTTTTCCCTATTAAAGAGTTAACGACATTAATAGTTGCAAAAAGCCTACATTACATTTCTTCTTTTGATCTCTATCTAGCTTCTAGCTAGTTGGAGTACTACTCTAAATTGTCCACCACCTAACCAACACTTTTTTTATTTGCATCTTTCGTTTTCAGAAAATCTACCACTATTAATCCATCAGAAATCAGATCTTTAAGGGCAATGTGTTGTTGGAATTTAATTAAAGTGCACATCATGCACATATTGCTCTGTTCACTAGAGGAAAGAAAAGGAACATCTTAGTTATATATATATATATATATATATATATATATATATATATATATTGGCTCTCCACTACCATAGAGTTTATAATTTAGTGACTAGATTAGTTATTCTTACTTACGGTATACACTGGCCGATATGTCAAAAAAGTATGATCTTCCCTTTTGAAATAAAGGGCAAAAAGGAATTATTCATTCTGTTTCATAATTATTGTCCAGTTTGGATTTTTATTTCTGTTCAAATTATATTAAAAATAAAATCTAAAACTGAACAATAATTTTGGGACAGAAGAAATATACGGTATCAAAGGCTGATCTCCCTAGACTTTATGATTGAGCAGCGAGGCACACGATGTCTGCTAATAAAATGAATTTAGTTCATAGTTGTGATAGTGCAAGTATATATCTTCAATGAAGAAATGATCTTTGAAGATTTGATTTATATATAACGTGCAAAGGTACCACTTGATCAATATTATTAATTGCAAATTTGATGAGGGAATTTAAGATGACCGAAAAGCGCATAACCTTCTTATTCGGTGAATGAATGCGTTTGATCGATGAGCTGACCAAATATAATAGTATTGACACAAATTCTTGAAACTATGTGCATTGTTGTTATTATGGGAAGCACTCAGCAGTGCTTCATCCTGAAGCTGAACAGTAGATAGTGCCATAAACGGAGCAACGCACCTAGCTGATCAAGAACACTCCTACATCAATTTTTCAGTTGTCGTCGTTGTATAGGTCCCTGCATTTTCAGATCTAGTAAGCTAAAACAAATTTGGATTCCTCGACTTGCGGTAATCAACATAATAATGTTCGCTTTTTCCCAAAGTACATCAATAATATAGGATGGTTTATTTTGAGACGGAAAGATAATATAGTTGATACATGAATAGCTAGCTATAACAGTCCACTAGTCTTATATATTTGCTTGGTTTGCGCCAAGTTGCTACGAATCCAACAGCCGCACACGAGTCCATCCAGGAACTGCGCCGCACAAAATTCAGATAATGTACGAGAGCCTTTTTAATGTTGGTAAATGATGCCGTAGTACTTGAACCAATTAATATAGTCAGCGCTTCAGTACAAAGACTTCAAATCTGAGCATCAATATATAAATCAATTCTCATGTGAAGATCCACCCTTACTATATTTAGAGGCATGTTAGGTTACCAGTTTCATTATATCTTCTACTCCCTCCTGTCCTTATTATAAGGCATTTTGATTCCGTTCTAAGTTTAATTTATAATGTCTTTTTAATTGGAGAAAAAACTTAAAACATATTTTCAGATTCGTTGTATTCTCCTAATTATTATGAAATGCTTTTAAGATTTTTATTTCAATTAAAAAGACATTTTAGGTAAAACATAAGACGAAATCAAAATACTTTATAATAAGGACCGGAGGTAGTACTATTTTCTTGAAGGATAGTGCAACTATTATTGCGCAGCAACTTGATATGACAGATCCAATAACTGCAAGCTTAAAATGCCCTAACAAACAGGTCACGAACCCTTTCACTGAGGAGGGAATTGTATGCAAGCAACTTGTCTATTTGCGGCGGATTCAATAGGTAATTAAGCTCAGGTTTCGCACCTTATTCGGTTACAGAGCAAGAATTCATTTCCTACATACCTATACCTTCATCAAATCAAAATTACAACTACGGGAATCTTTTAAATTCTCTGCAAAACCCTGCAAAACCTCTAATACTCTTTGATTCACCTCGTGATCAATGGCTGTAAAAGTCAATCATTCAAATCTTTCCCTTCAATGACCCCTGTTTGATATTGATTCCTTAAATTGGCTACAACGTATGCATGATTTCAATTTCTGTCCAGATAATCAGGTCAATTCAACTTAGTATGTTAATCTTCTATTGGATAAAGTAGCATTTGCTACTGGCTTTACCTTGGAATCTTTGAGATGGTACATTTCACACTATTTATCTACCACTAACCATCCCAGAGTTAAAGCAAATTAGCCAACTAGCCGGATATAATGTAACGGTAAAACATTATCATTAGGCTTCATGCCATAACCAAACCATACTCCAAATTACACAACTAGGTGTTCATGGCAATTGTAAAAGTATGTAACCACATTATCCAAATGGGCTAATACAGAGACAATTAGCAAGTCTTGGACGACCACATCATACAATAGCAGACAGCAAAACCTTTCCATATTTACAAAGGGGTAAAAACAAAACTACGTGTACGACCCTCTCATGCTTTTTTAAAGAATTTCTGAACGTCAGTCTTACCATCACGAGAATAAGCAAACAGCTACTGCCAGAATGACAAAGAATATAATCAATAGTAATTTGTTATCTTCCGCTTCTCCCCCCTGATTTGCTGCTGGGGCTCTACGATGATTAGCTCCATTGAAATATCCACCTGGATAACCGTGTGGGTAAGCGTAACCAGCGTCAAAAGCTGGCGGTGCCATTCCCTGAATCTGAACACTAAATATTGACGGTAGGAGTCCCCCAAAACCAGCCAGCATGGCAAAGTTACCAAACCCTGCAGTCACCACGGGCAAAAAGCCTCCCCACATACCCAGTCCAAAGTTAGGAAAGTTCATTGACTCTTCGGGAGGTGGAGCAGTTTGAGGCCTCTGCCCTGCTGGTCGACTAGGAATCTCCACGCCAGGAACTGGTTTACTCCTTGGATCAGTAGTAGACCCGCCTCTCCCATAAAGAGGTACCAGCTTCTCCTCTTGAATCAGAGCCTTACAAACAGGGCACTCGTGTGAATGTGAGTGAAGCCGCAACCATCTAAAGAGACAAGGCCAGCAAAATAGGTGACCGCAGAGGGTGACTATAGGATCCTGAGCTAACTCAAAGCAGATGTTACATTCAAAATCACTCGCATCATTATCCCCGCTTCCACTCGTGGAAGAAGAACACTTTCCCGTTTCAGAAGGCCGATCAGCGAATTCACCAGTTCCACTTACCATTATACCTAGCACAAGACCTAAAAGGCAAAGGCTTCATCATCAGTCCATCATGATCCTAGGAAGGACATTTAATTGCAGAGAAACTAATTTTTTTTTCAGGAAAAGAACTAAGACACCAGACCAAGCCAGAATGATTTCGCTACAGAATTAGTATTATCTACTCCGTCAAAAGTTAAGATGCATGGACTAAAACATCAAAATCATTCCTTCTATCTGAATTCTATGACCAGTGAGTACTCTCACATCAGAACAGGATTAGTCAGTTGTTTCAAACTTCCTTCAACTCACAGAAAAGTATCAAACCCTAAAAAGCATAACACAATTATCCCCAGATAGGAATCAAACCAAAACATAACGACTCAGTAAAATACTGAATTCAGCAAACTAGGTGCCAATAGCAACGAATCGTTACCCTAGAACATTTGAAAAATCTCGACGATATTAGAATTCTCAGAACGCAGAAAACTGAATCTATTTGAGAATCGAAGAAACTAAAGAGAATCCTCCAATAATGAGGAAAATAGAATTTCAAAATTATCCTAATCCAAGACGAACCTCCGGGAACACAACAATAAAAAATCTAATGAGCGGAAAAACATAAAAATAGGAAACGAATCGAAATCAAGAGAAAAAAATAAAAATAAAAAAAAATCCGGGAACACAAATGTAAAAAGAGGTACGAACAACTTTACCCTATTGATTGAAGGATAGATGATGATGACGAGAGAACCAAACGGCGATTGACGTATAGACCCACCGACTTCGCGTCGGAAACGATGGGTGTCGTTTAATTGCTTGGATTATTAGCGGTAACGGTGACGGTAGAACATTCCAGGGCTTTCTACATTTCAGCAGCTTCCTTCCCCCTTCCGCTTCTTCCAAGATTTTTCATCCTTCCCTGGTCTAGGAAAGTCAACGACGACATCAAATTTATTCTTATTCTTGGGCGTTGGAATTGGGCTAAAGTACTATCTTATTTTAAGGCCCAGTTCTATCACTTTGTCATGAAATGGAGGGTTAAAATCTAATTAGTTAAATTACGACTTACTCTGCAATTATATAATAGTTTGTTAGTAACAGCCGGATAAAAGGACACGACACCGGCCATTGACGGTTAACGGTGGAAATGTATGAAATTGCTCCCTCTCCCCCTCTCTATAAGCCTAATCTCTTTTTGTATACGGAATCCCTAAATTCCGAGCTTGACAATTTGGTATTCAGAGCTTTCGATCCTCGAGTTAGAATGGCGGCGGTTTCGCAATCTCTGGCGAACACAGATGTTGAACTTCGTTGGCAGGAGCAACGCACGGCGGGGAAGTCAGAGCTTCGAAATATTGCTACAAATCAAACGTTTTGGGATGAGATTAATACTCAATTTAAGACCTTAGTTGTTGCTGTATATCAATTAACGAACAATAAGCAGGGTGATCCACATGACCAATCGCTTCAGTTTGGGCATTTTCGATCAGAGAATTCGCAGTTTCTTGTTACTCCGGCAGGAACACCGAGTATGAATTTGGACGGAGATAGAGTTTTTCAAATGCCTCTACAGCCTACAGTTAGTACTCGACCGGCATTGGAGTCATCGGAATTTGTGATTCCCTTTGCCGATGATTATGTGAGAGCTCCACAGGACTTTGGAGAAGAATACGATGTCGTCGATTGGTTGTAATATTTCAATTCTTTTTGCTTGATTTTTCCAATTCCGGAATCAGATAAAATTAGATTTGTGTAACAATCGTTAGTTGGGGTTGCTCAAGATTGTTATCAAGTTTTCATGGAGGAGAATAGACAATTGTATTGAAGTGATTTCTATGAGAAGTTCATTCGTTGTTTTGAGGTAAAAGAGGTTTAAGAACTTACTCTAGAACAAGATCTTATTCCAACTAGAACCGTCAATTTCTCACCTTCTTTGCTTATGAATGTGGAAGTTAACACTGAGGGTAATACTGAGAAATCTGGTGATGATGTTTCGTCTGAAAATGAAGTTCTTGGCTTCGAATTGGAGCGAGACATCGGTTCAGCAACAATTTCATCACAAAAAAAGGTAACATTGTTCTGTCTCTCAAACTTGGCGAATTAGGTAATTTTAATGACGAGTTTGATTTTGCTAAATCGGATGATGATATGGGAGTTTTAGACAAATTATTCATGCACTCTGGTGATGAAGCTTTTTAGGATTTACATGTTGATGCTGTTTTTGAAAGAAAAAAGATGATGTTTTGTTTGTTGGCGAATTGATACATTTTTGTGTTGATGATGTCTACGTGGAAATGGAAATGTTGGTTGATAAAGTTGTGTTGTTAAAGGATATATTGCTGATCATGTGAGTGAAGAGGCCTATGTGAATTTGGATTTGAAAAATGCTTCTGTGTTTTTGAAAAAGACAGATGATGATGATGATGATTCCATGGTTACTCATGAACTGTTGAATTGTGTCGATGGTTGTGATGTTTCTTTAAAGTCTTTGGTTGATGAGTTAGTTGAAATGAATGTTACTAGTGCAAATTTGATGAAAGAACCTGTTGAGTTATGCGGTGAGGAGGTTGCAAATGTGAAGCTTATTAATGATTTTGTGGTATTAAACAAGATTTACTCTGATGTGGTACGAGATAATTGGAATGATAACCCTGAGTTGTCGAAGGATATGCTGGTTAATTTTGTGGATTCAAAGGATTTTGATGATGAGGTTACAAATTCAAATAACGAAGATGTATGTATTGAGGAATCAAATCTTGGACTGATTAGACTTATAACGGTTCAGAATGAAAGGAATTTGAGATCATAGGAGGTGGTTGCGACTAAGCCAAGATGGTACAATGCTTGAGAGATCATGAAAATGATATCTAAGGTTGAGACAAATTTCAATTGTTTGGATTACATGTTCTAGGGAACTAAGTGGCCACCTGACACGATAGTTGGGACTATTATATAACTCAATGGAAGTTCTTGGTTTTTTGTATCGCAGGAAGTAATTCCTTCTTGTTGTTCTTTAACAATCGTCATAATGTTCTTCCTGACCATGATGAGGACTCTTATGGGGATGCAATAGATGATATCTTGGTGATTTTCAGGAATGTCGTGTTTGTGAGTCATGGCAGTTATCTTGATGATATCTTAGTGTGTTGTTTAGGTGCTAGAAGGATTGAGTTTTTGGAATACTCTTATTGTAGTTTTTAACTCATCTACCTACCTTGAGGACAAAATTGATTTTAAGCATAAGGGAGTAGTTGTCAAAGTTCCTTTGCACGCTTTGGAGATTACAGAGTGCATTCTTGCAGTCATTGTCATGTACTTCCGAGGTTTTAATCAAACATGACAGTTTGCTTTGAGCCTGAAAACCTGTATTAATCACAAGGAGATTTATGCTTTGAATATCATTGGTCTAATGGGTAAGAGAACTCTTTTTAATTTGTGTAATATTTCTGGTGCCAATAGAAACTTGGTTAGTGTTTATGTCTCAAGCATTGCTGAGTGTATTGCTTCAGTGGAATTGGATCCAGTTTCAATGGGTAAGCTAAATGTTTGGGTGTATGATCCTGGAATCAACACCAAATATAAAGTTGAGGTGAGTGAAGCCAGATCAACTAGTTTTATCAAGAAAGAAGCATCTCTCTGCAACTGGTTCCATTAGGATATAAAGAAGTTGAAATGAATACTTTTCAGTCCAAAAAATATCATGTGCATTGTGGTAAAATGATAGCTTCCTGTATTAAATCATGTTGACGAGTGCATGTACACTAAAGTGTATGATGAGTAGATAGTGGTTATTTGCTTATATATTAATAATATGCTCATCGTAAGTACTACTGTGAAAAGTATGGTAGATATTAAAAACTATCTTTTTTCTAAGTTCAAAATAAAGGATATTGGTAAAGTAGATACTATTTTAGGGATAAAAGTAAAACGACTTAAGGGGGTTTGGTGCGTTCTCAGTCACATTATGCTGATAAACTTCTAACTAATTATCAACATATGAATGTGAAAGAAACTGCAACTCCCTTTGATACTTTTTTTTTTTTTTGGGTACTGCCGGGAACCCCACCAAAGATGGATAAACCCACGCCCATTGCAATAGCCTACAAAACACAGTGGGTGGTAAACCATCCTAGGCAAGCCCAGGGTGACAAGCTCATGTGCGAAATCAGGGGTTCATTAATGGGTTAGTCATAACAAGCCCATAGAGTTGCCAATAGGCCTATTGGCGACAACCAACTCTTCACTTTTTGTTTGAGTGGGGGATTGAACTCATGACCTCCTCTTGGAGCAAGAGTGGTTTTACCACTGAACCAACTCCTTATTCCTAACTCCCTTTGATACTAACACTAAATTTTGTAATAATGAAGGCAATCTAATTGCACATCTCGTGTATGGCAGTGTAATTGGAAGCCTTATATATGCTATGAGTTGTACTAGACCTTACATTTTTTATGCAGTGTGTAGACTTGTTAGGCATACTAAATATCCAGGTCGAGAACATTAGAAAATTGTCACTAGAATCTTGGAGTATATTAAACGAACTAAAGATTTAAGACAATAGTACAATAGTTTTTCTAGTGTTTTTGAAGGTTATATTGATGCCAGTTGGATGAGCAGTAATGGGGAGCCAAAATCAACTAGTTGTTGGGTGTTATTATTTGGTGGTGGTGCTATTTGTTGAGTATTTAAGAAGCAAACGGTTATAATACATTCCACTAGAATAGGAATTTATAGCTTTATCCACAGTAAGTAAAGAAGCGGCGTATCTAAAAAATGTTTTATTGGATCTGGATATATGACCTAAATCTATGCCGCCAATTACTTTACATTGTTGAATAATAATATTGTCTCCATTCTGTTTGTGAGAACACACAAAAACTTAGCGGATCCATTTACTAAAACTCTTGCGAGAGAGTTAGTGGTTATGACAACATTCGAAATGGGATTAAAACCCTCTATCAAAAATTACAAACACTAGAAATCCAACCTTCTTCTAGTAGATCACTAGATTAAAAGGTTCAAAGGGTAAATCAATGTGTATACCTTTCTCAATATTGGTGCATTATATTACTCTTAAGGGACCAAGTTGATGGCAATCTCTTAATGAAATTATTCATGAGTATTCAATTATGGTTAATTAATGAATTTAAATAACTTTCACTTATTTACCCATAGAAGTGGTGCCACTTCTAGCAAGAGTTGGCTTTCAAGAAACTAGGATGAGCAAATGGCCAGTAATAGTGCTAAACAATAATTGAATTATAAGGAATGTTGTGAGTGTTTATGTGTGCAAAATCAAGTCTGATATGGTTTAATTGTTAGCTCAAGCAACGAGCCACCAACAAATTAGTTATATTCGTGACTAATGTTCACTATGTGTGGTTCAAGACAAAAGTCACCACTCTTTATGCATGATTCTCAATACTTGTGATTATTTTTTATTACAAAATCAGTGAGAGATTGTTGGGTTTTAGTTTGTAAAATAAAACCAAAAACTGGAAAATTGCAATCGAAGATTGATTCAATCTTTCTAGAACTAACTAAAGGGTGTTAAAGAATAAAAACAATACGAAACATGATAACTATTCATGAAAGGTTCTGCTGGTGACTTAGAACTTAAGGGCTATAAGCCTTGATTCTTATTCTTTGTGATTTTCATATCGCAGAGACAAATTATCAATCAAACCTGATTTTACAACATAGTGGGGGCAAATATTATTTGAAAGACAATGATTATACGCTTAGATCACATAAAAATATTTGTGATTCTCATTTATTGTCATATTCAAACTTCTATAAATAAATTTCGTCATTTTCATCTTGTTCTTTGGTGTCTCTTGTAGTTTCTCCTTTGATAGTACTCTTGTTTATTTTTCAAATCGCACGTTTCTTCCATGAAAGCATAAAACGTTGGATAACTATGTAGATATTTTTCCTCATTCTATTCTTAATTTTAATTACCTTTTCTGGTTCAAAATAATTTTTTTATTCGAATTTTTGTTTTTTAGTATTATTAGTATTAAAAATAACAATTAATCAAAATTTAATAATCATATCGAGGCGAATGGAGTAATTAATTAAGTTGCTTGGTCCAAATGGAATAATATATCAAGCCATCCGTGATGATCACACCCTTGGGTTTGACTTGCACCTAATAAAAGATTATAGATATGCATTCACTTTACACGCGCACTGACACGCACTTTTTTGTGGGTGATAACAGCTTTTATGTGTGCGATTTTCTTCCCAAAACTACCAGCATTTTCACGACGCCTGCAATGGCGAGGCAGTTAAGGAAGAAGAACGGGAAAGCGGTTGATAGTGAATCAGAGCAACCAGAGGAGGAGTTGCAGAGGAGCCCACGGGACAAAGTCATACTGGAGAGGAGATCTGAGCCGTCATCATCGAGATCTAGTCCCAAAAACGGTAATGTTTGCAAAACCCTAAATTTACATGATCAAATTCTTGAAAACTTGTGTCATCAGAAGATTGTGAATGATGGGGTTAATCTAAGAGTGTGATTTGGGGATTTCGAATGAAAAAAATAGAGTTGATGAAACTGTAACAGGGAAGAAATGGTCTGAGTTGTTTGAGATAGAAACAAAACTTGAGTATGTTGCTGCAAGGGTAATGGAGAACAGGAACATAACTAAAGTAGACCAAATTGACATCCAATCAGAAATTAACTACTGGAAATCATATGTTCTTTGCTATGTGCTTGGTACAAAATTGCCATATTCGGTTCTGAATGGATTTGTCAGGCGAAATTGGGGGCATTTAGGCATTGATAAGATCTTACAGCTGGAAAGTGGTATTTTTGTAGTTCGGTTTAAGAATACCACAGCAAAGGAAGAAATGCTTATGTATCATGTTTACCAGTTTGACAATAAGCCTTTTATTGTAAAGGATTGGGATATACAGCAGGGAATAAACATTGAGGAGATTACAAAGGTACCTGTGTGGGTAAAACTGCCTAAGCTTCCTCTGAGATACTGGAGTGCAGCAACTTTGAGTAAACTGATTAGCACTATTGGCATCCCCTTAAAGATGGATGAGAGTATTGCAAAGAAGGAAAGGGCTGAGTATGCAAGAGTTTTAGTACAGATGGAGATACAAGAAACCATGCCAAAGGAGATCCTATTTGAAAATGAGAATGTGATTATCACAAATCAGAGAATACAATATGATTGGATGCCAGTGAAGTGTTCCAAGTGTAAAGGTATAGGACATGAGGGAACCGTCTGCAAAGTTGCTCTTAAGAAGCCACCACTAGTAGAAAGGAAGATATGGCAGAAAAGTGAGGTTAAGCAGGAAAAGAGCAAGCAGCAGGAAGTATCTAGTGATCCTGAAAAAGAAAATATCACAGAGCCAGCTCATACATCCATGCAACAAGCAGCTCAAGTTCCAGTGCAGCAAGATAAAGATTGTGGCAAAATCAATAAGATCTTATCAAGTAAAGATAGTGGGAAAAGAGTGGATGCATAGATTACTATCCTGAGGCCTAGCCTCTATGGATAGTCTTCTCATTTGGAATATTAGAGGGCTTAACAGCCCTCTGAAACACAGGGAGCTACAACATTTGCTCTCTGTAAATAAAGTAGGGATAGTTGGAATTGTAGAAACCAAGTTAAAAGGGGAGAAAGTGCAAGAATTGATGGTTATAAACTGGCAGCAGTATGATAGTATCAGCAACCATGGAGTAAGGGACGAAGGAAGAATTTTGCTACTATGGGATAAAAAAAGATATAAAGTGGTTGAAATTAAGAAAACTCAGCAGCTTATCCATTGTGAAATAAAAACACAGTCAATCAGACTTTGTTTTTATTAACAGTGGTGTATGGTGATTACCAAGCAACGGGAAGGAATGATATGCAGCAAAACTTAATAGACATAGCAGCAACCTGTCAAGTGCCATGGCTGGTTTCCGGTGACTTCAACAGTGTACTGCAAGAAGATGAAAAGTTAAGGGATATAACTGCTCTCAGTCAAGACACAGATATGTTTAAGTATGTAGTGGAACAATGCAAGCTAGAAGGTATGAAAACCATTGGAGGGAAATTCACTTGGAACAACAAAATGTTGGGGAAAGACAGAATAGTAGCGAGATTGGACAAAAGTCTCATAAATGAAGCATGGTTAGATCAATATGAACAGAGTTATACAGTGGTAAAACAGGCTGGTATTTCGGATCACAATTCTTTAGTGATCAGAATGCAACATGAGGAACACAAGAAGAAAAAGGCCTTTAAATACTTTAACATGTGGCAAAATAATCCCCATTTTAAAGAAATGATAGCAGAACAATGGAAGCAGGAAGTGATAGGGACTAGACAGTATCAAGTTGCAAAGAAACAACAACTGGTAAAAGGAGAGTTGAAAAAACTGAATCGAAGAGAATATGCTGATATAGAGCAACAAGAAGCAGAAACAAAGGAAAAAATGGAAAGTGTACAGAAGCAATTGGATGGAACACCAGATGATTTGGAACTACAAAGAGAGGAAAAGGAGGCAGTTGAACACTATATTATCAAGAGTAAAGATGCCATGAGCTTCAGAAAACAGAAACTTAAAGAGAGTTGGGTTAAAGAAGGAGATCTTAACACAGCTTTCTTCCATTCTGCTGTCAAGGGACGAAGAACTCAAAATAGAATTATATCATTTACGTATCCAGATGGAAGTATAGAGACTGAATGGGATAAAGTGGAAAGGCATTTTGTTGGATACTTTGAAGATTTACTGGGACAAAAAAAAGAAAGAGTGTCATCAGATCCAGAAGTGCATAGGCATGGAAAGCGATTGGATATTCATCAACAGTTGAACCTAATCAAGGAAGTCACAAGACTAGAAATTCAGCAGGCTATGATGGACATTGATGCCAACAAAAGCCCTGGTCTAGACGGGTTTGGAAGCGGATTCTACAAACTAGTCTGGGGGATCATTGGGAATGATGTTATTGAAGCTGTCTTAGAGTTCTTTCAAACTGGAAAAATTCTAACGCAGTTTAATAATACCATCATATCCTTAATCCCTAAAAATGATAATCTAGGTACAGCCATGGAGTATAGGCCTATATCGTGTTGTAACACGATATATAAATGTATATCTAAGGTACTGTGTAATAGGTTGAATAAGATTCTTCCTCAGATTGTTGATATGAACCAGGGTGCTTTCATCAAGGATAGAAAGATTGTACACAACATCTTATTGACACAAGAATTAATAAGATTGTACAGACGGAAATCGGTGGGAAAGAGCTGCTTAATGAAAGTTGATCTTCGCAAGGCTTACGATATAGTTAGCTGGGAATTTGTTCAGGAAATGCTAGAGGCTTACTGTTTTCCAGAGCAATTCATTAAGTGGTTGATGGAATGCATAACAACCTGTTCATACTCGTTGAATTTAAATGGTTGTAGTGCAGGATATTTTACAGGGAAAAGAGGGCTAAGACAAGGGGATCCCATTTCTTCCCTTATCTTTGTTCTTGTAATGGACTATCTCACCACAGCCTTCAAGTTGAAAGATGATCAGAAGCAGATAAAGTACCATCCTAAGTGCCAAAAACTGGGAATTGTCAACCTAGGGTTTGCGGATGACCTGATCATAGTGTGTGCAGCAGAAGAAGACTCTGTTAAAGCAGTCAAAGAAGTCCTAACACAGTTTGGTGACACAACAGGATTAAGAGTCAATAAGGCTAAATCATGTCTGTATTGTGCAGGCATAAGTGAAGAAATGGAGGGCAAGTTGCAGCAGCAAATGGAGTTTGAAATTGGTAAGTTTCCAATGAACTATCTTGGTTTACCAGTTTCAACTTCTAAATGGACAAATAATGACTGTCAGAAGTTGGCGGAAAAAATTACCAAGAGGATAAAGATTTGGGGAACTAGACATCTCTCCTATGCAGGGAGGTTGCAACTCATAAATTCTATATTAATGGGCATGCATATATACTGGGCAAATGTGTTCATGTTGACAGGAAGTGTGATTATTAAGGTAACCAGGGTTTGTAGGGAATTTCTTTGGGGCAAAAATGAAACTGGTCATAGTTTAGCACTAGTGGATTGGATGGATATTTGCAAACCAAAGAAAGAAGGTGGCTTAGGGATAAAAGAGCCATCAGTCTGGAATAAAGCAGCAGTGGCAAAGTAGATATGGGATTAGCTGCAAACAAAGATGTGTTATGGATCAAACGGATAAATGAAATCTATCTAAACGGGAAAACTATATGGGAATACGAGGCTCTTCATGATTGCAGTTGGCACTGGAAAACGCTTATAAAAGTGAAAAATCAGATTAAGATGGAATGACAAATGGTGTGTGGAAAGTGAATGCAAAAGCATACCAAATCAAAGATGGATATAAGTTTTGGAGAATCAAAGGACAGAAGATCAAAGATGCAGAAATCATATGGCACAGAAGCTGCTTGCCCAAGCATAGTTTTCTTGGGTGGTTAGCAAATCAGGATTGACTATTAACTCCGGACAGACTGAAGAGAGTGAACATCCAGATCTCTGATTCAAATTGCTGCTTATGTGATGAAGGGATAGAAGAAACATCTGATCATCTATTTTTTAAATGTTCATATGCCAAGCAAGTTCTGAGTAAGTTACTGATATGGTTGAAAATGGATACGCAGCAGAGGGAACTCAAGAGAATAATGGTAAGAATAAGAAATGACTATTAAGTTTCAGAAATTGGAAAAAGGAATGATTAGTGGGGTTATTATGGCATGCATCCATCATACTTGGATGGAAAGAAACACTAGGAAGTTTACACAGGTTACCAAATCAGTGGAGGAACGTGCAGCATGTATAAAACAAGAGCTGACTTGGAAGTTTCAGCAATATTGCAAAAAAGGTACTGTAGCAGAAATTGTGTACTTAGACAGAATAGGGATATGCCGGGTTTGACGGCAAATGGAAAAGTAATGATGTATAGGGTAACAGGACAATATGTATTTGTAAATATGTTTGTGTGATTAATACAAGTTTACCACTTTACCAAAAAAAAAATTAAAAAAAATTATACATATGAAATGCAGTCTACACCTTAGTACATCTAAAGTATGCAATCCGCTCAGCTTTGAGTAAAATGGGGAACTACTTACTCTAACCTTACTTGCTAGTGACCATGCATGATGCACGTAGAGATTTTTTTTTTCCCATTGAAATAATTTTTTCCCCCCAAAAAGGAATGTGCATGCATTTGTTTCTGATGATGTTTTTTTCCCCCTTTTGTAGTACAAGTTTTTTTTCCCTTTTTTTTCTACACATTCAAAAATTCTTACCATACCAACAATACTCGATTGTTGAATCTTTAAAATACCGACTTAGAGTCTCGCTATCTCACTATGCATTAAAATCCCTCTTAAACTTGAAAAACAAGTAAAAAACGCTTGTCCAACATTGAAAATGGTAACTCAAGTTGACCAATATATATACTTCATGTGTTACTTCCCTCATTTCTAATTGATTTTGAATGGATCTTCAAGATGGTATCAGAGCGTGGTTTAATTTGTGGACTTTCTGAGTGGACTTTGACCGATCAGGCGCTTTTTGACCGACCCGACAATACATTTGAGGATTTTGATTTATTCATATTGGGCTTTATCCGTACTGGGTTTTGACTGACCCGACAATATAATCCGAAAAATTTGATTTACATATATTGGATTTTGATTGTTCTAAAGAGCCTTGTCAAACCCCGTAAGGCTTGAGGGGGTGCAAAAATCCTTCTTAAACTTGAAAAACAAGTGAAACACACTTGTCCCACATAAAAAATGATAATCTAATTTGTCCAACATATATACCCCATGTGCTATTTCTATCATTTTCAAATAATTTATTTTAGGACTGCCAATTGTTTTTTAAATGAAACCACATATTTACTTATATGAACCTTCAAGACTATCAGTATATAATCATATTCTCGATGTTTCCCTTTCAATTACACGAGCGATACATGACACTGTTTAAAGGGCTGAAATCTAGCTTTGGAACAAAAAGTAAAAATGGAATCATGTGAATGGTTAAAAGCTCTTATTTTGTAGATGAGGCAAACTAGTTGTTTTCGAAATAATCTTAGATTTAACCTAGTACATATTTTTAATTTGTAAAAAAAATTTAAAAATATTTTATAACAATCAAGAGAGAATAACGAATGTGAAAATATATTTTTAAGATTTTTTTGTCAATTAAAAATACGTACTACATAAAACTTATGATTAAATCAAAATGCCTTACATTAAGGATCGAAGGGAGTATAAAAGACATTGGATGGTAGTATAGTTTACTTTCGTACGTCAGATATTTTTTTTATAAAAAAAAGTCAATTTTGTTAAATTAACATAAAATAAATTATTTTTTTAGAAGGGAGAGTAAAATTTTAAGCCGATCATCACCTAGCGAGAAGCACTTTGGTTATGTTTGGTTCCTTTTTTCACTCATTTTTTCAGAATTTTTAATTAATATCTATCTCATCCCAATATACCTTTTTACATTCCCAATGCACCTTTTTATATTTTCATTACACCTTTTTACATTTCTCAATATTAAAAAACACACTCAAAAAATCTTCCAAACATAGCCTTAGCCACCATACATCATTATATACTCTGTCATGATAAATTCATTGAATCCATATTTGTGCCGACGATGATTCAAAAATAGGGTAACGATCGCATGACCTGTATCTCCAACTTGTCCACTCCATGTCAGCATAGTAGTTTTTATTTTATCAAAACAATTCTTTTTAGTAATAATAAAAGAAAAACTATTTCGCGTTCGAGTCTTCAACGTTGCTCCATCAATTCATCCATCGTTTTCCGCCATCTTTTTTTTCAATTCTATTTAAGTCTTCAATATACAATTCAACAACAGACAGAAGGTATGAAAAAATCTTAAATTATGATTATGTCTTTCTCCTCGCTAGGTGACTTGAGCTTCAAATTTTTATTCTGAAATTTCAAAAAAATTGAATATAGCAGGGGCGCGATGTATGTTCCTGCCCCAAACCATGGTGGGATGACTCGCAACTGATATATTTGCTTGGTCCTGATTCTAAAAATGATTAGGTGTCGATTAATTTCCAATGCCAACAATACTCGTGTGATTGGGGGTGGATTTGTGGGTTTGGACAAAAGGTTAATCCCAACTGATTAAGACAATGACGTAAACAAATTAACTAGTATCAACTACTCTAAGCTACAATTAATTAAGCTAAAATTTTAAAACCTTGTTAAACCTCCAACTTGCTACAAGTACTCCTCAGCTTCCTTAAAAATATTTGTGGGTTTGGACAAAAGATTAATCCCAACTTAAGTCAATGGTGTAAACAAATTAACTAATATCACTATTAACTACTTTATGCTACAATTAAGTTGACATTTTAAACCCTTATTAAAACTCCAACTTGCAAGTACTCGTCATTCCTCAACATTACCCTTAAAAATCTTAGTGGGTTTGGATGGAAAAATTGGCTGATCTATTCAAAGATTAACATACATTGTCAATTCTACTCTATTCTTTTTTGGTTAGTCAATATTACCCTAAATTATTCATCCGTTAGTCGATTTTGTCCAATTTGCCAATTTCCGTTTAAATTAACAGTTGGACAAAATCGACTAACAGTTGGATAGTTTAGGGTAATATTGGCTAATCGAAAAAGAATAGGATAGAATTGAAAACGCATGTCAACCTTTGGATAGATCGGCCAATTTTTTCGGTTTAGACAAAAGATTAATCAACTAGTATCAACTACTCTGCTACAATTACGTTAACAATTTAAAATTCAAACCCTTAATTAAAACTCCAATTTAAGTATTACTCAACATTATCCTTAAAAATATTGGTGGGTTTGGACAAAAGCTTAATCCCAACCTAAGTCAATGATGTGAAAAACTACAGTAAAAACTCCCAAAATTAATATTCAATAAAATAAACTCTATTAAATAATAAATTTTTTCGGTCCTAGGTCGGAACCAGTATAAAAATAAAAAAAAATTGATAAATTAGTAAGATAATAAATCTTCAGAAAATTCCTACATAAATATAGGTGACGAAGCATGAATCTGCACCGACATCTCCAGCTGATTAAACCGGTGACCATGGCGGTATTGAAACCCTAAAACATGCAAAAGAGGACCTCAGGGTCTCCCAAGGGTAGATACTCTGATGTTCAAGTCAGTAAGAGTAATTGTAATAGGGATATAAATTGTGGTGCGTAGAGAGTACCTTTAGATGTGAGGGATTGATCCCTATTTATAGAGTCAGAGTTACATGTTTGTCAAACTCTTTCTTAGTAGGAAAGTAATTCGCAACCGTCCTAGAAGTTTCCAGGGGCCGGTTGAAACTTTCGCCGAACTTGGACCGGCCTAGCCGTGGGCCGTAATAATTAGGACTTGTCAAATGCTCCTTATCAAGCCTATATTTCGAAGTCTGGAGATAGAGTAGGCTTGATAATATGAAGTATAAAGTTTTCTAATGTTCGGAAAGAACTGACTTGAATCGACAACCTGCGACAAATTAGCATCGAGGAGAAATCAAAACACTGAAAGCATTAGTGCGTACCTTTTTGAATGTACATGTCATAAAGGGCGATTAACATGTATGCCAATTTGTGAGAAAAGAAGAGTCATCAGTTCAAACTTTCGAGTGAGAAGTCGATATGCGATGATCTTAACATTCTGCTCCAGAGAGATACTAAGGCAGATACCCTGTTGCTTGAGAAGGTAATAAAGAAGTGTAATGGAGATTCCTATTACCCTGAATACAGAAATGCGTTATCAATAACTTTTGAAGGTACAACGATTGCCAGAACAAAGAATTTGTTTGAAGATTGCAATTCGTGTCATTGACCCAGACTTCAGTCGAGAAGTCCTTTCGCGATGATTCCCACGATATGTTCCAGGGTAATATCAAAGCAGGTGGCCTGCTCGTTGAAAGAGTCGAGAAGGAAACATAGCGGAGATTCTCACTATTCTCAAAATATGCGTCATCAGCGGCTAAGATATATCAACTGTCGAGGTGCGGAGTCTACTGGAGAACTATGACATATACTTCTGATCGAGAGGTAATATACCCAAACCTTCGAGAACGTCCTAAAAATCATAAATTAATAATAATATAAACTACCAAAAAAAAGAAACTAAGGTTTAAGAAACTAGGGGCTATTGCAATTTGTTTTTTCTTGAAATATACATTTAAGAAAATTTTATCTTTTATTTTCCTCTCCAACCAGTAAATAAAAAAACAATAGGATCATAAATACTTAGGGGATAGGGTTGATGTTGAGTATTTATTTACTAATAGAATTGAAAAAATTCTTTAAATTAAAAGATTATTAATTTATCAATAAAATAACAATATTAATTTATGAGAATACTCTCTATAAATTAATAAATTTTTTGTGGACTCAAAAGTTTTACTGTTGTATCAAATACTCTATGCTACAATTAAGTTAAAATTTTAAGCCCTTATAAAAACTCCAGCTTGTACGTACTCCTCTAATTAATTTAGCATTAAGTCTAGTTTAGCTACTTTTAACTTAAATTGTCATTTTTAGCCTACAAATTCAGTTAATGACCAAACGGTAAGTGAACTTTATATATAGGGTTGGAAAGAGGACCTTCGTCTTATTTGCTCATCATCATCATAGTCGTTGTTATTTTATCATCATCATCATCATCATTATTATTATTATTATTATTATTATTATTATTATTATTATTATTACTATATTGTTCTCCGGCTTTGCACAGAATATATTAAAATACAATATTAAATTGATAACTTGATACTAAAAATTTAACTATGTTGTAACTAAAATTTTATTCTCTCTCTGACAGTTGTTTGAGTGAGATTAATATTAATTAGAGTTACTGAATTTGAATACAAGTAAAATGTTTTATTTTTGAGCTTTTCTTTTAATAATTTTATCCTTAGAGTTTTAATTTTTTTTTCCCAATATAAGCGGTTAGACGGTGTGTTTTAATAGTGGTGAAAAATGTCAAATTGAAGTGAAAATAAATTATTCAACTTTTTCTCTTAAAAAATTATTGTAGTAAAAGCTAATTTTTAATGTATTAGGTAGAATTTCTTTTAATAAAAATACATAGTATTGACTTGATATGTTTTAGGCAGGAATTGATTACAGTGTGACATATATACCTTTCATTTTCTCTTTGATGTTGGATTTTTTGAGAGGAACAAAACGAGAAAAAATAGAGAATCATCGTTAAAGATAGAAGTCTGACAAAAACATAAATATATTATTGGTAAATGAAATAAAATACCAATTGCCTTTAAATAGGCTTTACAAGAAACAATCAATGAGAAAAAATAAGAATCAAATCCCAACTTGACTGAAACTAAAAAAAAAAAAAAGAAATTAGAAATATTTCAACAACTAAATCATTGACCAAATCGTACTTTGAATCAGTTTCCAACATTTGATAGTTGTTTAAATAATCTGTACATAACTAAATGTCTCTTGGTGAGTTTAGAATCTTGAACGTGATTGGTCAGAAATTAAATTGAGTAATTTGATTGGCCCATTAGTTCACATGACGTCATCAAATTTAAATTAAGCTCTTTGATTGGTTAATATGTTAATATGATATCAGCCATTTAAAACAAGGCTGTAATTGTCAATTATTAAAGTTGATTTTTATTTTTTGCCAACCAAGCGTCCAAAATGACGTCGTTTCATTACCTAATTTTATTATAATATTATTTATGAATGAAGTGAGGGGCTTTTGCTTAAGATTAGTTTTTGATTTTATCTGGTAAACTTTAATGATTTATTTTCATAAAACCATCTTAATTTATTCGCTTTACTTGAAAATTAATACTGATAATGTGACCATTTGAAATGAATTCATATTGACATGATTCAAACTGGTCGCGCGTAACGCGACGATAACAAATCTAGTATTTAACCAAACTGACGTAATTTTGATTTTGAGAGAAAATATTTCATGAAACCTGGACAGGCACCTGATCACTTTTTCTTACTTAGACTTATATTTTCACAGGGTATTATTATTATTATTATTATTATTATTGTTATTATTATTATTGTTATTATTATTATTGTTATTATTATTATTATTATTATAAAAAGGCAACCAAAGTTAAGAAAAATTAACACTAAAGTTTGCGTAGATAAACACCGGACGGTTACATCTAGTTCCGGCCATTGCTTATATTGTATTATAACCTTTTTTTTCGTAATTCATATAAAATTTGTTAGAGGAAATCAGCTAGAATTATAACTGAGACTAGATGCTTGGCCCGAGCGCCCCTGTTTTTTAACTTTGATATGTATTTTGACTTACAAATAGTTTATTAAATCTACTATAAGTTTAATTTATGTAATCATGTAAGTGATTGATTTTCGATTACAATATTATGAATTATGAATAGTTATTAAAGACATTGTTATTACATGTTATTGCTATTTTTGATACAGTAAAAATTATAGGTCATGAATTTTTTATTGATATAAAATGTATGTGACGATTATAGAGTAATTGTATAAAATGTTTACATTTAATTTTTTGAATAATTTGTAAATTCAGGAAATTTTAAATTTGTGGTTTAAAATTCTCTAACATATGAAAGGCCCAAAATTTAAAATCAGTGTATTTATAATGGTCATTAGATATTCGGGTCCAAGCCTGTTATAATGTGGTACTTCAGAAACCCAAACTCAGCCCATTTAATGCCGACACTCCTAATTTCGTTTTTCTTATATTTATTTAAAAAAAGTGAAATGAAAATGTGGTGGATATTTTGCCTGACTTATCAAATTGTTTCCCTTTTAACTTTTTCATCAGCCGTATTTCACTTCGGAGGAACTAAAGTTCGGCTACTTTCCTTCCGCAGCAACCGAATCCATACAAACCACTGCCAAATTTTTTTAGCTCTGATTAGGATTTTTGCTCGAATCATTTACACTGTGAATGTGAGATCTGATGTTGTGATTGAAAATATGTTTGAAATCTGAAGGAAATCAAGATTCTTCATCTAATGATGTCAGTATGAAGTGCCAACATTGATCTATCATTAGTGAGCTTAGATTGTGTATGTCGTTGGGAAATCTTCTTGTTTGAGCTAAAATCTGAGTTTCGGAATCAACAAAACTGGATTATTCATTAGCATGCATATGCATTCAATCCGGTTTAGATCTATAAGGTAATATAGCTTATTCAACTTCTTGTTAGCTTCGGAGTTGTTTGAATCGTATATATCAAACTATCAGTCAAATCCCATTTTGATGATTTGAAGCTTACGGTTCTTTTTTTTTTCATTCGTCAATTTTCTGGTGTTCGAGCTGGGATTGAATCTGCTACTGTTTCTACAATGTTGTTATTGTTGTTTTTGGGACGGTCAACGGGAGCTAAATGTTGTTTGAAATTTGGAGGAATTAAAGATTCTTGATCTAATGGTGTCAGTTTGATTTCCAATATCGATCTATCATTAGTGAGCTTAGATTGTGTATGTCGGTGGGAAATCTTCTTGTTTGAGCTAAAATCTCAGCTTCGGCATCAACAGAACTGGATTATTCATTAGAATGCATATGCATTCAATCCGGTTTACATCTATAAGGTAATATAGCTTATTCAACCTCTTATTAGCTTCGGATTTGTTTGAATCGTATATATGAAACTATCGTCAAATCCAATTTTGATGATTTGAAGCTTATGGTTCTTTTTTTTTTTCATTCGTCAATTTTCTGGTGTTCGAGCTAGGATTGTAGCTGCTACTATTTCTACGATGTTGTTATTGCTGTTTTTGGGACGATCAACGAGAGTATAAAACTCAACCATCCAATAAAGGTGAGATAGTTTCTTCAAATCAAGCTTTCTGGTTATTACAATTTGAGATAGATAAAAATTTCATTGCAAAGATTTCCTGGTTTTTGGTTGCTGGTTTCTGGTTACCAGTATTTGCATCCAATAAAGATTTCTGGTTTCTTCACATCAAGGTTTCTGGTTTTTTGTTATCCAAAAACCAAAAATTGCAATTATATATATAAATATACAAATGAATTTTGAGGTTTAAAGAGTTTATTCAGTGCTGGAAATTATTAGGTCATGAACATTCATCATAATAATTCTATGCAAAAACAGAATGCCAAATAGTGTCACCTACAAAACTTCTAGGATCAGATATTCCTTATTAACTACCTTGCGAGCATCTATACGAAAACCTAAAGTTATACCCAAAGGTATCTTCTTTATCCTCAACATCCTCCAATCTGTGAAATACGAATAATACATGAATTTGGACAAATAGGTAGAATATGATTGGCCAAAAGATAGTATACAGACATATTTATTTAATAGAACCTCATTTTGTAGTCAGAAATTGCAGGCATAGACATGTCATTTAGGAAGATTCTGCCATTGTACATATTAGTGGTGACTGAAGCCCTTGCTGTTAAGATTTAAAAGACAAAAAAATATTGAAGTTGGCAACAAGGGATTTAAATAAATCAAAAGTTTAATTTGGATGCTCATGAAATGACTCACAATTCCACTTTTTGCATTTCACATATTGCACAATAAGCACTACCGGCATTAGTGGATGATCAGCCATCATTGCTGATATGGCATCAGCATTTCCATTCCATAGGGTGATCTTCAACCTGTCAGCCCTGTGTAAAATTTCATGATATAAAAAAACTTAATGACATACTGTTTGGATATCTATAATGATCATATTTTAAAAATAGATCTAAGAATGTACCTTTCATCCTCCAGCTCCACAGATATCCTCTTCTTCTCCCCATCAATGATCGCCTCACTAACACCAATAACATGTCCAATAACATCTAGATTAAACAAAAGTGTTAGAAGATTTTTATGTTTAATTATATCAAAACATAAATTGTAATAATATAAGGATGGAAAATATATACCAAAAAAGAAATCAAAATTCGCAATGAAATTTGAAATCTCAGCGAAAGGAGTGAATTCAAACACATGGTTAGGAATATCCAAATCAACAACAGCATCCACAGTATCCACAATGGTGTTAGGTTCAAACACGATTTTGTATTCGTGTTTTGAACAACGGTAACCACCAACAATGTTCAAAGCATGATCAAAATATGCTATTTGCCGAACACAGCCTTCTTTGAAGTAGTTGATAAACCTGTCCATAAAGCTTTTAGGGATGGTAGCCTGAATTTTTCTACCCTATATTCGAAAAACAGATTAGTATACAGTGATGTAGTTGGTTTCTATACACTTCATAGTAATTTAAGAGTTAAAAGATCGAAATATATAATACCTGAGCATCAATGAATATGAATTCAAGTGACTTGATTTCTTTCTGATCTGCCTTCATGTACATCTTCAAATTGACATGACACGAACTACGATTCTGAAGTGTGGACTTTTGGTGCTTATCAAGCCGTTAATGTCTGCAATATACCTCTGAACAGCAGCCATTGAAAGGTGATGAAGAGCAAAATAGGTACCAAAGTCAGAAAGGGGTGATTCAGCGTAATTTGATGGTGGTTGACTGGTGGCTATAACTCGTGCCATATAAACATATTTATACAGGTATATTTCATAGCCTTAATAAGCATGGTTGGTTGATAATCAATGGCAAGAAAATCTGTCATATTTTCCAAAATATGATGATCGGATATGCATAATTTTGGTTACGTGGATACATGGATTATCATGGTTGTATGATGATCAGGATACATGGATATATATGCATAATTTTGGGTGAAATTTGATTTATGATCTTGAGTATAAATGTTGATTGATTTCTGCTCTAAGTTTTACTGATGGTTATGATGAAAAATGAATCTGGACACCAACATGGCTTGATTCGTTAATGCTTGGAAATGATAACTGTAAAATTTTGTGATCTTTTGTAGGGCTTTGAATCAGGGAGAGATAATTCGGATGATCTTCATTATAATTGTAGTTTTTTTTTAAAAAAATTTAAACTCCTATGTATAACAGTTTAAAGGGAAGATTACCTGGACTGTATATCCCTTATATTGGGAAGGATTTAACGTGATTATGATGTGATCTTTTTAATATTTTGGGGACTGTATTTTTGGAGACAGTTTAAAGGAGAAATTACCTGAACTGTATATATATTCCTTATATTAGGGAGGATTTATAACGTGATTATGATCTTTTTAATATTTTTGGGGACTGTATATATTTTTTTTTACTTCCCGGTTTATCACCCCTTGCCACGTGGCCTATTTTTTGAGCAAATGATTGAATTTTTTGGTTTAGGCGGGAAAAAAAACTCTGTGAAGATGACACGTGTCCTAAGTGTTTATCGCTTTCATGAAGTGTAAAGGGATTTTTAAATTGTAACCTAGGCTATTGTTTTGTAATTATTTCCTCCGTCTAAAATGATAGTCGAGTTTGAATTTTCACTTTTAGTGTAAAATAAACTAAATAAAAATCAAAACTGGAAAAAAATTTCAGGGCGGAGGGAGTACTATATATTTAGGTAATTAAATTTGAAATTAAGTAGGTCGATCGATTGAGACTGGCTGGATTTGTAACATTTGTAAAAGCAATGGACAAAAAGGGAATCACATATGAAATTTAAGGGTCTATTTGGGTAATTTACTTGAGGAATTTTCAGCTATGCTTGCTATAAATTGGGAACACATTGTAAGAAGAAATCATCCAAAACGAATAGTATTAGTAGTAGCCAGTAAACTCAAAAGAAAAAGAAAATGGAGGTAGCAATGTCAGACATTGCACTGCTTCTTCTATCTCTAACAAGCTGCTTTTTATTTCTATATCTAATTACCAACCTATTCCCTACAAGAAAATCTCAGTCAACTTCCTCAGGGAAGCAGCTGCTTCCCCCTGGAAAAACAGACTGGCCATTTTTCAGCGAAACCCTGGATTTTTACTCAAAATACCAAAAGAATGTGGTCCAGAAATTTGTCATGGAAAGGTGCAAAAGGTATTCCTCCAAGATCTTCAAGACATCTTTAATCGGGCAGCCGGTTATAGTGATTTCGGGTGCTGAAGGGAACAAATTTTTGTTCTCCAACCAGACAGATTTGTTCAAGCATTGGTTTCCAAGTTCCATAGACAAATTGTTTCCCAACACAAATGAAGTCCTGGCCGATGTTAGCAAGGTTCAGGCGATGCGTAAGTTCCTCACGTCGATCCTGAAAGGAGACGCACTTAGAGAACACGTACGGATTCTCGACGCCACGATAAAACAACAGTTGCATACCGATGATTGGAATGGTGAACAAGTGATTAAGGTTGGTGAAATGTCAAGGAGGTATTCCTTCGCAACCGGATGCAAGATCTTTTTAGGCATAGAGGACCAGAAAAAAGTTGATGGACTTGAAGAGCTTATAAAACTCATTTTAATCGGCCTCACTTCCATACCCATCAACTTTCCAGGAACCGCTTTTCATCGCGCCATGAAATCGTCCAAGAAAGTATTCAAACAGATTGATGCAGAAATCAGGCAGAGGAAGATTGAGTACAATATGGGTGATCAAGCGGCTTCTTCCGGCGCCAGAAACGACTTCGTGTCATACTTGGTTCAATCCACGCGTGATCATGGCCTATTCCTCACTGATGTCCAAATTGCTACTTTGTTAACAGGTTTACTTATCGGATCCTATTGGGGTATTCATGCCACAATCACCAACGTCTTCAAGCATCTTGCAGACTTTCCCCAAGTTTACGATTTGGTTTTGAAAGGTAAGTTTTAGGATATCTAATTAATTCATCTATTTTATGCTTGAATTAAATATGTCTGTAGTAACTGTAGGGAATAAAATAGAATGATATGGTGCTTCACCTCAAAACCAATTGGTAATGAGGGAAGTAACTCATGAATCTTATATATTGATACAAAGTCTCTCGCGATACCAATACGAGACAATAGACAAACATAACTTGGGATTTCATCAAAATAAATATGCTTTTTGTTTTTTTAATTTATACTCTCAAATGATGTAATTAATATTTTATCCATGTATGTAATGTTAAAGAGCAAGAAGAAATTTCCAGTTCAAAGGGAGCAAATGAAACACTCCAGTGGGAAGATGTGAGGAAAATGAAGTATTCATGGAAGGTTGTTTGCGAAACCTTGAGGTTATTTCCAACGGAGGTGGGAGGATTCAAGGAAGCTATCACCGATTTCAACTATGAAGGGTACACTATTCCCCAAGGATGGAAGGTAAGTTCGATGAAAATGTTTCATAATTACGATTCTTTTAGTCTCAAAATGTTTGTTGTATTAATTTGTTGTATTAAAATAAAATTTAATTATACAAAAACTGGATCAATCATGTTGAGAGGAGGGAGGGAGTAAAATTTATCGCATGTTGCTTAATTATCACACTCGACATTACCATTAAAATTTTCATTTAAGGCATGAGCTAATTATTAATCAATCACAACTGTCAACGCAAAAAAATCTGTAACAACCCTTTTCCTTTGTGTGTAAATAATGCAAAACACAATTCTCTATAATTACATGCATGTGGGATTTAATTGTTCTTTTGGTAATTCTTGAAAAATATTCTTTTGTGTGTAAGTAATGCAAAACACAATTCTTGGATCTTTGTGTGCGTATGTGCAGATACATTGGAATATAAATGCCACGCATCATAACCCGGAATATTTCCCGAATCCTGAAAAGTTTGACCCGTCAAGATTTGAAGGAGATGGTCCAGCACCTTATGCATTTGTACCTTTTGGAGGTGGTGTTCGAATGTGCCCCGGAAATGAGTATGCTAGGTCTGCCATACTAATTTTTCTTCATAATGTGGTCACGAATCCCGTCGGGAAAAAGACATTCCCAGTGAATCGAATCAATGCATGATCAACTTTGAACTTCGTTTCCATCCTCACATAAATAAGCCCTAGCTTGATGGCTCTGTAATTCTAGTTTGTGCGTGCCTTTGCGTCTGTACTCTTTTTTTTTTTTTTTTAAATACAAAAATTATGTACTTTTACTTCTTCTTTTATATCCCTTTTAAATTAATGCACTAGCTGGCATGGTGAAGGAGTCATTCACATATGTAACGGTGCCGTTAAATTGTTTCGATAGTCTCCCCCCCCCCAATTAAAAAGAACCATTAAAAATAAGCCCAAGATGGCGTATCTTATAATTTTCTTTCCTATATCTTTCCCCATGGTGATTTGAAAAAACATATCAAATTAATTTATTAGTCCTTTCGTCCCAGAAAAATTAATTATTAGTCTTTCCTCATCAATTAGTTTTTGTATTTTATTAGTCCTTCCATCCCTGAAAAATTAATTATTTTGTTAGGAAACGAAAAGAGTATTCTGACGCAAGCAAATTGATTGACTTGATTTGGAATACCGATTCTCGCATCTCATTGGGACATCTAAATTGTTAACTTGTTCAAGTCATCCTCATTTTGCAAGTCAATTCTTTTTGAGAGTGGAAGCCGCCTTCCTCTTTGCTTGTTCCGGTTGCAGTTTGAATAATTACAATTATTTGGAGTAAACGATAATTATTGGCTAACTTAACTATAACTTAGGTTCAAATTTGGGTATGGGTGATTAAAATATGGTTAGTGATTCGGCCACAACAATTTTTAGCATCCAATGCGATTTTTTTCATATTTTCCAGAGTTACCTCTATAAAGTCAAATGCATTTATCTTCTTTCTTCCTTATCTCTGGCTCATTTAATACAGTAATCTTACTATTTTTTCTTAAGGAATAAATGCTCCAATTAATTTACCAAAATTCTTCCTAAAGTTTTAAAAGAGTATTTAAAAAGTACACGATATCATTCTTAAACCAAAAATAGGAGAATACACACTAACATTGAGATGATCTTCCATCTGATTGTATAAAATTTGGCTGAAGAAAGATGGATAAATTCAAATTATTAAAAAGGATAGAACTTTCACATAATTATTTATAACGGCACTAGCTTACCATTCTTAGAAAATCATAAAACAAAAATTTTTTAATAGACTAATTTACCTTGCTCATCATCTCTTAAGACTCATCCTTGAATCACGAATATGCGAATACCACATTACCACGAAAGATTCTGGAAATACTTCTAACATTGATGATGTCCTTGATGCAAACATTTGATCTGTCTGTAATGATTTCACTTGGTTGAGGAACTAAAATTTTTGCTTCTATTTTGTGATTCAGTTTCTTGCATAAGGTAGAACAATACATTGTGGGATTTGTAAAGGGCAAAATATTATCCAGAAATCAAGGATCCGCTTTAGTGATAATCAATATCTCTTTATATATTTTTAATGCCTTTGACTTTCAAAAGGAAAATTTTGGAAAATAAGGATAACTTTGCACTTGTTGTGGCAGAATCATCATGCTAAAAATATTTATTGGGAAAGTTTTGTCTCCCAAAAGTAATTTACCCGGCTTGAATTTGGATTATTAGAACAATGAGTACCGAATGCCTAATATACCAAAACAAAATAATAATAAAAAATAAGGACAATGATGTTACATGCTCATTAACGTATTTAATATGCTTGAAAAATTTACTGACCAATAATGATATCACTAACCAGCTTATTAAAAGTTTGGACAATTGTTCGGGGAGGCTTTTCCCTATCAAAATGAATACATGTGGTGTAACCCTGTTTAAGATGATGTATCGGTTCCTTCTAAGAAACATATAACATAAAAAATACTTCGTCAATTTCTATCTTATGGGAACATAAAAATATTTGAACCAAACCATAGCCTTTCATGCCCTTTGAGTTTGACCTTAATTTGCACCGTGGGATTTGGTTTGAGACTTTGAGTCTTCCAGCGGAACATGAAGAAGAAGAAGGCAACTTGAAAGTAGAATACAACTAAATTTGATACATATATATACGAAACTGCCCCAATCATAACTTGGACAGAGTATTAGTTATAATATTCCTCAACTTTTGGTAAGATATATACGTAGGCCAAAATCATATAGAAACTTGTACCAACAGTTAGTGGACTATTTTTAATTTTTTTTAAAGGGAGGTAGTATTTTTGTAATTGCAAAAACGTAAATAAAACTGTTATTTGTATTAAAATATGCAAAAGGTCAACTACACACTGAACCATTCCATCGATGAAGTTCAATTCTTTTCCTCCAATCTTAATGTTTCAGTATAGAGTTTGATACTGTTTACAGTAGTATATGATTCTATGCAAGGAAGAAGATGAATAGATACAAATTAGATCAATTCATCTATTTCCCTTGGTTTACGTGACTTGATTTACAGAGATAATAATTAATTGCACTCCATCATTAATTACAGTACTGATCATTTTACATTATGGGGAGTGTGGAGGATATCAAAGAATCAAGTGAAGTGCATCCGAACATGTCTATGGCTTCTCCTGCACCATTTCTAGATGCCAACAATAAGAAGAAGAAGGCCAAGAAAGAACAGAAGAATCATGAGAAGAATACTGTTCCATTTTTCAAACTTTTTCAGTTGGCAGATTCTTTGGACAAGCTGTTGATGGCCGTTGGTACCGTTGCTGCCATTGGAAATGGGTTGCGCCTTCCGTTTATGACCATTTTGTTTGGTCAACTGACTGATTCTTTTGGACAAACTACAGATATCCAACTTCTTGTTAAGGAGGTTTCCAAGGTAAGTACGTGTATGTAATGCATTTCAGTTCAAAACCAACCAATCCGTATGTGATACTTAATATTGTGCCAAAATATATATTTTGCTGCTTCAGTTTAATTTGTTGCATATTTTGCTATAGGTATCCCTGAAATTTGTTTATTTGGCTCTTGGTGCCGGGGTAGCCGCATTCCTCCGTAAGTCACTAAGTCTCATGTTTATTAATAGCATAAATACAATGACTCAGTATAAATCTCAAAACTCGATGTGGAATATTTTTTTTTTTTTTTTTGCGGCAGAGGGAGTAATATTCAACAATGTTGCATATTTAAATTCGTCTTGATCGATTAATGGTGTCTATGTAATAATGCATTAATATATATATAGAGGTGTCCTGTTGGACGATCACTGGTGAGAGACAAGGTGCTCGAGTTAGGAACCTGTATTTGAAAATGATTCTGCGGCAGGAGGTTGGTTTCTTCGACAAAGAAATCAATACAGGAGAAGTTATGGGAAGGATATCTGGGGACACTGTTCTTATTCAGGACGCTCTTGGGGAGAAGGTAAGATTAATTAATGTGCATGATTTTCTTACATTTGACAGACAACAACAAAGACTTATTTTTCTTTTCTGACAATATTATCTTGATTCTTTCAGGTGGGCATGTGTGTACAGCTGGTATCAACATTTGTTGGAGGCTTTGTGGTTGCGTTTATCAAAGGGTGGCTTCTTTCAATCGTCCTCTTGGCTTCGCTTCCTCCGCTTTTTTTGGCTGGTAGACTGACGGCCCTCATTGTATCCCTGACGGCTTCCAGTGGCCAAAATGCTTATGCCGAAGCAGCCATTGTTGTTGAACAAACCATTGGCGCGATTAGAACAGTATGTCGTCATCAATTCGTACGAAGTAATAGTCTCATTTTTTTTTTTTTTTAACTGGAAAAGTATAACATATCAAGTTAGTTCAAACCATAATATATTCAGGTAGCATCATTTACTGGAGAAAAACAGGCTGTGGCCTCTTATGAAAATTCACTGGTAAAAGCTTACAAAGCAGCTGTAAGAGAATCAACGGTTGCCGGGTTAGGTCTTGGATTAGTTATGGGCATTGTATATTGCAATTATGCTTTGGCAATTTGGTTTGGTGCAAAGTTGATAGCAGAGAAAAAGCTTACAGGTGGTGAAGTGATTAATGTGATCATTGCACTTCTAACCGGTTCCATGTAAGTGTCAGTTTATATCATCCTGTTGAGCGCTTCTTATTTTCTCTCTGTTCATTTGATCCTATCATCCTAGCGAGGTTTCGATAAATTTTAAAAAAATGGTCAGGTCACTGGGACAAGCATCTCCTTGCATAACCGCATTTGCTGGGGGTCGTGCTGCAGCTTACAAGATGTTTGAGACCATAAATAGAATACCTGAGATAGATGCTTACGATGCTGGAGGAAAGGTTTTAGATGACATCCTAGGAGATATCGAGTTAAAGGATGTATACTTTAGTTATCCTACCAGACCAGATGAACAAATTTTCGGTGGATTCTCCATGTTCATACTTAGCGGCACTTCAGCAGCTTTGGTTGGACAGAGTGGAAGTGGTAAGTCAACTATCATTAGCTTGATAGAGAGATTCTATGATCCCCAAGCTGGTGAAGTTCTAATTGATGGAACAAACCTTAAGGAATTCCAACTCAAGTGGATCAGGGGAAAAATAGGTCTTGTTAGTCAAGAACCTGTACTCTTTACTGCTAGTATTAAGGATAATATAGTATATGGAAAAGAGGGAGCCACTACTGAAGAAATTAGAGCTGCAATAGAGCTAGCTAATGCTGCCAAGTTCATTGATCAGTTGCCTAAGGTTAACTCTACTTTCACCTTCTATATCCGGCTTAATAAAAAAATCACAATGGTCGGGAATTGACTATTTCTTTTTCTGTCATATTTAAGTGTGTTGTTTTACATTACATGTAGGGGCTTGACACTATGGTTGGAGAGCATGGTACTCAGCTCTCTGGCGGCCAGAAGCAGAGACTTGCAATAGCGAGGGCGATTCTAAAAGATCCACGAATTCTACTTCTAGACGAGGCAACCAGTGCATTGGATGCGAATTCTGAAAGGATAGTTCAAGAGGCATTGGATAGAGTTATGGTTAACAGAACAACTGTTGTCATTGCCCACCGTCTCAGCACTGTGAGAAATGCTGACATGATTGCAGTCATTCATGGAGGAAAGATAGTTGAAAAAGGTAATTCTACTATGCAGCATCGACTCAATCATTCTACCTTTTTTTTGTGTGTTTCCTATTTTACAACATCTAAGAGCAAAAAATGAAATTGTTTCCGTTGTTGGATGCTTTAGGCAAGCATTATGAGCTAATCAAAGATCCCGATGGAGCTTATAGTCAGCTTATCCACTTACAAGAGGTGAATGAAAATATAAAAGACAATGCTGATGGAAAAGAAAATTCAGAGATCAGCATTGAATCCAATCGACAGTGGAGCCAAAGAATGTCCTTCCGAGGGTACAAAAACAATGAATCTTCTATTGATAACATCAGCCATAAATCTTCTACAGGGAATAGTAGTAGACATTCAGTCTCCTTCTCATCTGTTCTACCGGAAAGATTAACTAATTCTGAAACAGCCCCAGCGGATACTGATGATAATCCCCAAGAAGCACTAGAAGAGCCTCGCAAAGTTCCAATTTATCGCCTCGCGATTCTCAATAAGCCTGAGATTCCAGTGATCATTCTTGGAGCTATATTTGCAACTGCTAATGGGGCGATTCTCCCAATTTTTGGGGTATTAATATCTTATGTGATCAAAACATTTTATGAGCCACCACATGAACTAAGGAAGGACTCGCGATTTTGGGCAATAATCTTTGTAGTATTAGGAGTGACATCGTTAGTAATATATCCAGTTAGAACATACCTTTTTGGTTTGGCTGGAGCCAAACTGATTGGACGAATTCGATCAATGTGTTTTGAGAAGGTGGTTAATATGGAGATCGGTTGGTTTGATAAGCCTAAACACTCAAGTGGATTTATCAGTGCAAAATTATCGGTCGATGCATCACTGGTGCGCGCACTAGTTGGAGATTCTCTTGCACAAATGGTTCAAGATGCCTCATCTATCATTATCGCTTTGATTGTTGCATTTTGTGCAAGTTGGCAGTTGTCACTTATAATCTTGGCTATGGTACCCCTGAGAGCAGTAAGTGCATTTCTGCAAGTTAAGTTCACCAAAGGGTTCACTGCAGATGCAAAGGTAAAGGATATCCGACACTCTAACATTTCCAAAAAATCAAAAGAAAAAAAAATTAATTAGTTTTGTTGTGAAACTAGTGTTTTCATTTATTGAAATTCTACAGATGACATACGAGGAAGCAAGTCAAGTTGCGAATGATGCAGTTGGAAGCATAAGAACTGTGGCTTCATTTTGTGCTCAAGAGAAAGTGATGGAAACGTACAAGAAAGTATGCAAAGGGTCGATGGAGAAAAGAATTAGACAAGGGTTGTTCAGTGGGATTAGTTTTGGTGCGTCTATCATGTTTATTTTCCTGATCTATGCCACCAGTTTTTATGCAGCAGCACATCTTGTTCAGGATGGTAAAATTAAGTTTTCAGATGTTTTTCGTGTGAGTAAAGAAAACCTTGTGAATTGTTAAAATCATTCCCAAGAATATACAATGCCAGCATTTTCCAAAGGTTTACTAACAATTTGAATTGCAGGTTTTCTTTGTACTGACCTTAGCAGTTGTGGCAATATCTCAATCAAACTCGACAGGTTCGGATTCAAGCAAAGCCAAGACCGCCGCAGCTTCAATATTTTCTATTCTTGATAGGCAATCGAGTATTGATCCAAGCGACGAGTCAGGGATGACATTAGAAAATGTAAAGGGAGAAATTGAGTTGCGGCATTTATATTTCAAGTATCCTACTAGACCAGATGTCCAAGTATTATGTGACCTCTGCTTAACCATGCAGAGTGGCAAGGTAAACATTCTGCAAGTTATTTTTGGTATGTTTTGTTTTGTCTTAGTGTTCTGGTGTTCAATCCATTCAGTAATATAACGATGGTTTCTTCAGACAATAGCTCTAGTTGGAGAGAGCGGAAGTGGAAAATCTACTCTGATTCAACTGTTGCAGAGATTTTATGATCCGGATTCAGGTTCTATCAGTTTGGATGGAATTGAAATTCACAAATTCCAATTGAAGTGGCTAAGGAGGCAAATGGGACTTGTGAGTCAAGAACCAGTCCTGTTTAATGATACAATCCGAGCCAACATTGCCTACGGCAAAGAAGGAAAAGCCACAGAAGCTGAAATAATCGAAGCATCAGAGTTAGCAAATGCACATAAGTTCATTAGTGGCCTAAAAGAGGTTAGTTTATAATGAAACAAGTTCCTTGCTCACTGTAAGATTATGGATTATTTTTATGGTTCTAAAAAAATATGGATCTAATTGTGTTCAGGGATATGATACAATAGTAGGCGAACGAGGAATACAATTATCTGGTGGTCAAAAACAGCGAGTTGCTATTGCACGAGCAATAGTGAAATATCCGAAGATATTGCTATTAGATGAGGCCACAAGCGCACTGGATGCAGAATCAGAGAAAATAGTTCAAGATGCACTGGACAAGGTGATGGTGAATCGAACCACGGTTTTGGTGGCACACAGGCTTTCGACAATAAAATGTGCTGATACGATTGCAGTAATGAAGAATGGAGCGATCGTGGAGAAGGGAAATCATGACTCTCTTTTGAGCATCAAAGATGGCTATTATGCATCCTTAGTTGCAATCCAAAGCAACGTCCAATGCTAAACATCATTGGTTCTCTTCTTTCCTATTAATTGTTACAGCGCGTGATGCAATTGCTCACTTCAATCCTGTGTTCGAATATAAGTCAGAGCTAAAAGCAAAGGAGAAAGTTCGTAATTCAACAACCAAATGGTAATTTTTTAGTCGTCATTGATTACAATTTGATGCTGAAAGACACAGGAAATTTGATTAATACAGGAGAAAATCTGCAGCAAAAATTTTTTTGCTTGCGTATAGCTTTGTTGGTACATAAATCCACATAAATCCTAGTGTATATTATCTAGTTTATTTCGTTCTCTTTTATTTTGTTATGCTATTTTCTGGACTGTTCGATTGAATGAAAATTCCGATTCATAGCAAGTATCACTGACAAGTTATTCTACCACTAGAAGATGACAAAAAAGTCGTTATCAGATATGATGGCATATGTTTAACTCTTTGGCGGAAGCAACCTCCGACTTTAAAATACTCCTTTGCTAGAAGTGCTTAAAACTAAACTGAAACTCTGAAAGGGACTGTGTATTTGACTTTTAAGGGATATCACTAATGGTGTGTTTAAGTCAGTCCATACCATACAAATATACATGGTAACAGATACAAATAGTATTGATTAACACATTGCCGGCCAAAAGACCATCCCAAAAATAAAATAATCCACTTTTTTGAACTAAATCAGTACAATAAAGTAAACTGTCTTTTTTGGGATGGTAGGAGTATATGATGTTGACACGGATGTTTGAAACTCTGAATTCCTTTGGCATCCTGTTAAATGGTCGAATGCCTGTTTTTTTTTTTTTTTTTTTTTTTAATCTTTGCCCGAGTCGAGCTGAATCCAGTGAATAGTTGTAGTGAAGGAGGACGAAGTATTAAGCGCAAATGGCATCAATTTTCTAGGTCTATAAGCAACACATGCATATTGAGAGCATCAAGTGAGTAAAACAGCTGATTAAGGAGTTAAACCCACATATCATAATGTACTTAGATGCAAGCAAAAAAAGCTATACCATTTGGTTGATTGAATGAAAATGTGTTAATCAATACTATTTGTATCTGTTACCATGTATATTTGTATGGTATGGACTGACTTAAACACACCATTAGTGATATCCCTTAAAAGTCAAATACACAGTCCCTTTCAGAGTTTCAGTTTAGTTTTAAGCACTTCTAGCAAAGGAGTATTTTAAAGTCGGAGGTTGCTTCCGCCAAAGAGTTAAACATATGCCATCATATCTGATAACGACTTTTTTGTCATCTTCTAGTGGTAGAATAACTTGTCAGTGATACTTGCTATGAATCGGAATTTTCATTCAATCGAACAGTCCAGAAAATAGCATAACAAAATAAAAGAGAACGAAATAAACTAGATAATATACACTAGGATTTATGTGGTTTGGGTCCATGGCTGGAGGAGGAAACCCCAAATGCTTCGAGAATGACGTGAAGATAATTTACAAAAGGCTAACACCAGTATTTTGTTATACTGGATTAAGAAAACCCAAGTAAAATAAATGACAAAAGAGAGGAAGGAAGAATTGATCTGTTTGGTGCAATTTTTTGAGGCCTTCAGAATCCTCCCTTTTATGGCTAATAAATTTCAGCTGCAATTCCAACGAAATATCGTCAAATAATTCAACAAAAAATCAGCCAAAATCTTACACAGTTCTGCAAATTGGTTGTGCAAGTTGCTCCATCAATTAAGTAAAGGAGAGCTTGCCCCATGTGCTTGATGACCTTTTCCTCCATTTATGTCTTTCAACAAAACTTTGAGGGCCAAAAGCATCAATTATCACCTAAGAAGTACGTCTACCCCGATTAAGATGTTCAATGATTAAATTGGTCTAAAGAACTACCTATAAATGGGTATAATGTCATCATTCCATAGTACAGCCAAAACGAATTCATATCATAACTTACAAAAAAATGTCGGTCGCGGCGTCAGATATTCAGCTCTTTCTCTTCTCTCTAATAACCATTTTTTTATTCCTGTATCTCACAAAGCTTTACCTGAGAAGATTAAATTCTTCTAAGGCTGATGAAGATCAGCTAAAGCTTCCTCCAGGAAATACAGGATGGCCTTTATTAGGGGAGTCCCTTGATTTTTACTCCAAAGCTCAAAAGGGATTGGTTGAGAATTTTGTGATAGAAAGGAGTCAGAAGTATTCCTCGAAGATATTCAAGACTTCCTTGATTGGACAGCCAATTGCAGTGGTTTATGGAGCTGAAGGGAACAAGTTTCTGTTCTCCAACGAGAAGAAGTTGCTCAAGCATTGGTGGCCAAGCGCCATCGACAAACTCTTTCCCAATTCTGACCGAAAGACTAATGCTGATCGCGGCCAAACCATGCGTAGGTTCATCGCGTCTATTCTCAAAGGGGAAGCTCTTAGAGAATACGTTGAGATTTTCGATACGACCATAAAACAGCAACTGCTAACTCACTGGAACTCTTCTGAACCAGTTTTTATAAGCGAAATGGCGAGAAAGTATACATTTGCATCAGCATGCAGGATATTCTTAGGAGTTGTTGATCCAGTGAAGGTGGATGAATTCGAAAAGTATATAAAGATCATCGCAATCGGCCTTCATTCAGCCCCCATCGATCTTCCCGGAACAGCATTAAGTCGCGGAATCAAAGCATCCAAGAAAATGCGGAAAGAGCTGGAAGCAGTGATCAGGCAAAAGAAGATTGATGCTGCAAATGATCAATATTGCAAAAAGACTTCTTCAACCTTGGAAAAGGATTTCGTCTTACACATGCTTTCATCCACAGATGATAATGGTCAACCTATCAATGAGGCGGATATGGCCAGTCACTTAACAGGTGTTCTTCAGGCAGCTTATGCAAGCGTTCATTCCACCATTACCAACCTTATGAAATATCTGGCTGAATTTCCTGAAGTGTATAGAGTGGTTCTAAAAGGTAATTTTATTAGTAACTCTCTATCATATCGTTCGACATGATCTTCTTTTCTTATAGATTTTTTTTTTGTTTGAAAATTTAACATAATTGATTTTTTTTCAGAACCTAAACTCTAAAACGGTTTAAATTATGGCGTTCCATTATTGATACATGATTAGTACACAAGAGATTGGAAATTAAAGATATTTCGGATTGCCACAAAAAAAAAGGGAATTTTTTTTGAAAAGGGTATTAGAAAGATCAAAATTATTATTAAGGGCGTTGACTTTTCTTATTCTTTAGTATGAATTTTAAAATAGTTTTAAATATTATATAATTTTGCAAATGACTAGTTTACCCCAACCGGTTAGAATTACTATTGACTCCCTTTTTTCCAACATAAATTATTTCCCTGGTATGATTCTAATCCTCCATGATTCTTTATGAATATGAACTCTTACCAAATTGTTTGCAAACTATTCTTTCGATATCCAATCGAATCTTCCTCTTGCAATAAAATAAATGTCAGTTGTTGCAATAGCCCATCACAACAAGAATAATAATGTCAGTTGTTAGACTCCAAGCTCGATTACAACATCACAAAGTAGCAAAACACTAATCATATAATTTGCAAGCTCGATTTCCCAAAGCACATATGCATCATAGATACTCACCTTTTTAACATGGGAAATTTACAAGAACGCACTACAGAGTATCCGGACGTGTAAATTGTTATGTCCTTCTCCCATCTCTTTTTGAAATTTGGTCAAGAAAAAAACTAAAAAGAAAAGCAAGTCTTGCAAGCTTTACCAACTTAGGACCATCTTCACTCTTATGCTTAGCTTTTAAAAAAAGACTTGAGAGAATATATATCTAATTCATGTCATCTGATCATCTGATTTGCAAAATTTGTGCCTGGTAAATTCATACAAACTTTTAACCCCTTAAGCTCTGAATCGTAAGGACAAAAAGAACAGAGTCGGAAGACAATCGTTGTTTCTTTTTTTTCTTTTTCTTTTCTTCTTGGTGTTTTTAGGGAGAGACGTCAATTATTGCAAGGGCAGAAATAAGTAAAGTCAATGTTGTACAAAAAGAAGGATAAAGTAGTCTTTTAAAGGGTTAGAAAAAACAACTTATTTATTAAAAGAACAAAAAAAAAATTGTAACGCCCTTATTTATAATTTTGATCTTTCTAATGCCTTTTTTTATGAATTTTCCCCAAAAAAAATTAAGTCACTAATTTTTACTGCACTTGTGTACGTATTTTTCAAGTTTGATGAATAAGAAAACATTCTCCAATCCTTCATAAAACATATTTTAAAATTCTAATATTTTGGGAACAATCAGAGCAACAAGAAATTGCAAGATCGAAGGGCTCAAACGATAGATTGAGTTGGGAAGATGTGAGGAAAATGAAGCATTCGTGGGAGGTTGTGTGCGAAGTGTTGAGATTACTACCACCTGGCCTTGGAGGATTCAAAGAAGCCATCACTGATTTGAACTATGAAGGATACAAAATCCCAAAAGGATGGAAGGTAAATTTTCTAACACTAATTAATGTACATTTAAATTCTTCTTTTCATTGGAGATGAAATTTTATGAAATATTCTATATTAACTCATGTGTCCTACATAGTCTCAATCTCAAGGTGGCTCTTTCATTAGCCAAAATAAATTGTCGGCTAGGGCCTCAGAATTGGGAGGACCCCACATGTATCTATATATATCTATATATATATATATATATATATATACATGTGTAGTATTTACATGTATGCGTATGTGTGTGTGTATATATATATTGGAAAAATTTAGTACTAATAAATATTGACCAATTGTGAAAGAAAAATAAATTGACTCGACATTCATATATGACTTTCTTTATTTTATAAAATAATTAAAAAGTTTTATTACTATTTTTGAAAAAATACAGAAAAGTTGGATTCAAAACTGTTATAAATTCAACCATGAAATTGGTGTCAAGAAATACACGTTTGATGAAAATGTGGAGAATGAAACTATTAAAACCCCCCAAAATATTTCCAAAATTGATTATTTTCTTTACATATTTAATAGAGCTATCTCATCACTACAAAGTTGATTTGTAAATTTTAAAATGCATGAAAAGATTGTGGTTTTCTATTTAGTTGAAAAAATTAAAATCACTTGATGAAAAAATTTAGAAAAGAGTTGTAACCTTCAAAACTCCTTAAAATACAATGACAGTTTAGATATTAACTGTTTAAATTTATTTTTTTAACTAAAAATTTTAAGGAAATATATAAATACTAAGAATTATAATCCAATTGACATACTTAATTATATTAAAAGACATCAATCCATTTCCAAATACTTTTATTGCCTATAGGATAATGATAACTATTCACGCAACAGTTTCTTCAGCAAAAGAAATTTTTCAAAACTTAAATTAATAAAAAATTACTTAAGATCAACAATGTCACAAGATAGATTAAATGTATTGACTATTATCTCAATATAAAAAGATTTAGTCGAAGAGATAGATCATGTATATTTCATAAAAAAATTTGCGACCAAAATAGTTAGAATATTTGGAATAAAAAAAAGTTTTCTACTATGACTGCCATAGGCTCATGAGTTTATAGTTACCGGTCTCAAACTCGAAAAAATAAAGGGGGTTAATTCTTTTTTTTTAAAAAAAAAAATTTCTTATCAAAAGTCCTCGATTTCAAAACTTGCCTTAGGCCCACCAAAAACCTTGAGCCGCCCTTGAGTCTCATACCTGATTGATTCATGCAGATCCATTGGAATTCATATGCAACCCATAAGAATCCTGAATACTTTCCCAATCCTGAAAAGTTTGATCCATCAAGATTTCAAGGTGTTGGTCCTGCATCTTATACATATGTGCCGTTTGGAGGAGGCACGCGCATGTGTCCTGGAAATGACTACGCACGAATCGCAATACTAATATTCTTGCATAATGTGGCGATGAAGTTTAAATGGGAAAAGTCCATTCCAAATGAGGAGTTATTGCATGATCCACTCCCAAGGCCAGCTCAAGGACTTCCAGTTTACCTCCATCCTCTTTAAATCATTATAAACATACCTCCTAGTTAGCTACTTGTGTCAATTAAACGGTTTTATCACTTCAAATCTGTATTCTATTTCTCTATTTTTCTCATTCATGTAATGATGTTGACGTACGAATAAGCATTAGTAATTGGTGTTGTATTTGTTTAATTGCAATATATACATAATAAATATAATAGGAATATATATATATAATGAATCTTTTTTTCCTTATACTTAAATAAAAGGCACAGTAGGCAAGAAATAATACCCAAGAAATATTCAAGGACTACCGTCAAATCGATCTCGTCCGTCGGATGGGATTGATATGATGTCAGCGACTTATTATGGGTAAAACAAGGATTTAATAAATTACTTTCAATAAAAGGCACAGTAGACAAGAAATAATGCCTAAAAAATATTCAAGGACCACCGTCAAATTGATCTCGTCCGTCGGATGGAGTTGATGTGATGTCAGCGACTTATTAGGGGCAAAAATGAAAATTCAAAAATTCAGTTTATTCCAATTAAAAAAAAAACGTAACCTTTTGAAAAAAATAACCCCTAGCCTATAAAAGGATATCGTTTCAGGATTTAACTTTGGAATCCCCACTCTTGAAAATAATATATTTACAAAGACTTGAAAGTTTTTGGTTAAAAAACAGCAACAAAACGACTTCGTTTTGTGGGTTTTTCCAGGGAAAAAAATAAAAAATAAAAAATAACTCACACCGTTCAAAATCCCAAAACAACCCCCGTCATTGTTCCCAATTTTTTTTCCCACTAATAACCTCCATAAGGCAGTGCTCCGCCTACTCAAGTCCCCCTTCATCGATTCAACCGCCGCTGCCGCTTCCCTCTTTGCATCCTCCGCCACCACTAAACCTCGAAGATATATTTTCCTTAAACATGCTTATCCAATTCGTACCATCCCGATTCCACCTCCACAAATTTAACCAAACAAAAACCTTAAATTCCACCGAAGTCACCCCGTCGAAGAGATTTTGCAAGAATGACTTCCTTGACTTGTATGAGATCAAATTCGTGGGGGAGCAACTTCTTGTATCGTATCACGGAGAAAATGGAACTTTCTGGCTGAAATTAGGATATTATTAGATTAGTAGTTGAAACTTTCTGGCTGGAATTTTGCAAAACTATGGAATTTGCGTAACAACGATGACGCTAGAGAAATGAAAAAATTAGAATCTTCAAAAAAAGCATGTGCAAAATACTTCATTTGATCACAGTTTCTAGAACCGTGGAAATCATTGCTCCCATATGATCAACTCCTTGTGCTATATATAGAAAAAAGAAAAAAAAAAGTGTTTCATATGCTCCAAATAGTTGGAGGATACGTCGATTGGCTTTAGTTAGCATTGTCAAACGATTTCTTCATTGTATACTAAGCAGTTCTCAGAGCTTAAACACATGTCTATTTAAATTTCAGATGCAGCAAAAAATTTGTGATGCATATCACAGTTTCAGATGCATGTCTGTCTGACAGATACAGCATTCTGTTTCGAGTGTTGTTTGTTGGATGGAGTTGCTTTGTAATAGGAGAGCTGCGGCAACTAAATTATAAATTCTCTGATAATGCAATGATTTTTTTTTTTTTTTTTTGCACTTTTGAATACAGAATCCGCTAGAGTGTAACTTCCTGTTGTTTCCACTGGCCTGAGATCGAGTTTTTGAGCCTTGAAGGAATCAGAATGGCATGTACATGATTGATGACTTTTTGTAATTTTCTCGATGGCATCCTTTGGAAATGGCTTTTAAGTACAATCCCCAAGTTTAGACCTGTCCAAAATAAATGACAAGGCTCTTGCAGCTACATGAAGATGAGAAAAGAACTTCAGACAAAAAAACATGCGTGGAAATGTTGACAGGACCAAGAATTTGGACGCGGTGAAATCTGAACTAAGACTTAGCGAGGGGAAAACCGTGAGTGATATTTCATCTTTTTGTTTTGTGTTTGTGTGTGTGTGTGTGTGTGTTTCTTTTTTCCCTTTTTTTTTTCCTTCATCTACACCATTTTCCCATGCATTCATTTGATGCTTTTCTTTTTCTTTTTTTTTTTCCTTTTTTCGTTTACAACATTTTGGCAAATGCTTACTACATTTTGGCAAATGCTTCCTATCACATGCGGACTATCAAATTTGCAAGGAACAACCATAATACTATAATGTCAAGCTTCTAATTTGAACATGCGTCAAGAAAAAGAAAATTGTAATTTTTTCCCTAATTGACTATTCACTTACGCCGGTGGACGGAAACAAATATGATCATTCTGAATCTCTAAAAAACTAAGTTGGGGTAACATATTGCAAATTATTATAATTGTTGCCAACTAAAATACTTACTGAGTAATTGTTGTGCATTCACTTGCAAATGTAAATCTGATTTGTAATAGTGAACCATGCATATTGTATACTAGACAAAATATGGTTTGCGTTTAAGGTCTTAATTGCAATAACTATCGTTTTGTAGGTTGAAGTTTCAGAGATTATAATAAATACAAATTACATTTTATTATAAATATTTGTCAATATTGACATCGATATATAATATATTAAAAATACAAATTGTTGTGCAACACACGAATATGGGACCTCTTTAAAATAATTGGTTGTAGTTTCAAAGATTATATTATTGGTTATAAGGTTATAAAAAAAACTTGCCATAGAACAAGCATTATTAAATTTTAATAATAATAAAATTGACAATTAATTTAGGAAACATAACAGATCTTAGATTGACAATTACAGAATTAAACTTGTCATATTTACTTATTCTTGCTAATGCCTCTTGATTTTCTTATTCAAGCCAAAACCATCACATATCCTCCACTAAAATAACTTGATTTATGAACTGCCTTATTTTAATTTTCGTTCTCTCCTCTTACAATCGTCCACCACCAAATGCAAAGATTTCTCTATCTCTCACAATAATTATATCTACCAAAAAACTCTTTTCTAATACACGATTAAATAGCAGAGAGAGTGCACGATAAAAAATCACTTCGTAAATCAAAAAAGTCAATTAAAAAGAATAAAATATCACATTCATATGCACTATTACGGAACAACAAAAATTCGACCGAACAAGAAGTATATAAAAATTCTAAAACCATAAAAAAGAAACAATCTATATACGTACTGGTCGCGCAACGCACGACACGTAAAAGACTAGTTTTGGTAAAATTATCCAACTTTATAAGTATTATTATCATCAATAACTTATACAAGAAAAATATTTATAGAGTTTGATTAGTTGCAATCTATAATCTAAAGAATGTAAACATTTTATTCCATCGATATGATTTTGCACTGTCCGTGAGGAAATTTTAATGAGATAATTTTTAAAATGATTTATGACTACCCAATTTTTTATTAAATTTTTTTGAAACATATAACTTGAAGTCAACATTTTTATCTGAAAAAATACACATGAATTTTAAATTATTTTTTTCCTCAACGTGATTTTCTTTTCTGTGCTAAGTGAAAATTGTAAAAGGTAAATATCACCATGATTGTTATAATTACATAAATACATTAGAATTAAAAATATAGCAAAAAAATTCTAAATTAATATTCTATAAATTAATAAACTCTATTAAATAATAATTCTTTCTATCCCAACTCGGGAGTAGTACAAAAATCAAACAAAATTGATACATTAATAAAATAATAAATTTCCAGAAAATTTTTATATAAATATAGGTTACCTAAAAATCATTAATTAATAATGATATAAAATACCAAAAATAAAATAAAATAAGAAGGTTCATGAAAGTAGGAGGCTATTGGACTTTTTTTTTCTTCAAATTTACATAAAAGAAAGTTTTATCTTTGATTTTTCCTCAAACTATCAAATAAAAATGATAGGATCATAAATACATAGGAAAGTAGGATTGAAGTTGAGTATTTGTTTCCATATAAATTTTTTTTAAAAATCTTTAAATTAATAACATATTAATTTTTTTTGATAAAATAGTAATTATTATTTATCGATAAAGTAATAGCCTCTATAAATTAACAAGTTTTTATGGATCCAATACTATTAATCTATTGAGTTCTTAGTGTACTATAAATTTATTCCACAAAAATAGGGTTAATATCATAAATATCACGAGATTTAATTGATTATTTACAACATTCTCACATTCTGAAATATATATATATATATATATATATATATATATATATCAAAAACATCCATTGACTGGCAAGACAATTACCAAAAGAGTCTTTTGACAACCGAGAAATGATGTATGTATATAAAGTCAGAAAAAAAAAAGGTATCAAAAAGATATTTTCACCGGCAATAAATATTTCGTGAATTTTTTTAAACTCTAATAAAATTAAACATCCACTTCTAAATTAGTTTGAATAATATTACATGTGCAGTTCATTTTTCAAGTTTAAAATTTTGAATTTCAGTATCAATTAATGTTATAAAACTGAATGTTTTGTTCATGAGTTGATTATGGTGATGAAAAAATATATCCTAATTATTATATAATATTTCATGACCTATAACACTCTATTCATACAAGAGATATAATGTTGAAATTTGAAAGTCGAATCTAATATACAGTCACAGAACGCTTAAGGTTCAAACTAGTTAATGATAAAAGAAGGAAGGATTTACAGTAGAGCATTATTGCTTTGAAGCGCAACTAAGGATGCATAAAATCCATCCTTTATGTTGAAAAGAGATTCATGATCTCCCTTCTCAACTATCATTCCGTTCTTCACTACTGCAATTATATCAGCGCATTTTATTGATGAAAGCCTATGCGCCACAACAATTGTGGTTCGGTTCACCATTACATTATCTAATGCATCTTGAACTATTTTCTCTGATTCTGTGTCCAATGCGCTTGTAGCTTCATCTAACAATAATATTTTTGGATTTTTCACTATCGCTCGTGCAATTGCAACTCGCTGTTTTTGACCACCAGATAACTGCGCTCCTCGTTCTCCTACTATTGTATCATACCCCTGCTCGTATTACATGTATTTACATCAGTAATCCACATTTTCTGAACAGGAAAATATTAGAAGGAGTCTAAAAAATAATAATGAATATGGCACTTTCTTCATCATGACAGGTTCAGTAAAAAAAACCAACCTGTTGTAAGCCACTAATGAACTTGTGTGCATTTGCTAGCTCGGATGCTTCTACTATTTCAGCTTCTGTGGCTTTGCCTTCTTTGCCGTAGGCAATGTTGGCTCGGATTGTATCGTTGAATAGGATTGGTTCTTGACTCACAAGTCCCATTTGTCTCCTTAGCCACTTCACTTGGAACTTATGAATTTCAATCCCATCGAGAGTAGTAGAACCTGAATCTGGGTCATAAAACCTTTGCAACAACTGAATCACAGTCGATTTTCCGCTTCCGCTCTCTCCAACCAAAGCAATTGTCTAAAGGAAAAAACACTTGATACTTGGTTCAAACAGCAAACAATTAAGACAAAGAATACAATTTTGTTTTCCTGAAAATTTGTATCCAATGATACATAAATGGAATATTTACCTTGCCACTCTGAATGGTTAAGCAGAGGTCACTAAATACTTGAATATCTGGCCTGGTTGGATACTTGAAACTTACATGCCGAAAATCAATTTCTCCATTAACATTTTCCAATGTCATCCCAGACTCATTGCTTGGATCAATTCTCGATTGCCTGTCAAGGATAGAAAATATTGAAGCCACAGCACTCTTAGCTTTGCTAGAATCCATTGTGCTCGATTGAGATATTGCCACAGCTGCCATGCTCAATACGAAGAAAACCTGCAATTGGTATGCGTTAAACACTTTCCTCGCACCGGCATTGCATTCTTCGCTATGATTTAAAAAACTTTAAGAAAAATTTAACTACTTACACGAAAAACATCTGAAAATGTGATTTTCCCAGCCTGAACAAGATGAGCAGCGGCATAAAAGCTGGCAGCGTAGACAAGAAAAATGAACATGAAAGACAAACCAAAGCTAATGCCACTAAGCATCCCTTGTCGAACTCCTTTCTTCAAGGACCCTTGACACCTCTTCTCGTACATTTTCATCACTTTCTCTTGGGCACAAAATGAAGCAACAGTTCGTATGTTTCCAATCGCATCGATTGCAATCTGACTTGCTTCCTCATATGACATCTGTAAGACTTCAAAACATCTACATCAAAACACTTATTTCACAAGAAAGACAAAATTTTGTGGAAACTTATTTGTTCGTAGAGAAAATGACTCGAAACCAACCTTTGCATCAGCGCTGAAACCTTTCATGAACTTAACTTGCACATATTCGCTCGCTGCTCTGAGAGGTACCATGGCCAGGACTATCAGTGATAACTGCCAACTCGCACAAAATGCAACAACCAAACCAATAATCGCAGATGCCATATTTTGAACCAACTGTGCAAGGGCATCGCCAACTAGCGCGCGTACTAGTGATGCATCGGCAGAGAGCTTTGCACTGATAAATCCGGTTGAGTGCTCTGGCTGATCGAACCAACCAACCTCCATATTGATTACCTTCTTGAAACACATTGATCTAATACGTCTAATCAATTTTCCTCCAGCCACACCAAACAGATATGTCCTTGTTGGATAGGCTACTAATGAGATTGCTCCCAAGACCACAAACATTATTGCCCAAAATCGTGAATCCTTTCTTAGTTTATGGGGTGGCTCATAAAATGATTTGATCACGTTAGACAATAATACACCAAATGCAGGGAGAATTGCCCCGTTAATAACTGCAGCTATAGCCCCAAGAATGATCACTGGAATTTCTGGCTTGTTGAGAACAGCAAGGCGATAAATAGAAACTGTTGGAGGCTTTTCTAGTACTTCATGTTGAGTTTCAGAAGTAGGCAATCCTGTAGGTGAACCAAATGAGGTAGAATGTCTTTTGCTATTGGCAGAGGATCTATGACTGACAACTGCAGCAGAAGATTCACGGCTGATGGAACGTCGGGCTGACAATGTTTTGCTAAACTGTCTGCTGGGTTCAATAATGATCTTTGATTTTCCTTTTTCATCAGCATTGTCTTCCACATTTTTGTTTACTTCTTGCATGTGAATAAGTTGACTGTAAGCTCCTTCAGGATCTTCGATCAGTTCAGAATGCGTACCTAAACGTTGACCGCGTGATGTTTGTTCTTAGATGTTATAAAGTAGGAATGGCGCCCAAAAGAGGACCAGTTCAAGAGAAATAATTCAAAATGTGTACAGATGCATAGCTAAAATACCTTTTTCAACTATCTTTCCTCCATGAATGACTGCAATCATGTCAGCATTTCTCACAGTGCTGAGACGGTGGGCAACGACAACAGTTGTTCTGTTAACCATAACTCTACCCAAGGCCTCTTGAACTATCCTTTCAGAATTCGCATCCAATGCACTGGTTGCCTCGTCTAGAAGTAGAATTCGTGGATCTTTTAGAATCGCCCTCGCTATTGCAAGTCTCTGCTTCTGGCCGCCAGAGAGCTGAGTACCATGCTCTCCAACCATAGTGTCAAGTCCCTACATGTAATGTAAAACAACACACTTAAATATGACAGAAAAAGAAATAGTCAATTCCCGACCATTATGATTTTTTTTATTAAGCCGAATATAGAAGGTGAAAGTAGAGTTAACCTTAGGCAACTGATCAATGAACTTGGCAGCATTAGCTAGCTCTATTGCAGCTCGAATCTCTTCAGTAGTGGCTCCGTCTTTTCCATATGCTATGTTATCCTTGATACTAGCTGTAAAAAGTACAGGTTCTTGACTAACAAGACCTATCTTTCCCCTGATCCACTTGAGTTGGAATTCCTTAAGGTTTGTTCCATCAATTACAACTTCACCAGCTTGGGGATCATAGAATCTCTCTATCAAGCTAATGATAGTTGACTTACCACTTCCACTCTGGCCAACTAAAGCTGCAGAAGTGCCACTAGGTATGAACATGGAAAATCCAATGAAAATTTGTTCATCTGGTCTGGTAGGATAACTAAAGTATACATCCTTTAACCCAATATCTCCTCGAATGTCATCTAAAATCTTTCCTCGAGCATTATATGTATCTATCTCTGGTTTTCTATTTATGGTCTGAAACATCTTGTAAGATGCAGCGCGACCACTCGCAAATGCAGTCATGCACGGAGAAGCCTGCCCCAGAGACCTAGGTAAAACAATTTTTGTTACAAAATTGTTTTATTAGCCCTATAGGATTGAGTGGACAAAGATAAAACTGGAGTGCTTTCTTGAGTTGAGATTAGAGGAAGATAACGCGATACAAGATCTTCGGGGATCATAAATCAAGACTTACATGGAACCGGTCATAACTGCAATGATCACATTAACTACTTCACCGCCTGTATATTTTCTCTCAGCTATCAACTTTGCTCCGAACCAAATTGCCAAAGCATAGCTGCAGTAGACAATGCCCATAACTAATCCAAGACCTAAGCCAGAAGCCATTGATTCTTTTACAGCTGATTTATAAGCTTTTACCAATGATTTCTCATAAGAGGCCACAGCTTGCTTTTCCCCAGTAAATGATGCCACCTGGATAACAACATATAATGTCATGGTTGGAACTACAGGACATAAAATCTTCTTTCCCCTAGATTAAAAGAAAAGATGTAAATGAAACTAAAGCCTCAGATGAATTCATGAATTCGCATTTTCAGTTAAGAGACATACTGTTCTAATTGATCCAACGGTTTGCTCAACTACAGTGGCTGCTTCCGAATAAGCATTTTGCCCATGCGAAGCCATCCGAGATATAACAAGGGCCATAAGTCTACCGGCTATAACAAGGGGAGGGAGGGATGTCAAGAGGACGAGCGCAAGAAGCCATCCCTTTACAAACGCCACCACAAAACCTCCGATGAATGTAGACACCAGCTGTATAAACAAGCCCACCTGCGAAAGAAATCAAAGTGTTTAACTGTTGCAGCTAAAATAAAAAATGATGCACTGTGCTCCCTCTCTTTTTCACTTACAACGGTGATCATTACCTTCTCCCCAAGAGCATCTTGTATGAGAACAGTGTCACTGGATATCCTACCAATAACTTCTCCTGTATTGATTTCTTTGTCGAAGAAACCGATCTCTTGGCGCAAAATCATTTTCAGATAAAGGTTCCGAATTCGAGCACCTTGTCTCTCACCAGTGATCGTCCAACAGGACACCTCTACAAGCATTACACAAGGTACGTTAGGATTAAGCGCAGCTTCTAACTAACAGAAGAATATTAGTATTGTGCTGTCACATTATAGCAGACTTACGGAGGAATGCAGCTGCACCAGCCCCAAGAGCCAAATAAACAAATTTTAGAGACACCTGGCAAAATATGCATCAAAACTGGTTACCACAAAATGAATTAGCTTAATGTGGCATAATGATAACAAATGCTGCTTAAATGGTTGACTTTGAGAGGCATTACCTTGGAAACCTCTTTAACCACATCTCCGCTAGTTGTAGTTTGTCCGAAAGAATCAGTCAATTGACCAAACAAAATGGTCATGAGGGGAAGTCTCAAGCCATTCCCAATGGCAGCAACGGTACCAACCATCATGAGAAGCTTGTCGGAAGAATCTGCAAAGCCAAATAACTTCGCAAATGAAACGGTATGGGTAGGTTTCTTCGCTTCTTTCTCGGCATTCGCATTGTTGGCATCCGGTACTGGCGCAGGAGGAGAAGTCGCAGCAGAGACATAGTGATGTTCTTCACTTGGACCACTCTCCTCCACCACACTCTCCATTTAAGGTCTATAAATTCAAGCAAACAAAGGGAAACTGGATTATTTAATCTAGCCTTTCTGGCTATCCAGTAACTCAATACTGAGTAGTGATCAGATGGTATTTACGACTAAAAACAGTCAATAGAAAAACTAGCAACTGGAAAAATTCATATCAGAAGTTAATTTTCTTTTGCTTTCAAAATCTGATCCACAGACGAAGACCAAACTACAAGTAAGAAAAAAAAAATTAGAATTGCACGTTAGTAATTTGTAAGATCGAATCAAGAAATCAGCCACTCAAAGCTTTTTCAATCCTGTTCTTATTTCTCGATTCGTCCTATAAAAATAGTCTATTTCGACAAGGTAAATTATTCTGCTAGGACAAAGGGAGTAATAAACAGAGAATGAATTAAGAAGATTCGTGATGGTATATACACTAAAAAAACGAAGATTGAGAGTGTAAAAAAAAGGTATGTAAATGCAACTTGTCAAAGGTGTAGAGAAATGAACTACGAACTAAATTACATGAGCAAAAAATGTAGTAAAACAATAGAGCTGGAGATGGAAGTTTAACTGAATGGAAGTACTCCCTTAACGACGATCTGACCTCATCGATCTACAGCATCAAAACGTGCCACAGATTAGCACTGCAACTTTTATTTGATCTTTCTGCCTATTTTGCTCCAAAATATCAATCCACAATAATGCCCGGTTTCATTTTCGATACAGGAACCATGACGTAATTAGTAAGCAAGGACGTATCACGCTCAGACTAATCTCCACGGAACCGAAATCTTTTATTTTGCAGAAAGTTGTAGCCAGCAAGATTCAAAATAGGAGTATATTTTAGCAAAAATTGGGCGTTGTGGATTACGTACTTTTTTAAATCCGGCAAAGGTATCTGCTGGGGCCGACTTTATCTGTACATATTTTTCACGTGGCAGTTGGAAGATTCAGTCCATTCCGTTACCTGTCAGTTCGGTGTTTGTATGAATTTCGCCCGTAAAGATCTCTCCTGCAACCAAACTTCTTTTTTTGTTTCTAAAATTGTCCAAAATTCTAACACACATACGATTAAATAGCAGTGTCACAGAGAATGCCAACAGAACTAAAAATGTCTTGCCAGGATTACGAGAGAGAGAGAGAGAATAAACAACACTAATCGAAAATATCCAGCAAACAATATAAATAAAAAAGCAAATATTGTAAGTTAACCAATGAAAAGGGAAAAAAAAAACCCCGAATATTGTAATGTTATTTAATCAAAACAAAAGATAACAGTAAATTGTACAAAAGATTTGGCTTTAAGGTTTATTGCCCTCCATTAAAAGAATCTAGAAAGGTCCTCCTTTCACGATGAAAAGTCTGTCCGAAATCTATTTTCCTAAAATCTCAAAACCACTTCCACTTTTGTGCCCAATATTTAGGAATCAATTAAGTACTGAATTTTCATCTCTAATTTTGACTCGGTAATGTTCTATTTGGAATGTAAACATGTGGTATTATTTAGAAAACACCCCAGTAAACAGAATTTTACCGAATCAAACTTCCTCTAATGATACTTGTCAACACCGTAATTTTAGAACGCTCAAGACACATTTTAATCTTTTGAAGTGTAGGTTAGTTATTCTACTTATTAACAGTATAACTGTTTTAACCCAAAAAAAAAAAAAAAGTGTTTCGTGGATTGAAACATTCATTGGCGTACTAGACTAATAAACTACTCAAGTGATGCATATTACCATTCCTTTTTGATATATAAATCTACGTATATAACATATCTCCCTGGAGAACTTATGCACAGTGATGATCGACTAGGGATTCATAAGGAACGATGGGGAATGGCAAAAATTAGTATCACGAATATGGCAATTTTGAGACGAAAAATGTAGATTATACAGCCTCTTGTCCTTATTATAACATATTTTGATTTGTCATAAATTTCATTTCGTATACTCTTGCAATTGAAAATAAAACCTTTAAATTGTATTTTTCACATTTATTTTTAAGAAGAATCTATTCTAATTGAAATTTATAACAAATCATAATGACTTCTAATAAGAACCAAATGATCATGAGCAAAGAGTTTCGTATAGCTTTAGGTAAAAAAAAAAAAAGGTTAAAATATATAAGTATTTTGGACTCTCATTTCAAAATTAATTGACAATAAGTAGGGTGACATTTGGAAATTATATACAAATTAATGTTTCTTCACGCGGGGATGTGAGACACTAACTCTTAACCAAAAAAAAAAAAAAAATCATTTTGCTTATACTACTATTTCAGATATGATTAAGAGAGTATTTTGTTTCCAAAATAAATAATAATACTAATAAATTAATCATAGACGATAATTTCTTCACTAGTTCTTGGGCTAATTAATCCGCACATAAATTAACCCAATAGCCTAGATGTAAACGGAGTTTTAAGAGATATTGAGACACAATTTCCATAATTTATATCTTAATGCGTGCTATAAGCTTTTTCGGTAAATTAATAAAATCAAATATTTTTCAAAAAAAAAATGATAATACTAACAAGCAATTTTATTCCGCCCGTGGCCGTTTACCATAACAGCATTTTGAGAGAGGGGCGTACATTATGTTGAGAGTTAAATATGAAATATGCATGAGTACATTTTAGATGCATCACCATATTAAGAAATAATTAATTGGATAAAAAACAACAATTTAATTTTTCTAATGCACGTCGGAGTACCGAAGCTTGATCCAATACTAACATTCCCTCTAACTTTTGCGAAAGAGACGATCCGTTTACGTACATTTAGCTTCTACCAATTCGACTCTAGCTTCGTCCAAGTCATGGTGACAATTGTCGGAGGTTTAGGCCTTGGAGTTGAGGAAAGTATATATTAACTTACAATTGTTCACCATGCTTTGCAGTCTTTTAGAAGTAGTTATAATTTGTTTTTAGAAATGGATTAACAAAATTTAGGGCGCTCAAATTTTTTGGTTTTTATTTCATTATCAAGTTTCATTTTAATAGTGAATGTTCGCTTATGATTTCATTTATATCCTTTACAATTTTACATGGTATTAAATTAAATCAATTAACGAGAAATTCATTAAATTTTTGTCACACGTAAATGTCTAAGATATTGCTATTAGATGAGGCCACCAGCTATGATCGTTACAAAAAAACCCCCACACCATTGTCCATTTCCAATACTATGTTATTACACTTTTATGCTGAAATACAGCTTAGATAATTGAATAATCTGCTGTAAAATTGGCTCTAAGTATAGATCATTATGATATGAGGGCTTAACACTTTAACTCCATATTAAGACTATTTGTCACGATAAGATACATTCGGCCATTAATTTGATTGAGCTGGATCTCGGCTAAGATAAAAGAAAAAAGGCATTCGACCATATGTAGCTGGATGCCAAGGGAATTCAAACACCAGCGTCAAAATCATGTAATGTGTTATACTTAATCACTTGGCCGGCAATTTGTTACTAAGCCAAACTCCAAAGTGTGGTAACTTAAATAAACTACCATTGATTAGTGGTACGTACCCTTAAATTAACTACCATTAATTTTGTTACAAGTAACTTTCATTTCAGTTTTCAGCAGTAATTGAAAATAGAGGTATCACAAGACTCGGAGGTTGCCTGCGCCAAGAGATAAAGAGAACGTGCATCATATCTGTAAAGATCTGGCGACATCATCTTGATAACGCATTTTTTTGGTTAATGTTCTAACAGAATAACATCTTCTTAACAGAATAAGTTCTAACATTATATCTTCTACCCTAAGATGTTCAATGGCTAAATTGGTCGGAGGAGAACTGCCTATAAATAGGATACGCTATGATTCAATTATTCCTAAGTACAGCAAAATTGAATCCATACCATCCCATCCATAACTTCACAAAAAATGGCCGTCGCAGCATCTGATGTTCAGCTCCTTCTTGTTTCTCTACTAACCACTTTTTTGTTTCTATATCTCACTAAGCTTTATTTGAGAAGATCAAATTCGTCTAAAGCTGATGAAAGCCAGCTTAAGCTTCCTCCAGGAAATACAGGATGGCCTTTTCTGGGTGAGACCTTGGATTTTTACTCCAAAGCTCAAAAGGGTGTGCTTGAAAATTTTGTGATAGAAAGGAGTCAGAAGTATTCCTCTAAGATATTCAAGACTTCCTTGATTGGACAGCCAATTGCAGTGGTTTATGGAGCCGAAGGGAACAAGTTTCTGTTCTCCAACGAGAAGAAATTGCTCAAGCATTGGTGGCCAAGCGCCATCGACAAACTCTTTCCCAACTCTGACCGAAAGACTAATGCCGATCGCGGACAAATTATGCGTAGGTTCATCGCGTCTATTCTCAAAGGGGAAGCTCTAAGAGAGTACGTTAAAACTTTTGACATGACCATAAAACAGCAATTGCAAACTCACTGGAATTCGCAACAAGTTTTTATCAGTGAAATGGCTAGAAAGTATACATTTGCATCGGCCTGCAGGATATTCTTAGGAGTTGTCGATCCAGTGAAGGCGGATGAGCTCGAAGAAGGTATAAAGATCATTGCAATCGGCCTTCATTCTGCCCCCATTGATCTTCCGGGAACAGCTCTGAACCGCGGTATCAAAGCATCCAAGAAGATACGGAAAGAGCTTGAAGAAGTGATTAGGCAGAAGAAGATTGATCTTGTGCATTCTGCAAATGATCAGGAGAAAAAAACTTCGACCACCTCGGAGAAAGATTTCATTTTACACATGCTTTTATCCACAGATGATAATGGCCAACCCATCAATGAAGTAGACATGGCTAGTCACTTAACGGGTGTTCTTCAGGCAGCTTATGCAAGTGTTCATTCCACCATTACCAACCTAATGAAGTATCTCGCTGAATTTCCTGAAGTTTACAACGTGGTTTTAGAAGGTAATTTTGTGATTAGTTCTATGTGCCATCTTTCTCTGTTTTAGGAAAATAGCATTTTTAAAAAAATAAAAGATAAGTTGACAAAGAACTAGATTATTTCTGAGAGTATAAAATTTTAAATATGTAATGTTAAATATGCCATCTTTCGTTTCATTAATGAATGGTAGTATAAGATTAGTATATACTAGGGCTTTGGAGATTATAAATACTCTGGATTGCCAAAAAAAAAAAGCCTTTACGGGATTAAGCCACTAGTTTTTAATGCAGTTGTTGTACTTTCAATGTTTAACATTTCAACGTTTTGCAAACAATGGTTAAAAAGAGCAACAAGAAATTGCAAAATCAAAGGGATCAAAAGACAGACTATGTTGGGAAGATGTGAGGAAAATGAAGCACTCATGGCACGTTGTCTCTGAAGTGTTGAGATTACTACCACCAGGCGTTGGAGGGTTCAAAGAAACCATCGCTGATTTGAACTATGAGGGATACAAAATCCCAAAAGGATGGAAGGCAAATTTTCTAATACCAATGTGCTTTATAAATTTTTTTCGTTGAAGATAGAATTTTATAAAATCTGATAATTGTTTGGTACGTACTTTCACCTAAATGATTTATGCAGATCCATTGGAATTCATATGCTACCCACAAGAATCCTGAATACTTCCCTAATCCTGAAAAGTTTGATCCATCAAGATTCCAAGGTGATGGTCCGACGTCTTATACATATGTGCCGTTTGGAGGAGGGACGCGCATGTGTCCTGGAAATGACTATGCAAGGATCGCAATACTGATATTTCTTCATAATGTGGCTATGAAGTTTAAATGGGAAAAGTCGAATCCAAACGAGGACTTAGTGCATGATCCACTCCCAAGGCCAGCTCAAGGACTTCCAGTTTACCTCCATCCTATTTAAATCACTATAAAAAATATTCCCTGAAAATCAACCCGCTTGTGTTTTGTGTTAATCAAACTGTTCTACCACTTCAATTATGTATTTTATTCTTCGTTTCTCTCTGTCACGATTCTATCAATATGTGACATATATGGACGAATAATAGTTAATGATGTTGTATTTGTCTAATTATATCCTTTACATCTAACTATTGTGCCATGCACACGAGATTATGGTGTTATAGTGGCGCTTGGTTGGGTAATAGAGCACATCAATGAAACTCAATTAGTGGATTCCACTAACTTTTTCTTTTTCTTTTTTTTTTCCTCCATTTAACTAAATTCAGTTAAAGAAGATGAAGTAAACATTGTTGCATCATATACATTGCAGTAAAGGATAAAAAAAAAAATTAGGTATTTTTTTAATGATATTCAAGAAAGGGGAATTCTAGCAAAATTCCTAAAATTAAAGGAACTCCTCGTCTTCGAGGAAATGATCGAGGAATATTCGGAGACACATTTACAAAAACTTCGTATAGGAATCCAATAAGAAATAATTCAATTAATCAAGATACACAATGAGAATGGAATCTATATAATTTTGTACTTCTCAGCAAATATAATCTGTTTTTTTCTTCTAAGCGGTTATTCTATTTTAGGTTATGAAGAATTTGTTATTCTTAACTCTTGGGCCCAGAAATTCCTATATAACTTAAGTGACACAGTCAAAAGCTTTTTCGATTCTTTTATTTTCATACTATGCCGAAGATGGAAGGTGAAAGTAGAGTTCACATTTAAGCAACTGATCAATGAACTTGGCAGCATTAACTAAATCTATTGCAGCTCTAATTTCTCAGTAGTGGCTCCCTCTTTTCCTAAAAAAATTCAACACAAAAATTTGGGAAAAATTACATCAATTGGCAATCCACTAAACCTAGGGATTTTTCTTTCAAAACAAGAAAAGTCAATAAGACTTTTTCAGAGGAAAAAATATATCTAACTAAATTCCTAAGTTTTCAGAATAAAATTTGCAATAAATTTTACTTGCATTATCTACCATGAGTAGAACTCTGAAATTAAACCGTAGAATGAGAATGCATGTTCAGGAAACAACCCACAAAAAGCATCAAAAAGCAGAAGAGCAAAAGAAAATTGACATAATTAGCAAGCAGCACAGGAACGAAATATGAAAAGTAGTACTTCCTCTCACATGAAATTATATTCCAATTTACTTTTTCATTTTTAATACAAATTGAACTAAAAATAAAAACCAAACTGGACAATAATTTTGGGCAAAAGGGAATACTAAATTATTAGAAAATTCACAAAATGAAAACGGCAAAAAAACAAGCCCAATTTAATTAGTAATGGATGGCCTCCAACTTACCTTATTTAAAAGAAAACTCTTCCCTTCAAGGGCACGACCGAAGATGGAGACAACACCGATGGGTTGTTTCACAAGCTGGAGGACGTCAATAGCCTTAGGATCAATCTGGAACTTTCCATTATCGTCCCGGTAGACGAACCGAATCGGCCGAGCAGGTTCTCCGTTCATATTAAAAAACCTAAGCTCAAGTAGGGTTAGGGCACAAGAACCGTACTCCAAAGAGAGACGAATCAGATTAGTTGCAAGGAAGAAAGAAGCTCTATTAATTGTCACTCGAATTGCAAAATCACCAAATAGAATAGTACTTTCTGCATGGATGGGTAGGGTTTCAAGGGGAGGCTGTATCTAATTTAAAGAAGTTGCACCGTTAACCGGCCGACTCACTACCCTAGCTCATGTTAATAATCGATTGATTAAGGAAAATATGTTACAAATAGGGAAAGTTGTAAGATTGAGGAAAGACTGTCAGTTCTGCGGGAATCCTCGCATATTGTATTATTAGCCCTACAGGCCTTTCATATGTAAGCTTCTCCTTTCAGGTAGTTCATTCTATTAGAAATAGCGCATGCAGCTAATGTTGCAAGCTGATGGCTACTGTAAAATCTTTCTGAAACTCCTCCCAGTCTCCAACTTGTTTTCCGCAGAGATGGAGGCCTGTTTACATTCTGGTTCTGCCGTTGCTAATTGCTACAGCCTGCTATATTGATAATCTTTTTTTTTAACTTGTCAAATTTAAATTTTATTTATTCTAGGTTGTCCCATTGATGACAAAATAATTATGTATTTTCGCAAGTATAATTTCTTCTTAAAACTACAAAAACATATATGTATTCACAAGTATAATTTCTTCTTAACACTATAAAAACATATACCATCGAAACAACACACTGAAATTTAATGTAATAGGAACTACATAACTATAAATAGGTATTTTATATTAAATTTAGTTAATAAAAAAATGTATTAAATATTCATATATTTATTATAAAAGAAATTTGGGCATTGGCTCCAATTTCTATTATGATGATCTTTCAGCATTTGCAATCATCACTCTTCCAAACTTTTGTTCATTGGATCCAGGCGTCACCAACCAGAGAAGATGTAGATCTCTTCTTTCTCATTATATGCTATACATGGATAGGAAGAAACAATAAAATTTGGCGGCAACAACCTCAAGATCCCCTGGATTCTTGGAGAATGATTCAAATGGATCTCAATCAACACAAAACACATCAGAAACAGCGACTGTATAATGTCTCAACTACAAGATCCTCTTCAAGATAGAACGCATCACTAGTTACTATGATGGTTCTTTCAATTCCGGGAAATTAAAGGGCAGTAGGAGCATGGAAAATTATTTCCCCGTTGAATGCACTAGTTACTATTTTTATTTTTTTCTTACCAAAAAATTAAAAAAAAAAAGTTGAAATCACTAGTAATATGACTTTTAGTTGTAAAAAATGTGGAAAATAAAGTTGAACTCTATAATAATATGACTTTTAGTTGTTAAAAATGCGTAAAATATTAACGAAACTAATAAGTCCATACATAAGTTTTGTCAAAGAGAAAAAAGATTGAAATTTTAGCAATTTTTAATACTTAATACTTTCTTAGTATTTAATATATTTGTTCTAATGGTTTCATTTCGCACCTCTCATTATTTTCTTCTTGGAGTTCGATAATACAAATTTATTATTGAGGGCAATACAATTTTCTACCGCTCATTTTGTGCTTGATTTGTATATAGATGGTTTAAACTTTAAGCAATATGTTTTGAATTTTCTTTTCATTTCGTCTTTAAGAAAAGAAAGAGAATCATTTGCGGCACCAACGATGGTTTGTGCATTTAATTTGTGAACTTATCAAAGGTAAAATAATAGCTGACCTTTTCCAAAATACATAACAACAGTGTTCATCTCTCCGTTTCATGTAAACAATAAGGTTTTTACTTCAAAAGGGAAAAACAAAGGTCTGTTGCGAAATTGTTTTTGACTATGAAATTCGACCACTTTTTGTTTCATTTATCGAGATGAAACCGTAAACACTCCAGTTAATAAATTTTCGGGCACTCGTACCTATTTGCATCACATCTAGAGAACTAAAAGCTGAGCAGCAAACAATGACACAAAACGTACGTCATAATAACAAATTACAGACAATATTATTTCCAAACAAATCAATTACTCTTTTTGTTTCAAATGATATATCGTTCAGTTTTGATTTTTATTCTTAATAAAAATCAAGACTAGATCAATATTTTTGGATAGAAGAAATACAATACTAACGAAACGCATATATTGGTTTAAAGAAAGATGATGGAGACTTAGGTCGAAATGGGCACTAAATATTTATCCAGAAATTTTATCTGAATCAATAATATGAAATCTGAACGCAACTATAATGCCCGAAACTTTTAGCATCAATTTGGTAAAAAATCGGGAAACTGTCTCTTAAAACAGTTTCCCCAACAGTGGAATAAAACAATGTCTCCATCTTCTTTAATTTATTCCTATCGAATATTTATTGATTGAAGTTGAAATTTTTCTGAGTGGCCATTGTCACTAGCAAATAATAGCCCATCATTAATGGTAGTATATTCGTAACAATGAGGTGTTGCTCTCCTTTTCAACTATATTAATTCATATCGACAAGTAAACATCAATGGCGACTTAAACCACTTTGTTATTACGTCTAACTAAGTGATTCAAAAGTTCGATTACTGTGATGAACAAATTAAAGGGAGGGGAAAAGTTAGTTTAATCACGTATGCAATTAGATGATTGAGTCAGTTTTCAAGTCCACGCAAGACGCAAGCAAAGAGGTGGCGGTTGAATCCTTTCACATTATTTTCGATTTAAAAGAGAGTTAAGTTGATAATATTATACCGACATAGAGTACGTCTTGCATTTTTTTACTTTTACAAATTGATTTATAACAAGTTGTAAGGAAAAAAAAAAAAAAGACATTTTATTACTCGTAAGCTAAATACCATTTCAATATGTAACTTAAGTACATCTGTTTATTGAAACACATATGTTAATAGGATTTATATAAGTCGATCATTTTTTCCGGCAGCACATGTTACTAGCCACAAAAAATTAAGGTATGTTTTGCTAAAAACTTCATAGTGAAAGTACTTATCATATGGCGACTTCTAACCTGCTACAATCACTTCAAAGTTACTGGGAGGCGGTTGAAAAGTAAAAAAATAACAACCCCAATATAAGCCAAGCTGATCCGATGCAAAATCATTTGTTGTCGTGTAAGCTACGGTTTCCAACCTTTTTCTTCTTCTTGTCCTTAACAGTTTCCATCGTATAGCCTAGTGAAATACTCCCTCCGTCCCATAATTGTTGTCCAATTTGAGTTTTTATTTCTACTTCAAATTGTACTAAAAATAAAATCTCAAACTAGACAATAATTTTGGGACATAAGGAATATATACTTTCTCGTATTTGTTAAATTAATTTAACAAATATAATTAATCTCAAAAAACGATTAATCATATTTGTTAAATTAATAAAACAAAGTGCCAAATCCTTTTTTTATTATTATTTTAGGATGGATGGAATACAAACATCATGTATCGTCAGTTTCTTGGTTTGTTATTCAGGTTAGAGACAAAACAACGACGGTTTGTGGATAATTTTGTTTAATGTCTGGATTGTGCTTCATTTTGTTTGTTATTTTTTCTAAGGTCAGTGATATTGTCAAGGTTATTTTTAGCTTTCAGATCAAAACTTGAATTTATTTCCAAAAGTGCCCTTATAAATTCAAATTTCTATTTTATTTTATTTTATTTTTTTCAGTCGCGGCTCTCTCCCTAATCTCAGAAAGCTAAATTGATGTCTCTCTTTTTTTGCTATTCTTGCGGCT